CTTGACTGGGGGTTGTGTGCTGTGTGTATCCCACTGTGCTGCCCCCTCGCAGGAGCAGCGGGGCGAGAAGCGGCTGGGAGGCGGCAGCAGTGGCGGTGCCCAGTTGGGAACTACGTGCCACAGCAACACCTCATGCTGCCCCATGCTCACTCTGGCTTGCCAGGGAGGTCTCCTCAACCTGCCTTGGGAATACCTCTTTGGCAATCCAGAGTAAGGAAGGGGAGACCAGAGCCATGTGCCCTTCATCACTACCACCCAGCTGCTACAACACACTTCTGCCCTTTCCCTCTGGCTACTTTGCTGTTTAGCATCAGGATTTGACAGAGAGCAGTAGATGATGGTGCTCCTGGCACCTAAACAGTGAGAATGCAGAAGCGTGTTACACTCAAGAAGCATCATGAGCTCCAACAAAGTTTATGTGGGGCAAGGGATTAAATAGAGAAAAAAAACAGCTGCAGCAACAACAACAGATACAACATAGCTGCCTAAAGAATATAATAAATAGTATTTTCTTGTTTCATAACTTATCCTAACATTGGCAACTTCAAATGACTTGCATAGGATGATTTCCTTCACTTTGGCAACACCAGCAATCAATCAAGTTTGGAGTGGGGGGAGTATCTTCAGCAACAGAAGGAAAAGTGAGTATGCTTGATCAGATTTAGGCTTCTTGGTTTAGGGTTTTTGACTTTTTTCTGATTTAGCCTTTTTCACTGGGCAACAGTGGGGTTGCCCATTCACAAAATGGCTGACCTGCTGAGCCTGGCTAGTTACAAAAACCGATAAAGGCAAACAAAATGCGCAGAAAGAAAAGTGATTTTCCCAAGAAGCTACATACAAGACAAGCTTAATCTGCACTCCCAAACACAAAAATTTACTTTTGAACCCAGCTTTCTGTTCCAATGGTCATTTCAGAAGGCAAACAGGTGAGACTTAAGAGTCAGCTGATTTGGCCCTAAAGCTGAGTACAAAGCAGAGGAAGTTTAAGCCCCAAATACCACATATTTGCCCTCCCCCAAAGTACAATAAAATGCCTCTTTGAGAAGAAGCAAAACAGGATACTCAAAGAAACATACCTGTATGGTAGACTAAAAAGCCAGGGCAAAGGACATTATGTAGATTGGGGAGTAGCATTAATGCCTCAAGAGAATCCTTGCTGAATTTGCTCTCTTATTTCCCACTCTTCAGCTGAAGCTGCCTGCAAGTACAGGTTTAATCTTCTCACCACAACAATGCGGTCTAAACTTGTTTGTTTTTCAAACAAAACAAAACTCTCCACATAATTTCCTCAGGAAACCAGATTCTCTAGCAGACCCGAGATGGCTGCAGTCAATCCACCCTGAACAAGAACCTGGCACTTAAGACAACATGGACATGCCTTTCTCCCTCTGCTCTGTGTGGCTTTTGCTCTCTGGGCCAGATAGATCTTTAGTTAAAACACTGCTGCTTGTTGGAATGAAAGTGTCTGTAGAGTGACTCATTTATCTTACAAAAATCTAATCCTCAATTAAATTAGAAAGGGTTGAAGCAAGAGTGGTATGGTTTCCTTGCCAATGTTTGTGATACAGTAAACAGCAGGGAGAAGCAACATAAAAACCTTCTTTTACAATCAAACCTGCTTTCATACACCATAATGATTTTGTTAATTATGTATGAGAATCCTTTCTACCTCGCTGACCTTAATCTCTTTATCTATGCCCTCTCTAGAAGTCTGCAGCAAAAAGGCAGACATTGCACCAAGTCATACTTAAGCAGGACTAGATACAGATATCCCTTTCCTTGAAAGGGTTGCCTCCCTCACTGCCCATAAACAGTATGGTCCTATATAGTAAGAAAGCACCCCCCACACACACCACCACCGGTACTTGGGACAAATGACATAGAATGCAATCCCATATCATGTTTTCTCTTTTTTCCTTCAACAAAATGTAGTGGGTACATCAGTCTGTAAAGACTAATGCAAGGAAGGCTTAAGCCTTTCTCATTCAACAGTAGCCAAAGCAACTGGGTATGTTTTCCTTCTGCAAAGAACAAAGGGTAAATAATCTCTCCACCATCCTGCACATTGTCATTTCTGATACTGCATCTGTAGAAGAGAGGGGTTTTAAAGCTTTATAACTACCCACCTTGAAGACAGTACATGGTTACATAGTTAGTTGAGTGGACTTTTAATCTGGATTTTCCACTTCCGGGAACAATTGCACTCTGATTGCTGTCAATAATATAGCAGTGTACAAAAGGTAATATCATGTTTCCCCGAAAATAAGACCTAGTACTATTTTTGGTACTTGCTAAAATATAAGACCTACCCCAAAAATGACCTAGCTGTGTTTATTCCCAGGGCCAATGGGGAGCATAAAGAGCCTTTTTAAACTTTTATTTTTTAACTTAACTTTAACTTAATGCACTGTGTGGAGGAAACATGCTTATGCAGCTCTGCTCCCTCCGCTCCCTGTGGAGGGAGCAGCGCTGCTTAAGCCGATGCTTCCTCTATAGCACCGGCTCCTGTCACAGGCAGAGTGATAGCAAATGTACCAAATGTACATGTATTCATGCTGTTGTACATGAATAAGTGTGGATTGTTGTACACATAAAAAAAAAGACCTAACCCGAAAATAAGATCTAGTGTGTTTTTGTGAGCCAAAAAAATAAGACAGTGTCTTATTTTTGGGGAAACATGGTAGTGGAAAATGATTGACACTCTTATTCCCAAATGTAAATTGGGCATGGCTGCCAAGGGGATCAGAGTGCCAGTGTAATCAAGAATGTCTTTGGAGGCTTTTAATAATTAAACCATCAATGATTTAGGAGATACCCAAATTTATACAATAGAATTGGCCTCCATGGCATATAAAAGGTTCATACTTGTTAGCCATTACTACCATCATTCTTCTCTGCTTGTTATTTGCATCTTATACTTCTATCAAGGTGTTAAGAGAGAATTTTAAAAAGAATCCTCTACAGCTCCATCAACTACTTCCTGTGATAATATATTTAAAAGCATGCCATTCCCAACAAGTTACCATAACTTCATTTTTATAAAAAGTATTCTAAACCACATTTGATCTACACATTTTACATATTTTAATCAGGAATGCTGAGCAGAAATGCATTCTGTCTGTCCTAACCCAGGGTGAATTAGAAGTCAGAATTTCTTCTGTGAAAATCTAGCCTTTAAGAACATAAACTTGTTTAAGCACAGACCATATTTGGAAGAGAGCTTGGTCAAGAAAAATAAGCATAAGAGCAGCACATTCCTTTTCAGGCATGTGACTAGGAAAAGCAAGCAAGCAAGCTTGCCGTAAAAGGTGGGCAAAAATATATTGAAGTAGTAAGTGTGCATGCATACACCCTGAATATCTATTAGAAGCCAAATACAGTACTACCAACACAGGGCAACAGGCTGCACACTGGTACAAGATTTTCAGAGGATGTCCAGACTAGGTGCTCTGTATAAAATGACAACAGTCCTGCCAGCAGACTTACAATCGCAGACAACACAGAAGAGCATAAAAAGTAAATGAAAGGAAAACATTTATGATCAGTTAGAAATTGCCAGTATAAAAAGGCAAGTTTTTAAAGTTAGGCATTTATTTTGTTTAAAGAAAAACGAACAAAAAATCTCATTCACTCAGAGCAGCTTATAATTAAAACAGCAATGGTGTTACAAAATAAAGCATAGAAATGAAAAGCTCAAGAGAGGCATTCTGAGCAGATCAAGCATTTGAACAGATCATATGAAGGAGCTACCCAGATGTCACAAGATTAAAAGTCTGAATGATAGAAAGCAGGAAGCAATTGATTCAGGCAATAGAGGATGCAGTATTGGGTCTTCAGAGGAAAGGGAATATAGGGGAGGGAAAGATGTGAAAAAACATGGATAGATGAAAAGCAGATAAAGTTTGAATGTCAAGAGTAACTTGCCCATAATGCAACAGATTATGCAAAGAATCCAAACCAGTAGAGAGGCTTGTAAAAATGGGCCTCATAAACCTGTGCCATCAATTAGCAAGGTAATACATAAGATGCATAGATATTGCAATCATGAAAACAAAAAATGTTTAACAGTTGAGTTGGGTACATGGGAAGATAAATGTCTTATACATCAAGTGGTTCATCAATATCTAGAGCCAGAATCCTTAAAGGTGAACAGATTTTATGTACACTTATTACGCAATTTAGCATAAGGTTGTATATAAAATAGTTTAAACAGATGACACCAAAATTATTTAGGTTCATGAAAACAAAGTAAGTTTTGAACTTCTCCACTGGGAAGCAATATACTGGGCCAGATAGATCTTTTCCTTAAACTAGCAGGGCCCTCTTAATGTCCTTAATTTCCAGAGATAGTTTACAAGTGCCAAGCAGGGCTGTCATGGACATTTGCTGGTATTCATTCATAAGGTTGCTGTAAGTCAGAAATGACTTGATGGCACCACCACCACCAATTTCCAGAGTGGTTTTATAGCCATACTGACAAAAGACGATGTATCTTGAGAATTTTCTACCTTACCAATAAACTTGGCTGAGGAAGGAAAGCTTAATATACTTCTTACACTAAACTTGCATGCAGATAAAAAGCTTAGCCTCATGTTTATCTGGGGCTGTATCTTCAACTGTATCCTCTCTGCTGATGGACAGCTCTTTGACTGAGAGAACTGTTTTTATACATTTCTTTCTTTTGCAGCCCCATATCATTTCCCACACTGTTCCCAAGGGTCACTCAACCTTCTGGAACAAATTGGGGGAGGGGGGGGCACAGTGGGCTGCAGAGGGAATGCAAATAAACAAAAATTGCCTTTCTACTTCCAGAAGCCTCCACTGGATCGCAAATAGTTCTAATTAAAGCAGTAGTTCCTGTTACTTAATATGATTATTAAAGGGTTCTTGCATCCCTACTCTCATGAGATGCAGCAGAATTGCTTATTGACAGTGAAAAACTGTCTACAGCCAAGCAAGCAGGACAACATCTTAGTTATTCAATGTTTTCAGGAAAGAAATACACAATGACTTTTTATTTTATTTTGTGAGGGTATAAGAAACCACATATAATGAAAATGCTTTTTACAAAAATCCTTGCATTCACTCTAAAATCCATGATAACGGCTTCTCCAAGTAGTTGCCAATACAAAATGTTTCAAAACAAAATCATGTCCCTGACTCCTGTTCTATCTTTCCTTCTGTGGATCTAGTGAGTGATTTAATTTTTTTAAAATAGAAAAGCAAAACAGTCACAAAGTGTCGAGGGAGCAGTGTTCAAAAGCAAACTATTAGCATAAAATGTGTTGGGTAATCTAGTACATTGTTTTAGAGGGTCCTAACACATTTAAATGCAATTTATGGCTATGGTTTTGAAATTTTGGACTGCTCTCTTATGATCCCTGGAGACTCCCAGGGGCTATAGGATATTATGGATTCCCAGCTGAGGAGAGCTTCCCTTGACTGTGTGCAGAAAAGCTCTGCTGTTGTGGCGCACCATTGGCAGCAAAGGGAAAACCAGAGGTATTCTAGGTATGTGTTAGTGAATCACAGAAGGGCTTGGATATTTATTTCTTATCCTACTGGAACCAATAGGAGGGAAAGAAAATGGGAAAAGAGAGAAACTGGAAAGAAAAAAAAACTGTTACAAGTCTTCTGTTCTGGTCAGCAGTTCCCACACCATGGACTCCCCCCTCCCCCCACTGAGCTCCATAGGATTACTCTGTAAGTTGTATTTACAGCTGTGTTTAATCATGGGCAGTCAACCTGCAGGCTGAAACACCCACCAGACCTAGCTAGCATTGCTAATGATGAGGAATGCTTGGGGGTTGTAGGCCAAAACACTGAGAGGGCTACAAGTTGCCCACCTCTAGATCAACATACATATTACATATCAAACAAGATTTTACCCTATATCACCATTCCTATCATAAGATTACCAAAATTGCGCATTTTTCAGTTTTAATTCTTACTGTCATTGTTTGCATAAAGATACCACCAATGATGGGGCAACATTAAAGCTAAAATTACAAGAAAGTGAGACAAGTTATCCCTTAAATATTCTGCTGGGGATAGGTAGGAAGTAAGACCCAAGCTCAGTTAGGCTGCATTCTGAGATCACGAGACCAACTTCTCAGTCAGTTTACATGCTCCAGGCCGGCAACTGGGCAACCATATTCCAAAGCAGCAGTATCAATGCTAGAAGTGGCCTGCTAACTAATTCTTCTCTTGTATATACACCAAAAGAAAGTCTTGGGAAGAAATAAAAAATATACATATGTTACACACACACGGCTTGACTAAATGTACTTCCCTGATGAAATAACTTTGATGTGGAAGTGCATTCTCTCATAAAATAATGCATTCACATTAGTTGACTAAACCTATTATTCAAACATTTATAGAAAGCGGCTTTAAATTTTCCAAATCTCTCATTTTGCAGAAAAATATACAGACATAACTTTTTTGTATCTATATAATCAAAGTTCAGTTAGAATTTATGTAACCAAGGTTCCAGTCTATCTATATAGTTTTAGGAGATCATAAAGTTCTCAGTGATCTCAAAGGGACTGAAAGAAGGGGAGGGGGAGGGGGAGGAACACTTAGCCTTTATTTTATAGCATTTTTTTTTCAATTACTGCAAAACATGAGCCTTGATATACTATACTTTCCAACCCCTGGATAAGATCTTCAAACTGAGATTATACTACATTCTTTCAGGAAAGTTTCAACTAGTTTAAATTTTATTCAGTACATTTAGCAGAAAAAGCATACAAATTAAAAAGTTTAATCGTGTCCTCCTGAAACGGTTGTCCTATGAGCTGAAAGCAATCTCCTGACAAATGATTTTGATCTTTAAAAAAATTCAGCATGACAATATTAAAAAAGTAATTTACAAATACGCAGTGTAAACAGTAAATATAATCAGAAATGACAAAGTTTCACAAATGAGAAACTGGCAGATTTACTCCAAATATTTATAAAACTTTGTATCTTCCTTTGTTGGTTGGTTGGTATGAATTTTGCTGTAACAAAACAAAAGAGTATGAAGTTAATCAGACATGTAGTCAATCATGAACTACATAAACTAACACAACTCTGAAACAGTTACAGAAGAACCCTGGTTGGATCTGAAGCCACATGAGCCCTTCATAATCTTGAAAATCTATTCTACACAGTTGGAATACCCTCCAAAATCCAGGGGCTGTTTTTTGGATTGTGAGTGCTTTGTTCACAACCACAACAACCCACCCTGTGCCAAGTTCACATGTCATGGTAAGCTACCCTTCGTGGCTTTAATGTTTATAATGCCTGCTGGGATACACTGCAATCCCCCATGGTTTAAATAAGCCACAGTGGGCTGCGGCCATAACATGAGCTGGCCCAGTGTTTGAACTGGTGCTGGGAGACTACAAAACAAATGAGGAATAGATGAAAAGCACCGTCCTGTCCCCCTTTTCAGCAGTGAGGCTCTTTTGGGCCCTGGTTCCCTCCACTAAAATATGAAGTTCTTCTGTTTGAACTCTGAATCCAACCAATTCATATGCAGCTGAAGAGGCGTGTTTTATGGTAAAAGAAATACAATGAAAAGCTGCATATAACATTTGACTCTGTGAACCCAAGTATCAAAAGTCAGTTCATCATGGAATAATTAAGGAACCCAAAAACCAGTACTAGAGAAAAAGAAAATATTGAGTAGAACAACTTGGCTGAAATAGAAAGCCTTATGACACCCAGCAGGGACAGCAAGTTTATTTTCATGGAAAGTAAGCAATACTTTATGCCCTGACCTGGCATTTCTCAGTGTAGATTAATCTTTCTTAATACCCTTTAAAAGGACTCCTAAAACAGAACCTTCTCCATATTCTATCTTTATTTGTTGCTGAAACAGGCCAAACAGAAAGTCTGGATTAAATGCTCCAGTATTTCTGGATCAGCAGTATTAATTAGCTGGGTAGCCTATCCAAGCTGGGGTCCCCCCACACAACTGCTGTGGAAAGATATGAGCTAACTTCATCACTAGAGGCTGGAGTTCCAACTTTGGTAAATGAAGAATAAGCAGTTGTGTGCTAATGTGCAGTAAGGAATGGTTCTGCAGGAGCCCACAGCATAATACCAAATGGCAATCTAGCATGGAATTTCCTGATACTACCTGAAAGGAGGACAGAGTCATGAAAATAGTCTGCCACTCCTCCTGCTTTGCAAACAGTTGTCCAGCAGAGCATGGAATACTTGGAAGGCTCCAGTCTCTAAGGCCTCTACCTCTCCACTTTTTAAAAGGTGGGTCTGTTCTCTTAAGGTAGTATTATGGAATTATCCTTTAATGCAGGCATGGAGAACCTCCAACCTGTAGGCTGATTATGTCAGTAAGGCAGCCTTCCAATCCACAGATACAGTTCCTCCTCGAGAGGCAACTGGGAGTTTGTAAAGGAGGTGAGAAAACTGCTTTGATACCTTACCCTGTGACTGGAAATGCTTAGTATTCTGCCCTTGTCTATGGATAACCAGAAAGTCTTGACTGACTCCAGCAGGGATTCTGCTGCATACCACTCCCCTTCCTAACCGGGAGGATGAACAACACTCAAGGGAACTGCTGCTCTTTTCTCCAATCAGATTGGAGATAAGAGGCCTGCAAGCGTAACACTCACCCTCCCAACTGAGAGGGACAGCACTGCACCAAGAGCTTTGCATATTCCCTATCCTCCCTAATAAGGGAAGGCATGGGGCAGACAATGGCCCTGCCTTTCTCTGCCAAGAGCTTCTCTTGAAGGGAGGGGGTCAGGACCAGTCACTCTTGTCTCTCCCACCTTTCTTGGCATGGAGAAGGGATGATAGCAAGGGGTGAGGCTTCAGGGAGAGTGCTCTGCTTCTGGGATGAAGGGCATTTCCCCTAACATTATGTGACCCCACCCCACCCCAAGGCTGAGCCAAGGTGCAGTCTGGGTCCCAGAGGTTAAACAGTTCTTCATCTTTCCTGTAATACCATTAAATACCTGAAATAGTATTTCACCTACCAATCTGATAAGCTCTTCTTTGATAAGTCTTGTAATTTCTGCTTTTGCTTTTTGCACAGCCAGTTCATTGGCACCTTGGGGCAGGAAGGAAAACACAATATTTAAGTCCAACTACAAAGTACAGTGATGAAGCAAACAATATAAGGGACAACTGCAGTCTACTTGGAGCAATGACAAGATTTCAGAAATTCACAGGACCTATATTTTAAATTCTATAAATAAGAAACATTCTGCATCATGTCACAGAGTTCCAAGCAAATTATTCTGCATGAGGATGAAGTGATGCAAAAATTCAAGGGAATTTAAAGCACAATGTAAAGGGTATAAAGGAATGATTATATTAGGGTTTCTTTTCTTATTGGTATCTTAGATATTATGTCCTAAATGGTTGGTGTAAGCACTAATGTATGCTGATTTGACAATATACTATCCAGGTCAGTAACTGAAACATTTTGCTGTTTGTTGTTTAAAGGTACCAGTAAGGAGATAATGAAATTAATGGTGTAATGAAGTGGAGAATTCCCAGTCCTAGACTAGTCTCAAATGTTCTCAGAGACCTTGGGGACTGGAATAGGAATGAATGCTCCATATCACTGGGAGTTTCCACATGAGAAGGAAATGCTACACAGCTTGGGACAGGAAACTATCACTCATTCTCCTTCAGCTGTAGTACTGCCCTCTTCTCCTTTAACCACACTGATTTCTGTTATCTTAGCAGTCCTTATAACAACCTTTTAAGGTAAATCAGTACGATAGGACCCCTGTATCCCCCAGTAGATATCTAAAACCACAAAAAGTAGCAAATACTATATACTATACATTCCTATAATAAAGTTTAATATATAAATTAGGCACAACAAGATATTAACAATAACTAAAAATAGAACAATTATAATAATAAAAGTTATGTGCATGTGGTGCGTCTCTCTCTCAAATATTTGTTGTACTGTACTCACCCCTCAAACAAGATGGCTGCTAGTGACTAATGGCAGGTAATGTATGCAGCATGGATATGCTGAACAAAGGGATGATTAATGTCCCTGGCAGGACCGCAGAAGATTTCATTTAAGTGAAATGAATGACTGACTGAATTAAGTGAAACTGTGGTAACTCAAACAGTGGATACACACGTTTTACTATATTACCATTTTATTGCAGGTGAGAGACTGAGATAAAGATTTTCTTGTCTACTACCACCTATAGCTTTTCACAGCCTGGTGCCTTCCACATGGTTTGAACTAAAATTCTCAGCATTTCTGACTACTGGCCATGTTGGCAGGTACTGATGGGAGTTGAAGTGGAGGGCACCAGGTGGGGAAAAGCTGACTAAGTAAACTCATGACTGAGGTGAGATTTGAGCCCAGTGACTTCACAAGCCCCATTCTCAGGCTGTAATCCTCTGAAACAACAGGGTAATCAGATCAGGCTGTTACTTGGGTGCAAGTCCTATAGAACATATTTCTAAGGGAAAGCACTTTCTGTTAGCCACCTACATTTTACAGAACTGCAGCAAGGAAAAATAAGGAACACCCCTCTCCCCACAATTTATTCTGAGTCCAGAAGGGTGTATGTCGGGGTGACCAGACTTGCTCAACAGAAGAGCCACATAAGGTAAATGTCAGGTGTTTGAGAGCCACAAGTAGGCGCTTGCAAGCAGTTCCTGTGGGCAGCAAGCCTCAAAATAAACTCAAAGAGTAGCATGTGGCTCCCAAGCCTTGGTTTGACCACCCCTGGGATATGTGAAACAAGGCCGTGACCTTACAAGTCAGGCAACCGGGGAAAAACAATCAAGCCACTGGTTAGCTAAAGGGCTGAGATGGAGTGGCTGCTTGTTGCTGTTGCCTACTAGATAGATGGGCAAGGTGTCTTGTGGTGGACCGACTGGTATATAAATGCTGAAGCTGATTTCATGGGCATAAGACTATGGAATGCGTTCCCTAGAAAGGTCCGCCAGGTGCTGTCATTATATGCTTTTCAGCGCCAGGTTAAGAACTAATTTTAATTGTATATGATTTATTTTATTTATTTTTAACATGTCAGTTTTATGCTCAGTATGTGGAATAGCTAATTTATTTTGTTTAGGATTTAGAATATTCTGTAAACCGATGGGTGACCTATAAATTTCCTAAATAAATAAATTCTTTGAATTCCACGGGACTGCTCAAAAACCACTGTTACTGGACTTTTTCCCTTATCACAATAAGGGGTACAACAGGGAGTTTGGTGTCCGAGTAGCAGCACTTAAACATAGGTAAGAGAGTGACTGCTGCTTCTCTTGCCGAGCTTGTACTTTCTTTCTTCCCGATAGTAATTTTGGAAACTTTGTTTAGCAGTGGGCCTTTGCTGGTGTGGGAGCCCAGGCCCAACACCAACTTTCTCATCACACAAACCAGAAAAGATGTAAACTGGCTCACAATTGCAAGTTTTCCACAGCTTGTTGAAGACATATCCTCCCAAATGTTAGCTTGCCTCAATATTGGAGTTAATCGCAACAAACTGTTTATCCAGGCTTAGTCATTTCTGGTGTAGAACTTCAGAATATGACAAAATCCGGACCCAATTCTACATAGTTAATTCCTACAAGTGATCTGTACATGAAGCGTGTCTCCCAACCCATTGGGGCCTGCAGCACTGTTAGCACTTGTTGCTTCAGCTCCTCTAGAAAAAGGAGGAGCTGTGGAAGCAGCAGCAGATAGGTCTTTACTAATAACCTTTTCTTCCCCACAGGAGTAACATTCATTTAATTTTTGTCACCACAGTATGAAAGTGCCATGCTTACCACTTGTTTTACATGGTTCTAAACAGCTGACATGGGGCAGCATCCAACTTATCAAGCGTGCCACCATAAATGACACTGCACTAGCATAAAGGAACTCTAGCCCAATGCCAATAAGATTAGCCAGCACAGGAAATTTTTCAGGGAATCCCATTGCACCAGCTTGTCTTATTGGTGCTGTGCTAAAGTTCCCTTATACTAGTTGAGGGTAATTTATTTTAACATTTGTATTGACTTAGATGCCTCTCATGGGTTGTTTCCACAGCAAGTCTGTACTCAGGATACTGTTTTAGTGGGAACACTTAGCAATACTCACTCTCAATAGCCAAGTAAATTTTTCGTTCTCCCTCCTTGGGTTCTTTGCCTGGAGGAAAGTATGTTCCTCTGATTGTAATGGCAGCTTCAGAATATTCACTTATTCTGTGTAGTGCCTCCTTTGATGTTACTTTCCACCTAGCAGTCTGCAAAACAAGAGAAGCAGGGGAAAGGAAAATATATTCAGCCCTCTAACTAATGATGCAGGATAAAAAATCAATCAATAAAAATAAATATTAAAAATACTCAATATATATTGCATATTCAATATTACATCTAAAAGGTCAAGAACAATTCTAAGCAAAATGTACATGATTCATTTTTAATTTCTGAAAAGGTTTTTTTTTGTGAATTGTATAAAAATTCTGGTAAGTATAATTTAGATATCCTGATCTTTCTCTCTCCAGAAACACCTTATACGATGCCTTATACTGAGCTGGACCATCAAGGCTAGTAGGGTTGACACAGCCTGGCAGCGGCTCTGCAGGGTTTTTTTCCTAGCCCTACTTGAAGATGCTGGATACTGATCATAGGACTTTCTATAGGCCAAGCAGGTACTCTTCAACTGGATTACATCCTCTCCTCTGAAAAAAAAAACTTGTTACAGAGAAATCCTGTTCTGGGAAGGAAAACTGCATAATGTATATAAAGATTCTGAATTAAGCCCTTTGCTATACAACAGCAATTAATATATGTGAAAACAAACAAACAAAAACCCTATCCTTGCCTGTGGGAAATCATTAATTTCCAGTTCTTCTTCATATCTCTTAAAGGATTCATTTTGTCCTCCTTCCTGTTTCTCCTCTTCTTGTTTCTCTATGGGCACATAATTGAGCTTTGCATTGATCTTCTCAGCCAGTTGTTCTGCAATTGTCTTAGCAGATACTGTCGGAGCCTGAATTGTACCACCTCTCAGGATAGCATTTGTAGCTTGCTGCATAACATCCTGTAGTAAGGTAGTATTTAAAATAAAACAGACTTTAATTTTAGAAACATACCACAGTACAAGACAGTATAAGGATTTGCCTCAGTTTTAGATACTGGTTTATAAAACTATGTACATGCATAAATACATATGCACATTCTACCTACACAAATGAAAAGTGCAAGACTTGATTATTACACATATCAGAATGTAGAGAGGGTTTCTCAAATTTATTTTCAGAAGATGCAAGATGAAAGGGAAAAATCGCAACAATCTCTCCTCCAACATCCCTATTATGCAAATGAGCTATTCCAAAGATCTGCCAAATTTTGGGACTCACCAAAAAAGGGAGCTATGAGGGATCACAGGAGTCTTGATTGGAATATACTCAAAGGCCTGTCTTAGTACAAGGACATCCATTTTCATGCCAAATTCCCAATTTTTAAAGGATCCTGAGGTTTGATAGCTACCTTCAACTTTTGTGTCCCTTTAAAAAAAGGTGGGATCACTTCAACCTTTTCCAATGCCAGTAGAGGCCCTGGTCAAAGGGGAAACTGTGCCCCCTGTTGGGACTATGGGGGCATCCAAAAACACGTGAATCTTACTGAGGTGTAATTGCCTGAAACCATTTCTTATAAGCAAATACTTGTCCCTTTGCTTTCAATGGATGGCTTGCCTTCAGCAAGCTGTCAAGAGGAAAAGGGGGGGGGGGTGCATGGATTGCAGGAATGGATTCATAGCCTCGTGCTTTGCAATGTCCAAGGTTAGCAGCAGACAGCTCCATGCACGTTGCCTCCACTGAGGCTAGAAAACCTGCTAGGGTGAGTCTGTGCATAAGCAAATGGTATGTGCAAAACCATCCCAGAAAAGTCTAAAATTAAAAATAAAAATGTTTGGTGCACATTTGGGTGTACAACATTTTGAAAAATGTTGGGCAGCAACAGAAAGCCCTCCCATGGTTCTGCTAAGACAATCTGAAGGGGCAATTCAAGGCTGTTCACACAAGAATCAGGAAAGATGTCTGTCAAACCAACTTTTGAAATCTTCCCGGAAAAAAAATGAACTGAGCAGCTGTGGTAAACTAAGAAGAGCTCAGCCTCACAATGGGGGGGGGGGGGGAGACTTTCTTCTTTAGTGCTGTCCCCTCAAATAATTCTGAGAGAATGAGAAAGAAGGAGTGAGGGAGGTAGTTAAGTACTCACAATGAGCATGATCATATGTGGGGTTCCTCATGGGTGTTTCAATGAACCCACTGTGACAAATTGTCATAATGGGTTGTCATGTGTGAGCCCACCCAATATATAGATCAATGTGTGGACTAAGCTGTAAGTATCTCTTCTTCAGGTAACAGACATCTCATTTGCTAAGGAATCATCCCTTCTTCAAATCTTAGCAGCGCTTAAAATTTTAACAGTGGACAGTTCACATAACAAGACTCCATTTATCAATTAAATCATCAACCAGGCAGCTGTAACTAAAGGCCAAACTAAATGTGGCTCAGGAAGCCATAGGAAAGAATTATATGAAATTAGATGTATGTCCTATCTTTAATATAAAAAGGGAACCTGAAAGTGAAGGAAGCTAAGCCCCCACTGCATTCCACTGTTTCAAACATATTTAACCTCCCCACTCTTTCCTGATATTGGAGCTAAGATGGGGAGAAAAATGTTAGGAAACCATAAAGCTCATCAAAACAAAGTAATGGAAGGTGCAGCTTCTGCTGTCCATTCACTTCTTTTTATACCCACTCCACTTTAAATGTAGCAGATACATGCATAGACACATATGCTCTCCCACCACATCATTTAGCCTGCACAGAGCTCAAAAAGAACAATCCTTGGACCTTCCCTCTTTGCCATTCCACCAGATCAAATACAGACTGGTATAATACTCTAAACAAGTTAGGTAATTCTGCACAAATTATTCAGAAGAATTACTTTATTCCTGTCATAGTCTCTTGTATAGGACTATATACACTTATTAAGAGGAATAGAAATGTGTAGTCCTTTTCCAAATAGTACATAAATGGGACACCAAAGCCTGGTCTGCATGATGTCAAGCAGCATTTGCCTAATTACCTAGAATTTGCCTAACTCATGTTGCCCCAAATGCAGGCAGCATTGCTTGTTAGAGGGGGAAACAACCCTCAAAATATTCATGAGTTCCTATTTAGCCTGTGATGAACCTGTGAACTAGTTCTATGAATTCATGTCTGTGTGCAAACCAAACTCAGGAGGTATGAAGAGACCTGTATAAATTATGTGTGCATCTCTTGCCTGTTTACATCTCTTGGGGTGTCCAAGATTATATTGCATATTATTAACACGATATTAAATATAAATTTTAAAATGTTTGATTTATAAATGAAACTGACCTTAAATTGAAAAGAGACAGATACTTGTGCCTCAGCTCCAAGATTCTTCTGTGCATTGATTCTCAATGCTAATCTTTTCGCTATTTCTAATTTTTCTGCATTTCCTGCTGTTGGGGCAGGAACATTAGATGTTCCACCAGATGATGCCATGTCCTTCACTCTTTTCTTTGAATTGAACATGCTTTCAATCTGTTCATCAATCTAAAAAAATAAGAAAAACCAGTGTAATTTCAATTAGAGAGACATACACACACACACACACACCCCTTATCTGAACCCCCACTACTTCTTGAAGCTTAGTTCAAAAACCATCCCAACTATCCCAGCCCCCTCTGGTTTAGCATGCCATATGAACCCAGATGACATACTAAGTGACCACCAAGGCAAAAGGCTCAAGAGCCGCTTTGTCAGAGCAGCAAAAAGGGGCTGCTACAGTGGCCAAGGAATTTCAGCTGATGGCAGCCGGCCAAATGCCCAAGTGGCAGTTTGTGACACTATCATCGATATCCCTGTGCTCCTGCTAATGAAGAGGGAAAGTAGGGCACCACCCTGGGCTTAAAGTATCATCTAAACCCAGCCAGTGTATAAAACTATTCTGGTATATATTAGGAATGAATGACTTCCATTTCAAAACTAAATTGTACAGTGACTTGGATAAATGAAATGCCCATCTCATTTGGAACGGTTCTTGAAAAAAATCATCAGAAGTTGAAAAAATACATAGGGTTTCTGTCACTGGAAACAATCGTTTCATTTTCTAGCAGTGTAGTGGTTAACAGTGTGGTTCTGGGACTCAGGATCTAGTCCCCGCTCAACCATGGAGCCAACTGGGTGACTTTAGGCTAGTCACAGACACTCAGCCCAATCTACCTCACAGGGTTACTGCTGTGCGGATAAGACTGAATGAGGGAGAAAGAGGATGATGTAAGCTGCTTTGAGTTCTTTGTAAGAAAAAAGTGGGAAATGAATTGGATAAATAAATTTTCTATGGCCATATCCAACATTAATCTAACTTTAGTCTTTTATTTCAATAGGTCTACTCTATGTAGAACTAACATGGAATACAACCAACCAGAGAACTGTGTAAATGAATGTAAACTGAAAATAACATTTAGCTGACAAGGGATTACATTCATGTCAATAAGAAATTTCTATGAAATTATTCAGATGGGCAAAAACATAAAAGGTCACAGTTCTATATATTATATGAGTACATAACTAAATTATCAATTGTAAGGACTTACATCCACTGCAGTATCTTCATCATCTGAATCCTGCAAACCAAGTGCAGCTTTTTGCAGTTTCTTTCTCTCATTAGCCAAAGCTTCTTCTGTTTCATCAAACTTGAAGCCTTTACCAGAGAACCCACTACTCTTTTTAATTGTCTTCCCTTCCTGAAAAGCAGTTTTTTTCCAAAAATTAGTCTTAATATACCTCTTCTAAAAGCCTTGTTATTACACATCTTATTATGAGATGAGAGTGTAGAATGAACCACACCTGGTTAAGCTACAGTTTAATGCCATTCTGAAGTATTCCCCTATGAACAAAGTATTATCAAAATAAAAAAATAAAACAGCCTATCCTCTAGAAATGTTCTTGCATTTCTACTAGGTTTCTAAAAGTAGGGGATTTGTATTCAAGAAAGTATTAAAAACATGATCCTTCAAACATGCATTCCGAAGAACCAAATTCTGCTGTCTCAGAACTCTTCAACCTCAACTCCATTACTTTCTATTTTCTTTAAAATATCAGGCCTAATTCTAAAGCAAAGCTTCTGACATTTAAAACCATGGCTGGATCTAGAGAAGCAGAACAAAAGGTATAAACCTATAAGTACAAGAGTTCATGCAGCCCTATGACAAAAAAGTTCTACTGCAGTTTTCATGCTTCCATTTGTGTAAATGGATTATTTTCACTTCCCCACCACAAAGCTTTAACATGTTGTATACATGGATCCAACCACATCCAACGAAAATGTGCCCAACTCAAGTTTATTAAATTACTATTTTCTGCTTGCCTAATAGTATCAGAATTTAACTACATATGCTAAAACCAATGACAAAGGAAGGATGGCTTACTTACAGCCTTTTGCTGATCTTTGAAATCAGTCCAAAGCTTTTCTAGCTCAGAAGGAACTGCAGTACCTGATAACTCGAAAGCTTTAATTATATCACCAGCATACCGTGCTTGATCTTCCGTTATAAAAGTATACGCATATCCCTGTTAATAAAGTATTATGCATAGTTTGAATTTAATGTTAATTTTAAGTGTTTCTAATTATTTTCTTGTGTGTGTGTGTTTATAAACTAAACACATAACAGAACATTTTACTTTATACCCCCAAAAAGGATGCATTTATTACATTGCATTTATATCCTGCTTTTCTTCCTCTTGCAAGGAACATTGCAAACTTGCAAGGTTCTTACAAGGTTATTGGTGATTCACTGCATTAATCAAGATTGTATGTTTATGTGACAACAGTCAGCAAGTGAGATTAGTTTTCAGGGAACTTATATTTAAGGACAGCATACTTTGCAAAGCTGTGCAGAACCAGAATCCCTGTTTTGGGACAAGCAAATATATGCCACATGAATATTCTGAGAACTGAAAAAGAGCAGTTCTAAGACATTATCCTGTGTCTTAATCCTGTGTCAAATTCTGGACATGTATCTGAATCAATGGAAACACAACCATAAACTTTCATGACATCACAGTTCTACTTTTGGGACTTCTAAATGAGGTATCAATTATTCCAAGGTGGATGCAAGTCAATTATTTTATTAACCAAAAATGGTATAAAATTGATTTTTATTTCTCTGTTTCTGCTATATTAAGTTGCACTTTGAAAATAAACACCTTGATTTTAAAAGCTTAACTGATCCATATAGGATTGAAACCAGAATTATCATCCAAGCTGACAGCAGGGCTATTTCTATCCACTACTATTTCTCCCAGACAACTACAAAAGTGTTGTAAATTGGCTCTATTTAATTGCAAATTGTAGGGACAAATCATTCTTGCCAGAGATGTTAATGTTAGGTTTAAAGAGGTCTTTTGAAATTAGGCCAAGGACTGCACAAGGCCTGGCCCTTAGCTGGAAACCAGCATATTCCTATTGTTATAGCAATAAGCATGAGGACTTGCTCAGAAAATATACATACTTGAAAGTGGGAAACATTATGTAAACCAATTATTTACATTTTTTCTTGGTGAGCTACATCTGAAGTGCAAAAAATGCACCCATCATGTAGCTCAAAGGTCCTTACAGGCCTGCAGAAAAAACTAGGAAAAATAGAAAAAAACCTCCAGGGATGAGCTATGTGGTTCATGCCCTAGAAGCCTCAGTCCTAGTGCATCCTTAGCAAGCAGCACTTGGGGGCTCCTGTTTGGTTCCTATGACACTCCAGGGATGGAGCTTCTAAAACAGGGAGCATAAATCCTGTACCTGCAACTTTCTTAGGAAAAAGGGAACTGAGAATATTACAGGTACGTGTCATGAACCTTCAGCTCAACATAGATTAGAGGAAGGAGAAGGGCAAGGAGCCAGGATTTCTGGGCAGCTTAAGAACTAATAAGATTTCTAGGAGGAATGTTGATTGTATCAGATCAAAGCAGTGCCAGGCCTCTGAAATGCTCTTGGGCAGGAGCTGGACTTGACTGGGGGTGGGAACAAAGAGAAAGGAAATGTAGAATATCAACCATGTATATGCAAACACCTGCCCAGCCCCCATCACTCCAGCAGACACCCAACACAGCACTCAAGCCCAAAAGGTTATATATTCCTTATTTAAAATCACTTCCATTTAAAAGTCAGTTCACCTGCAGCTTGCAAATATTCCCACCTTTAGCAAGCAATAAACCATCTAAAGCAGAGTAAATTTAACTGTTTTGTTTTTAAAAATCGTTGACATACTTTGTTGCCTGCTCGTCCAGTTCTGCCTGCTCTGTGCACATAATCCTCATAATGATTGGGGCAGCTGTAGTTGATGACAAGCATGAGATGTTTTACATCAAGACCACGGGCTGCTACAGATGTGGCAACAAGTAGTTTACACACTCCACTCTTAAAATCATTGATTATACTATCTCTATCATACTGGTCAATGCCTGCAAATGACAAGATTTAAGAAAGATGTCAGCATTTCATGCTTCATTTTTCTAGTTCAGTATTTAAGGTGGCTCAAAGAGTGTTTACTACCTCCATGAAGTGACAAGCAAGGATAAGAAGCTCTCATTAAGTCTTTCAGCAATCCATCTGCATGTTCTTGTTTATCTACAAATATAATGACAGATCCTTTTTCCTGATAGTGTCCTAGTAATTCAAGTAACTTCAAAAACTTGTTCTCTTCCTCTATGACAACCTGAAAGAACAAGGCAGTTCAGGGAGACAGCATCTCAAACGTTTTTCTTTTAAGTTGTTCAAGTAACAGTAAAAATGCAAACAGTAAATTATATCTGATGCAAGCATTTAACATACATACTTAACATACATAACATACATATGAGTCTTGCTTTAATTTTTACAACACAAACCCCTTTTGTTGGAAAATCTACAGTTGATCTAGCAAATGGTGCAAAGTTCAGCTCTGCTTTTCTTACCCTTGGAAAAAAGTTGTCTTACTACTATGCATGTACAAATCTGTACCACCATTCAAGGACCTGCTCAAACTCAAGAAAGAGTCCAAAGGACTAAGTGGTAGTTCAGTGGACTATTTTAACTTTTTCTCTGAACTGTAAACTCTGGCATATCACCCCACTCTGTTCAAGAAGGCAGGTCTAAAGCCCTGTTCGAGAACTAGTTTCATACTATTTAACCCCTGGTTCTCAATGCCTGACAAGCACTACAGAATGTCATTTAGAAAGTTATTTTCAAGCCCATTCTATCCAATCACAGAGGAATTCTGGTACAAAAATACAGCTTTGGAGATGAGTTTCAATCCCTTTCTCAGTGCAAGGGAATTTTCAGCCAAGGTCTCATACTAGCTTCCTAGCACAAAAGGCTCATAGGCTGGACCCCTATTATTGATGGAAAACTCTCAACAGAAATAACTTCACTGTGGTGTGGGAAAAAGGAAATATTACCAGCTCAAAATGTTTTGATCAGGCTATCCAAAGTCATGCAAGAGAAGGGTAAACATAATTGCTATTTGTTGCTTTGTTATTGTATCTTAGACAGCTATTTCCACAAAATAATCCTGAGGAAAATCTGCCTTGAACAGATTTTGAATCTTGGCTCTAGCATTGTCTTTTGAACACTGCTGCCGCAGCAGCAAATACACAAGGCATAGTTCTGCAACTTACCACATGCTGTTCCACATCAGAACAGACAACACTCCTGCCACCAACTTGGACTTCAATTGGCTTACTTAGTATTCGACGAGCTAAAGCCTCCATGGCTCTAGGGAAGGTAGCAGAGAACATAACTGTCTGCCGGTCAGGTCTCACATTGTCTACAATGCGCATAACCTATTATAAGTGTAAAGTTATAGTGTTAATAGCATGAACTTCCAAGTAAATGTGATTTTTAAAATGAGGCTTTTGTATTCTAAATCTCCAGATGTTTTGAACTTCAATTCAAAGAAGCCCCTGCCAACATGGCCAACAGTCAGAAATGCTGAGAGTTGAAGATCTGAACAACTACCATCTGCCTGCTCATGTTCCATAGGAGAAAACATTTTCTGCAAGTGTCAATGTTTAAACCAGTGCCAGCCAATCTTTCTTGGTAAGTTTGCCATGTATTAGCTAATACCTTTTAGAGCTCCACACAGTACTCTCCACCTGCTTTCTTGCTGGCTATGTGTGATTGTGCATCTAGTCTCTAGATTTGGGAGCAGGTAGCAGCACAAACAGAAGCACATGCTAGTGAGGCTTGTGAACCCACCTAATCCTGGTTCCTTGAAGCTTATGCCACTTTTGGCATCTGTATCACAGATTAACCGCACATGTTCTGTGCTACATACTGGTTACTGGAAAAAAGAGCACCTTCTGCCAAACCAACAACAGCAGTGCCATTGTAAGGCAGAACTGATTCAAAACACCTTTTCAGCCTGAAGGAAAAAAAACCACCTTGCTATATCTTTGTAATTTCCCATTTTTACCTGAGGCTCAAAGCCCATGTCAAACATTCTATCAGCTTCATCAAGGACAACATATGTCACTCTTCGAAGATTTGTCACCCGGCCTATGGAAAGGAGATAGAAAACAAAGGCAAACAAAAATAAATCTAAATGCTATTTTTCCTCAACAGCAAATGTAAATAAAAATGCTACAGATTTTAAAGAAACATTTTAAAATTATGTTTAGATTAGAAAAAACAGTTCACTAAATGCCTTATCTCTTGCTCCAGAGACAAACTTTTTGGCAAATGTGTACTGATGCACAAGGCTCATTATTTTGTCAAACTCTTCTTTTGCATACCAGTACAGGGCCAGAAAACCTGTAAAATTCAGAAAACAGCCCTCACCAAAACACATCATAAAACTAAGACTGAGGTGAAGCAACGAGCCACATCAGCCATTATCTGTGAGCGCCACCTAGAAAAAAACATATTAGAGATTACAGCGCATGTGTGGAAGGCAAAGTTCAAGTGCTAACTGAAGAAGCCTTATAAAAGTCTCCATGTAGATAATTTAAAATAGGTGATCATTTATGATAGGTTTAACCACACTAAAGGCAATGAGAACTTTTATCACCAATTTCATTAGCATAATATCTCACAATGACTGATAGATTCTAGGCAGCAACAAAAGTGGCACAGACATAATTTAGAAGCAGCATGTTCCATATTTACATACATGGCATAAAACTTTTTTTTTAAAAAACCTCTCCATAAAAAACAGCCATCCTAGTCATAGTGCAGCACAAATGGGCAAATTTTCAGGAGCCAGCCTGTTCCCTTTTGAACAGCCCACGGCTTGTCCAACTGTGGGCTGTTATGTCATCCCAACTGGTCCTTTATCTTGGAACAGTAGGTCCCCGTGTGCAAGCAGAAAGCACTTCCCTGCACGCTGGGTTTGTCACTGATCCAGCCCCAAAGCTGTAGCACCACAAGGCCCCTCTGCTATACCTCACGTGGTAAAGGAGCAGTATGCAATGTGGCAGAGGAGTTGACAACTGTGAAGGAATCGGGAATGCAAAGAGAGACAAGTAAGGAAGTGCTTTCTCTTGCAATCTCATTTGGGATAGAAGAAAGCAGTTTGAGAATTTAACCCATGAAGCCCTGAAAGGTCAAATCTATGGATTAATTTTGAAAATATCATACTATCAAACAGGGTTTAAGAGTTCTTTTGAAATGGTAGCATTACTAACATTTCTATCACTGTGGTTCTTAAAGGGACTTGAGGAAATAGTGAAAACTCCCGACTCCAAGGAGAGTAAAACAGGAAGTTCAGAGATACACTCTAGCCTAAGAGAACAGTGGAGTTCCTCTACAACACAGACAAGAAGACGCCTCCCTTCCACATGATGTTCTAATCCTGAATACACTCCCAAAACACAAGTCACTTCCATTCTACTTTGTGTATATACAGGAGATTCTAGTTTCCCCTCAGCTACTGAAAACTATCAGTTGGAAGGTGGATTGGGTTGCACCTGACTGCAACAAAACATTACTGAATTATCTTCAAAGACAGCACTTTTAAAAAAATCTGGAGGAATAATGCGATTTTAATGCAGTTTGTAAATTAACTATTTCAAAGTAAATGTAAGCTTTATTTCCTTCGTCAAACCTAAATTTATATATGCAGCATGTCAATATCTTAATACTCAAATATTTTAAATTGGCCACATTTTAATAATTAAGTCAACTCTCAGAAGTGGGATGTTATGTGGGAACAGCATTGATGCACCTACCTTTGATGGCTTAGTCTTGGAAGCCCAGTTCTATTATTCTTGAAGGGACTTTTTCCACAGAAGTCAAATGTCAACAGTTTAGTAGAGGTTTTGAAGCACAATATTTAAACAAATCATCAAATATTATCTGACAAGCATGCAACACTGCAATAAAAAAATTTAAAGCTGCAATATCTCAAGTTTAGTTCATTCATTTGTTGTAAGTAGGAAACTTGAGTTATTTAAGAAATTTCCTTTTGTTACATAGAAAACAGAGTGTTTACCTCAATTAAAAATGTAGAGCTAAATTTCTTCAGACAAATAATCATTAAGTTGCATCAATTTCAAAAAGCGCCAAACAGGCAGCATGACTTTTAAATAGATAGAATAACAGTTATCTCAAGTAAGCCAATTCTGAAGTGGAGGTTTAAATCCAAAATTCATATATTTATTCTAAGAAACTCTTCAAGGATTACTATCTTTCAAATATCTTTGAGACCTACATCAAGGGATTGAAAAGAACCACTTCTGTAATTATACACCATATTAGATATCACAGCTTCAATATATGCATTCATTCCAGAAGTCAATTTATTTGGGGGTCGGGGGAGAGTAACCCTGTCAAGTTTATTTCATATATAATAATATTATTAATTGAATTAATCTTCTTACCATTATTAGCTGCTAACATATCAATCATACGGCCAGGTGTGCAAACGATAATTTCAGCACCCCTTTTCAGTTCAGCAATCTGGTTATAGAATAAGATGGTACTTAACATTTATGAAATCAATGGCATTAGAAACACTTCATTTAAATCATTAATTAATATCTAGTATGATTATCTAGCATGAAATGACTCAGCTGGGTAGGGAACCCCTAGACTGAAATCCAGCCCACAGGGACTGTTTCTTTTCTTTCCATCCCATCCCCAAGGAATTGCAGAACACCATGTCTTCCCAGACAGCTCACTCCTTTCCATGCTGTGTGCTTAGGAAGCCCCTTCCTAGCACACAACACCGAGAGAGGGACAGAGAGAGACACAGAGAGAGGCATACACGCCTTGGAGAAACTTATCCTGCTGCAAAGGGGCTGATATACTGGCCACCCCCTTTTGCAAGAAAGTATACGTATTTTCATGGCTTTGCTTTTTGCTTCACAGCTTGTCATTTGTCAGCTGTCAATTTGCAGTATTGATTGCTTAATGTCTATGGCTTCTCTCTACTGAACTTTGATAGGAGAAACTTACCACAACATTAAGCAAGCAGCACTTTTAATTTTGTTCACCCTTATGTGTACACCACTGTGCATTATTATTATTACTGCATTACATATATACCCCACTTTTCTTTCTCTTGCAAGGAACCCAAGGCAGCTTACAAGATCTTGCCCCCCACTCCATTAATCACCACTACAAGAATCTTGTGAAGGAGGTTAGGATGGGAGTCTATGACTGGCCCAAAGTCATCCAGTGAGCTTTATAGCTCAGTGGGGACTACAACCAGGATCTCCCGAGTCCCACTCTAGCACACAAAATACACAAAACATACTCTTACCAGTATGCCACCAAAAATTAATTTTCCATTGATTCACATGTCCTTTTAAATTATCTACCTGCTATCTGGAAATGAATGACTCTCTGGTATCTTTTGGAATGTCTCTAGTGTGCTCACTTCCTATGCTCACTTCCTATAATGCACGATAAAGACCTCACAAGGTTTTTGATATTTAAACAACTGACACACACACACACACACACACACACACACATCTTATAGTAGATATGTACTTGATATCTGGTCACCTTTTGTTGAAACTTACATATAATTGCTAGCAAGCTGTATTTTCACATATACACAATTGCTATGTATTCATTGCTATGGATTATACAAATCTATGTATATTAAAAAGATTAATAAAGGACCAATTGTGAAATCAGTTCTGCAGTAAATGTAAATTAAACAACAAAACTGAAGTTTCATTAACATTTAACCAGAAACTTTGGAATGCTCTCCCCAAGAAGATTTTATGATGATGATGATGATGATGATGATAACATTTCTATGCCGCCCCTTGCCGAAGCCTCGGGGCGGCTTACAACACAATAAGATACATTGAAATACAATAGAACATAATAAATTACCAATAAATACAAAAATACAAAAAATACACTGAGATACAATAATATAAAATTAAAATTAACAGTATAAAATAAGTAAATAAAGAATATAGGAGGAGGAAAGAGAAGGGAGAAGAAGTTGCCCTGGTCAGATCATATATTTTAACAATTAAAATGATGTTTAAATAAAAAGGTCTTTACTTGGCACCAAAAAACCAGTAACGACGGTGCCAGGCAGACCTCTTTGGGGAGTGAATTCCATAGGTTGGGCGCCACCGCAGAGAAAGCCCTCCTCCGAGTACTTACTCTCCTAATTTCTTTCATGGAGGGTTCCCGGAGAAGGGACTCTCCCGCAGATCTCAAGGGGCAGTCGGGCATATACAGACGTAAGCGCTCGTTCAGGTAGCCAGGACCCAAGCCATTTAGAGCTTTATAGGTCATAACCAACACCTTGAATTGGGCCCGGGCTTCAATGGGAAGCCAGTGAAGCTGACGGAGGGCTGGAGTCATGTGAGCATAACGCCCCGTCCCCGTCAGCAACCTGGCAGCTCTATTTTGCACCAATTGAAGTGTTCGGACCGTCTTCAGGGGAAGCCCCACGTAAAGCGCATTACAGAAGTCAAGGCGGGACGTCACCAGCGCGTGTGTCACCGTCGCCAGGCAGTCATACTTCAGGTAGGGGCGCAGCTGATTAATCAGCCGAAGCTGAAGGAAGGCGCTCCTCGCCGCCGCTGTCACCTGAGCTTCCAAAGAAAGCTCCGGGTCGAAGAGTATTTGCCCGGCACCTTCCCTACTTTCTTTCTGGCGCCAGGCTAAGGCCTTCCTTTAAAAGTGTGTGTGTGTGTGTGTGTGTGTGTGTGTAATTAATGCCATAAGACCTTTGTTTTGTATTTTTTGCTTGTATTTTATTGTTATTTTAATGTGTTATTGGTTTTTATTGTACTTTTATCTTGTGGTTCTGAACCGCTCAGAGGTGCTGTGGCACAACTGGATGCACAATTTAAAAATTTTCCAAAATTAATAACCATGTTAGAAAGAAACTTCAAATTTGAAACTTAACAAAAAAGAAAGGCCTTCCAAATTTTGTCCTGGCTGCAATGCAGAGACCATGGGCAAGATACACATTTCATTATGTACCTGTTCACTTATTCCTGTTCCTCCATATACACAAACAACTCTAACCCCAAGTGTCTTGGAGAACTTCTTGCACTCCTTTGTAATCTGCAAAGCCAACTCTCGTGTAGGAGTCATAATGACAGCTGAAAAGAATAAAGATTAGAATTATAATCACAAAACTGCTGACCCTAAAATATGTTTACTAATAAGCAAATACCAACAATTTCATTGCAACCTATTCCCAAATAGTTGGGCTTAGGTGTGGCAATATAGTTCAGTGGCAGAGTAGCTTATTGCATGAAAAAGGTCTCGGGTTCAGTCCCTAGCTTCTCCCTGCAGGGTTGGAATGATCCCTGCCTGGAACCTGGGAGAGTCACTCCCAGTCAATGTCAACAATACTGCACTAGAGTGACCACAGATCTGACTCAGTGTAAATCAGCTTCCTATTTTCCTCTCCTGCAGGATCAGTAAGATTTCCTCTACAAATAAACCTAGTATCTATGATGATATGACTCCCCACCTCTTCATACACAAGAATTTTTTGTACAGTATTCAGATAAAATTCTATTCATCTTTAAGTTATTTGCTACAATTTTAAATAGTGTGTAAAAATAAATATACAAATCTGAGACAGTTTCAAGAAAATTGTTCCTTATTAAGTCATATTTAATTTGTAAATATTTTTTTAGATTTTTAATTGAATTAACTTCTTGAAGAAACCACTTAGCTACTGATTACTTTTAGCAGACATAAGCATATATTAGTTTATAATCTAACCGTAAAATGCATGCACACCCCCCCAGATTTCCCCACAATACATCTGATATACTGAAATTGAAGCTGCCCAGCTGCATCATCTGAATTTATTAAAAAGAGAAAACCAGCATGCAGTTCAGAACAGACTACAGCACATATGAGCTGAAATAAAGCTGAAATAAAATACAAGGAATACTAATCTGAATATACCTGCAAATTGGTGAGCCAGAGCTCTAACATTTTTGGAAACAATAATCAGTAACTGATGTACAGTATGAGAAGGCATTTCCTCACACAGTTCCTTTCCACTTTTTCCTACACACTTAAAACACCATTACACCCCAATTTATGTTCCTATGATGTCACTGTACCTATTGGGCCTTCCCCTTCTTCTAATTGTCTCTGATCCATGATGTGTCTGAACATGGGCAACAGAAAAGCAATGGTTTTTCCACTTCCCGTTTTAGCAATGCCAATTAAATCCCGTCCACTCATAATTGCAGGTATAGCTTGGGCTTGGATAGGGGTGGGTTTGTCATAGCCATGCCTTAAATGAAAAAAGAGATTAGGGTTAGGGTTATATTCACATCAAACTGCATCAGTATTTATTTGCATAATCTGAATATTAAATACAAACAAAAACATAGCACAACAGTTGTATGATTAATGAACAAAGGATATAGCATTGTGTGGTGGAGTGTTGGAACAGGGAACTGGGAGATCCAGGTTTTAGTCCCCACTTGGCCATGAAGCTCACTTGGTGAATTTGGGCCAGTTACTCACTCGCACGACCCAACCTACCTCAGAATGTTGCTATTGTGAGGATAAAATGAAGTAAACAAGAGCTGTAAGTTGCCTTGGGTTCTTCAAGAGGAAAAAAAGATGGGATATAAATGCAATGTAATAATAAGAAGAATAAAATCTCTGAAATACAAGGTTTATAAGGTGGTTTCGTATACAAAGACCCACACAGTCACTATATACTGGGAATATGGACTAACCAACAAGGACATTGTCTAGGATACATAATCACATTCCAAGGCATACAACTTGCATTTTCCTATATTGTTCACTTACTTTTTCAGGGAATTCAGAATTTTCATAGAAATACCACACTGCACCCAGGTTTTGATTGGCTTAGGACATCCTTTACCCTTGACTGTAATTCCTTCCATTTCCATCCTAAATGTATTCACCTCTGCAACACACAATCCAAATTAGTATGCAATTAACTTCCACATAAGTTAATGTACCCTTGTAATATGTTTTGTGAAAACTGGATGTTATTGGCTTTTGCAGCAATGTATTCTCAGAACAGCATATTAAGATGTCTGTAAATGTTTCTAGCATATTTTTATATTGCAAGCATGTCCATATAAAACATAATAATGCATTGATATAGATCTAGAGTGGGGAACATGTGTTAGTGAAATCACAAGAGCCAAACAAGGCAAAGGAGGACTTCCAGTATCCAGGAGTTAGGAATTCATTCTTCTGAACAGTTCCTCACCCTTTCCTGTAGGTAACAGCTGAACAATCTAACATTAGGAATACGTATAGACCAAGATCTTAAGCCTGTGCGGGTAACATCTTCACATGGCACTGTGATTTCTAAGACATACCCCATCTTCTGCAGCCCAAAATTCGTATCCTCAAAAATTACTGCTCTCCCAGAGTTAGCAAACTCTTAACCAGCCTCCAAAGCATCATAAAATGTTAAAAAGAAGAAATTGCAAACATTTTAGAAGACACTGGTTTGGATCCACAGTAGACCTTCGCCAAATGAAGTTTCCTTCCATTTGCAGAAGGGTTGACAATCTAGAAAAGGTTGCAGTTTGTGCAAGAGAAAAAGGGGGCAACTGGTGCAGATTGCACAGTCGTGCACACTGTACTGAACCATCCATTAATCCTCCAGAATAGATGTAGGGGGGAAGACAGAACCCCATGCTTCTGACAGGAGGCTCTACAAGCAGAACCCAGCTTATAAAACTCTGTATCCAGGCACTTAATTGAACATGTTGCTTTGTATTTTTGTTACCTTCTTGACTCATTTTAGCCAGCTCTGGAACTTCAACATAGAAATTTTTCCTGTAAGTCTCATATTCAATCTTCCCGTGATCCACTGGTTCTAGTAACTTCCTATGTTTGGTCTGGTAGCCTGTTAATGCAGTCTGGAGATCAACTTCCTCCTCTTCAGAGGAATACTGTTGAGTTACAAAATCACAAAGACAACTGAAAAATGTGAGCTTATTCCCATGATTAAAATGAAATATTTTCTAAAATACATCCTCTTGGAGTGGGAGTTCATCAGCTAACAGTTCAATATGTTAATTACCTCCATTGCATCTTGGTCATTCACCATGAGTTCTCCTTTTTTCTTTTCGGTCTCTGGAGATGCCTTTTTAGTTTTCACCACAGTTACTACTTTAGTAACTGTTGGCCCAGATTTCTTTAGAAAGAAAAGGTCAAAATTTATTAGAAATTTTACAGAATGTAAACATAAACTTATCTAGTCAGTGATAAGAATTACTCCTCCATACAATAGTTTTGATCACATTTCTTTCAGGTGAAAGCTCAAAATCCTTCTTGAAAAGCTGGATATTAATACAAGAGCAGTTTACCTTTTCACTTCCACCACCACCTTTTACGCTCCTCATATTAAATTTCTTGACCTCTTCCTTTACTTCTTCCATATATGCATCTAATGGATCTAGTTCTTCATCTTCAATTTCATTGCCTTCTTTTTCTCCTTCTGCTGTTTCTTCATCATCATCTAATGGAAACAAGAAGTTCTAAGTAGTACATAGAACCATACTGGGGTACAGCTGAGTGTGCATGTACAAAACATTCTTTCATGCACAAGTGAATTCAAATGTTTTGCTAAGAGAACGGTAAAACAAGTTTCTGCATAAGCAGAAAGCTTGTAATTCCTGTATAATTTGGTTAATAAAATTTGAGAATTCTCATAAATAAGGCATTTATACTTGCATGCATCTTCCTTGAAATTGGTTTCTACAGTATTTTGGACAATTTATTTTTAAGTTTATAACTTTATGGTTTAGAATTTTAACAACTTGGTGTTATTCCTCCTTCTCCATATCAACCTCAAAAACAAAAACAAAAACTGCAGTGTGGTTTGCCACACCAAGCTGTATGCCTCTCAAGAAAGCCAACTCCTCGCACTTCCTGGATTTTTTCACATGCCCTGTATTTTTCTATGCCACCTTCTCCAAAACGCTGAATAATGATGATCGTCAACCCAGTGCTGGTACCATTTTGAGTCTCCACTTGCACACAGATGAACCTTTAGCGTCACAGGACAGGCCCTTCTTAACTATCTTCCCGAAATTGTCCCTTGCATTTTAGTCTTTGAAATTCAGAATTTTAATAGATTATAGCCAGAAGATCTCAAAAGTAAAATGTACACACTTCCCAACTTTTCTCCAGAACTTTAATATTGGACAGGCATTGTACATATGAATTAATTTGGCACATGATTTCCCACATCTTCACTGAGCCAGGTACAACAGCAACACAAAGCCTACTTTCCCCAATGAATTTTGTGAGAAATTAATACCATCATCATCTTCTAAGCTCCATTTCTTCCCCTGCTTCATCTCTTCAATTTCTTTTTTCAGTTCTCCTATATTTTCCATAGCTTTCTTGCGCTGTTCTTCTCTCCATTTTTCTACTCTTTCTTTTCGTTTTCTCATTTCTTCTTCTAATTTGTTCTGATCAAAATTCTATGAGAGAAAAAATAATCAAATGAAAAAATGTGGTTCATTGATATGACTTGTCCTTCTATATGCTTACTACTTTTATATCCAACAATGATTAACCCATTTACCCACAAGAGCTGTCTTTAAGTTCTATTCAATTTTCTGAATCCCCCTAATTCCTGTTTTACAAGTTGGTGTTACACTGACCATTCCCCAGTTCTCCTGTTCAGAAATTGATCATAGGAACATGCATTTGTTAGATATTAGTAAAATATTGTGCTTGCTCTTTAACATCTAAGTACAGAGATAATTAGTGTACATACATTTACATCTTTATCCTTTTCTTCTTCTTTGTCCTCTTTCTCCTTTTTCTTTTCTTTGTTAACTTCCACACCTTCTATCTTTTCTTTAGATCGTGATCTGAAAAACAGTATCAAGAGTGTGTCAGCTTCCTTCAAAAGACCACGGATGACATGAACAGAAATGATTATTGTATTATACTTAGGTCTTATTCAAACCCATTAAGTAAGGGAACATTGGACATGACAGCTTCCCCACCACTCCCCTCCTCTAGGACAACTGCAAGATCAGAAACTTCCACTCCCATTTTTAACTAAATAGTGTTTAGTATTATCTCTAAACCCAAATAAACTGTGACATGTTTTAACTATGCTTGAGAAAAACATTGCTCAGTCGCAAAGTCGTGCCCAACCCTTTGCAACATCTATCCTCCACCATCCCCCAGAGTCCACCCAATCCCACACCCACCTCCCTAGTGACCCCATCCAGCCACCTCAACCTCTGCCATCCCTTTCTCCTTTTGTCCTCAATCATTCCCAGCATTAGGGTCTTTTCTAATGAGTCCTTCCTTCTCATTAGGTGGCCAAGTTTTGAGCTTCAGTTTCAGTATCTATCCTTCCAAAGAACAGTCAGGGTTGATTTCCTTTAGGATTGACTGGTTTGATTTTGAGAAAAATGAGACAACATCAAATAGTGGTTTATGAAGGTAGCTTGTTTCTCTAAGCCACAGTTAAGACTAACCATGGTACAGGGTTCAAAAGCAATGTGATTAACTGAAAACAGAAGTGAAGGAGAAGGCAATCAATGGAAGAGGCAGCCATCAGTGACTGCTAGCCACTACATGCTACCATTGTTATTAGAGATAGTATGTCTGCATAGCAGAACTGCTGAGGAGTCTTGGGCAAGTAGAATTCTTGTACCCATCCTGCTTGAGGAATCCTGTGGACAAACGGTTGTCCCATGTAAACAGAGTGCTGGACTAGATGGGCCATTGGTCTGATCCAACATGGTTTTCATATGTTCTTATCACTTCCAATTTCTTCTCTATGGCTGTGCCAAGAAGCTGGAGTTCATGAATCCAGAGGGTCATGTACACAACTCTAAAATATAGCATATAACTATGTTCAAACCAAACCACTTTTTTGTATTCTGGAAGTAATGACCAGTGTAATTCTACATAGTTAGGCATACTTGTCCATTGATTTCAAACAATTTAGGTGCACAGAATTCTACACGGAAAGAGGTTGTAACATATACAGATATCCCTTGTTTTATTTGCAGATATTGTGTTTTTTTATAAATTGAAGGTTTGTGGCAACCCTGTGTTGAGCAAGTGTTTAGGTGCCATTTTCCCAACAGCATTTGCTCACTTTGTGTCACATTTTGGTAATTCTTGCAGTATTTCAAACTTTTTCATTATTAATATATTTCTGATGGTGATCTGTGATCAGTGTTCTTTGATGTTACTATTGTAATTGATTTGGGATGCTATGAACTGCACCCATGTAAGATGGAAAACTTAATACATGTGCCTTGTATTCTGACTACTCCACTGACTGGTAATTCCTCTGTCTCTTCCCTTCTCCTCAGGCCTCCCTATTCCCTGAGACACAACAATACTGAAATTAGGCCAATTAATAACCCTACAATGGCCTCTAAATGTTTGAGTGAAAGGAAGATTCGTATGTCTCTCACCTTAAATTAAAAGCTAGTATTGATTAAGCTTAATAAAGAAGGCATGTCAAAAGCTGAGATAGACCAAAAGCACCAAACAGTTAGCCAAGCTGTGAATGGTTCTTGCAGGAAATTAAAAGTGCTACTCCAGGAAATACACAAATGATAAGAAAGCAAAACAAACTCTTACTGCTGATATGGAGAAAGTTTTAGTGGTTTGGAAAGATCAGACCAGTCATAAAATTCCCTTAAGACAAAGCCTAATCCAGAACAAGGCCCTGATTCGCTTCAATTCTATGAAGGCTGAGAGAGGTGAAGAATCTGTGGAAGAAAAGTTTGAAGCTAGCAGGCATTGGTTCATGAGCTTTAAGGAAAGAAATTGTCTCCTTATTATAAAAGCATAAGGTAAAGCAGCAAGTACTGATGTAGAAGCTGCAGCAATTTATTCAGAAGATCTAGCTAAGGTAGTTAATGAAGGTGGCTGGACTAAACAACAGATTTTCAATGTAAATGAAACAGTATTATACTGGGAGAATATGCCATCTAGGACTTTCATAGCTAGAGAGAAGAAGCCAATGCTTGCCTTCAAAGCTTCAATGACAGGTTAACTCTCGTTAGGAGCTAATGCAGCTACTAACTAAATTGAAGCCAATGCTCATTTACCATTTCAAAAATCCTAGGGCCCTTAAAAATTACGCTAAATCTAATCTGCTTGTGCTCTATAAATGAAAAAAAACAAAGGCTGGATGGCAGCACATCTGTCTACAACACGGTTTACTGAATATTTTAAGCCCACTGCTGAGACCTACTACTCCGAAAAAAATAACCCTTTCAAAATATTACTGCTCATTGACAATGCATTTGGTCCAACTCTCATGGATAACTGTGACAGATTCAAGACTTCAGTGAAAGAACTAACTGCAGATGTGGTGAAAATAGCAATAGAAGTAGAATTAGAAGTGGAGCCTGAAGATGTGAGTGAATTGCTACAATCTCATGATAGAACTTTTGACAGGTGAGGAGTTGCTTCTTATGGATGAGCAAAGAAAGTGGTTTCCTTTGACAGAATCTACCCCTAGTGAAGATGGTTGAAATGACAATGGAGGATATAGAATATTACATAATCTTAGTTAATAAAACAGCAGCTGGGTTTGAGAGGACTGACTCCAATTTTGAAATAAGTTCTACTGTGGTTAAAATGCTATCAAATAGCATCACATGCTACAGAGAAATCTTTCATGAAAGGAAGAGTCAATCAATGTGGCATGTTGCCTTATTTTAAGAAATTGCCACAGCTGCCCCAACCTTCAGCAACTATCATCCTGATCAGTCAGCAGCCATCAACATCAAGGCAAGACTCTCCACAAGCAAAAAGATTATGACTTGTTGAAGGCTCAGGGGATGTTTAGCATTTTTAGCAATCAAGTATTTTCTAATTAAGCTATGTATTCTTTTAGACATAATGCTACTGCACACTTAATAGATTACAGTACAGTGTAAGCAAATTTTATGAGCACTGGAAGACCAAAAATAAATTGTGTATTTATTCTTTGCAATATTCACTTTACTGCAGGAGTCTGGAACTGAGCACACAGGATTGCTGAGGTATGCCTGTACTATCTATCTGTTCGGAAGTATATATCACTAAGTTCAGTGGGACTTTCCTTCAAGTAAGCATGCACAAGATAATTGCTATAAACCAGGATCCAGGGCATACACAAGCACTAGGGTTTTTCAGCCCCCCACAAAGCTGCTCCCAATGCTCAAAAAATATTACAAACTAGTGTTCTGTGGGACCTACAGAGCTTCATAGTAGTAAGAAAAAATGAGCTGCCTCACTCATCAGATGCCTCTTTAGATTCCACACTTAATTTCATGTGTATCTATTTCATAGACATATAATTACATATGTATAGCATCCCTAAGACTCTGTTTTGTGTATGTGTTATCTGAGACAAAGAAACAAATCTGGTTTAAGATCTGGCAAAAATTCCAAGAACAAACCCTGCTACTCTTTGGGGCCTCACTTGTGGCACTGCCAATACTAGTGACACAAGCTAGTGTGGTGTAGTGGCTAAGAGCATGGGTCTGGAACTCAGGTGATTTGGGTTCTAGTCCCCAGCCAACTGGGTGACTTTGGGCCAGTCACAGACTCTCAGCCAAAGTTACCTCACAAGGTTGTTGATGTGGGGATAAGACTGAGAGCAGGAGGAGGAGAATTATGTAAGCCACTTTGAGTTTGTTTTAAGGAGAAAGTAGGGTATAAATTAAATAAATAACAGCTCCTCCACAAGTGACCAAGCACTACTTACAAAGGAAACATTACTGTTTCGCCATCATTTTTTTTTAGCCCCAGAAAATTGCACAAATGTTTTTGTTGATGAACATCTTGATGGGTCTGTGACCAAAGACTGATTGTTGATGAAGATGATGATAATACTGTCTTCTGCAAGTGTGCATTTACGGCTGTCCAATTTGCCTAGTCCTGCCTGCTCAACTTCCTTGTGTGTTTCAGCTAGCAAATGAAACAAGGAGGTAGCATCCGTATCAGAGAAGGAAAATGGCAAGGCAGCACTGCATATAGATAACCCAGCTGCCAACTGAGAAGTACCAGTAAAGGAGGAGAGGCAGCGAAAGTAATTGCATGGTGTGGGAAATATCTCCCCAGAGCAATGTAATCCTCTCCATTTTGAATTGTTGCACGATAGTTCTCAGTGCCCTCCATTTTTACAACAATTCCCCAGATCTTCAACCACTCCAGAAAAAGGAAGTATTCATCCCCCTACCTTTTTGCAGCTGCTTTTCAGAGCATTTATTGCTGCAGTTATTGTGGTTCCCTGGCAGTTCTAAAACAATTCAGAAATATATGCAAATTGAATGGCTGGGAAGTAAATGAAGGGGAGATTTGCACACCTGCAGTAACTACTCTGAAAAGCTAATGCAAAAAATATAGGTGTGACTTATCTCCCCTTTCTGCAGTAACTAGAGACTTAAGCAAGAACTGAAAAGGTACAGGGCACTTAGAACTTGAAACCACAATCTATAATTGAATTGTTATCCCAGGTTCCGACAACACAAGTCGTTACGGTGACTCAAACAACCCCTAGAAAAACCATGTTTGTAACCTGGGAACTGCCTGTAAGTTTTCCATGCTTAATTACCTTGCTACTTAAAAATATGGGAAAAGGAATTGGAAAAACATGCAGAAACAAAAGTGTTTGATTAAATAGATGAACTGCTGAATGAAAACACTGAACGTTTAAAACTAAAGGGCATGGGAGAACTCCCAGAAAAGTGAAGAAACAACACCAAAGCCTGGTAGGAAAGTGATGACCAAACATTTACTATCAATATTAAAATTAATTTAATGAGGTATTACATTCACAGCTTGAGATGTAAACCACCAAAATATTCACGGTTTTTTCTAGCACAACTATGCAAAAAAATCAGATAAAACAAACATAACAGCAGAACTGTGGAATGTTCCATTCTGCAATGTGATAAAGCACTTTCAAAAATAGTGACTCACCATCGATCTTGACAAATTAAAAAAGGATAGGAGCTCCACATTTAATATATCTCAACAGTTAATTTTTTAAAACCTTTCAAACCTCAAAATTCAGTCTTCAACCCCAATGGTGGTAAAGTTACCACCAGAAATGTGGAATGCAAGAGAGAGGTGAGAGGGAAATAGAACATACGGACAATGAACAATACACAACAAAAGGGACATGTTCCCCACAATTTTCCCCAGCTACAACAGCTCTTCTCCTGCTTCTACTCATTCCACTTCTTGTCTTCTAACTCCTCAAACACAAGTCTCTTTACGAAACCTTTCATCACTGCTGTCACTGAGAACAATGTGATGCAGCTGCAAAAAGGGCAAATGCTATTTTGGGATGCATTAATAGAATTATTACTTCCAAACCACAAGCAGTAGTGATCCCCTATATACCTCACTAGTCAGACCTCATCTGGAATACTGTGTCCAGTTCTGGGCACCAAGATTTAGGAAAGAAGCAGAAAAATTAGAAAGGGTCCAGAGAAGGACAAGAAAAATGATTCAGGGTTTGCGAACACTGCCCTATGAGGACAGAGAGTACTGGGTATGTTCAGCTTCGGGAAGACTGAGGGGGGAAATGATACCACTCTATAAGTACCTCAAGGTTATTATTTATTCAAAATATTTATTTAATGTTTTTCTTAGCCAACTTCCAAGACTGCAATCTTCCTGAGCTGGCATAGAATACAAGCTATACAATTCAATATCAAAGTGTTGTTAATTTCAGGTTAAGTTAGGGGTCCTCTGGCTTTTCAGAATTTTATAGACTGCACATTTTGCAAAATTATTTCATTGCTTTGGAATGCATTGGTTGCCCTACTGACCCCAATCAAATTCAAACAAAAAGTCTGTATTTCTGTAACTCTCTCAGACAAACTGTTTACATTGCTACTGCATGACAGCATCAAAGGTCTGGTCACTGCTGACAAGACTAAGTACACATGTACAAAAACATTGCAAAAGCAGAAAAGACTTTGTGTATGTTTAATCCACAATAATCTACCATAACTTTGGCTATTCTCTTAAGGCATTTGTATAAAATGGTGCCTATCAATATTTCAATTACCTGTTTTCTACTTTTTTGTTCTTGCCAGGGCTGGAAGATCGGGACCTTCTCCCTCTGCTTCGGCTTCTGGATCTTCTTCTCTCTCGACTACGGGATCGTCTCCTCTCCCTGCTTCGTTCCCTCTCTCTGCTTCTTGAACGCCTATGCAAAAGAAGATTTGGGGTTATACTATAAATGAAATATTTTGTGGTTTAAAGAAACTTCATCCACCAGAGAAAAAGCAGAAAGTCTTCATTCTAATAGCTGTCTATAAGAGAAAACTGAGCACCACTGTGTCAAAAATCAAAACTAATTACTAGTAGAGCTAAAAGGACTAACTTAACCAACATTCTAACTCATTCTTCCAGTAACAGGCAACATCCATTGCCATCTACTGGAATGGGAAGAAGATTGATTGTTTAATAAATTATTCAGTCTTCCTTTGGATTAATATAGAAATATAGAAACTGAGCAAGTCAGAAGGGGCCTCTCGGGCCATCTAGTTTGACCCCCACCTCCAGTCGGCTCCACTCATGACATGCCTACCATGTGCATGTCTAGCCTATCCTTGAATACCCTCAGATATATTGCTGCTTACCTCACACGTTTCCTATCACGTGATCGAGATCTCCTCTTGTCCCTGCTCCGTGATCTCTCACGTCTGCGATCTCTGTCCCTGCTTCTAGAGCGCCTATCATCTCCACGTTTTGCTCTTTTGTCAGGTGGAGAACGACTTCGAGAACGGCTACCAGAGCGCCCTCGTGATGAGGAGCGCTTCCGATAATGCCTGTGGTGTAGATAATACAATGATCAAGATGTATAACATGAAAAGTACAATGTAAACTACATAATAAGCTTTTTCTAAAGACTGCAACATTTAAAAGAGGTTTTAAAGGATATTTTGTTGTAGAACTAACAGTTAATTTATCTTCAGTGTCATTATATAGCCTCAGGCCTTAAGGTCAATGAAAGTCAATATGGGGTTTTAACTGGAGTGCTGGATTACAACTGAGAAGACCCAGGTTCTGATTAACACTCATAAATCAAATTCACTGAGCCATTTTTTGCAGACTAGTTACCTCACAGGGTTTTAAGAGAGGCAAAAAAGGGCGAAACCATGGATGCTACCCTGAGCTCCTTGCACAAAGGACAGGATAAAAATGTATCTTATTAGAAAGAATGACAATGCCTTTTGATCCCTACCAGACCTCTTTTGTTTTGTGTTTCATTTGAAGTATTTTCTATTCAAGTGGAAGCATGACTCAAGGCAAAGATGTATAACAATAATAGAAGAAAAGCAGCTTAGGAATTAATAGTGGAATGAAGACAGGGCAAAACAAATGATACATAACCTTTAAAGCATTTGTGTTAACTATATATATTGGCAACTGGGGGTGGATAACATCCTACAGATCAATTAGTTCAACAGACAGCGTGATCCAGTTGTTGGCAGCTTCATCAAGCTAACTTGCCTGGCCCACTGCAGTATCTAATAAATTCTGTGCTCACCCCCTATTTATATTGGGATATATACACATATGCACTTCAAAATGAGAAAAATATGCAATACAATCAAGAACAATACTTTCATGCCAAAAATGCTAATGAATGTTTGGTCAAGCAGTGTACTTTAGTTCTACCATACATAACATAATTTAGCATTACTAAGCTAAATATGAAAAGTATGTGCCAATCAATTCCCAAATGAAATGCTGCTGAATCTCAAAAAGGCTGCTAAGCACAACACACTAAGAAAATAGTGTGAAGCAGTACTTTAAAACTCGGTTTCCTATTTAACTAGCTAAAATCATTTGTGGAGCTGAAAATACTGAGAAATTGAGCATTGTGGCTTCATAGGACCATAGAAAAGTGGCAACTCTCTTAGTTACAACAGAAGTTCACCCTGAGCAGGAAACTACCATACAGAAAGATAAAAGCAGCCTAGGGAAAGCCAAAGAACCTCTGTTGTGGTTCACATTATAATGAAAGAAGTAGGAAGTATTTCACTAATGCATTCATTTACATAGTACATTTGCCCTTAGAAATTGTGAGATAAAAACTATTATAAATAGATTAACTCACTGTTTTTGTTTGGACAACTGTTGCTTTGTTGATCTGAGGAAATGAGAGAGATTAGGTAAGCAAGGTAATACCTTCTAGTAGATCAGCTTCTAATGATTTCAGCATGAAAGCTTTAAAAAATTGCCTGACACAATTGGGCCATACTTTTGACGTTCAATACTAGGATTTCCCAGATACCATAAAACCATATCTACTGTGCAAGCTGTTTCAGAAACTGAAACTGACTAAACCATGTACTGTAGCACTCAAGGGTTTTTGTATTCAATTTGATTAAAGAATTGTGAAATTGGCCATCAGTTATTAGTCAATACAGAAATCCATTTGCCTTGAGGCCACACTGCACCTATACAAAACAACCAAGCTGTATCAATTGCAGATAGCAATATATTGTTAAAGCAAGGAAAATCTTATAGAGAGTGTAGAAAATAAAGTTCCAAGCATTAAAAGATTTTTTCTGTGCGTTATGAATTCCCAAGCCAAATTACACACTCCCCTCAAAAAAAGGCAAATGCATATATTTTGTTGCATATATTTGACTTCAACATACATCTAAGTGGAGACACAATTAATTGACTATATGCGCTTAAAAGTGAAACAAGATTAAAAATCACATACATACCTTCTTCATGCTTAACACGTACTGTAATTTCCACCCAGTTATACATGCCTATGTCCATCAGAACTTGCTTAGTATTAAGTATTTTAAAGCCTGACAAAGGAGCAGTGTAAATTGCTCAAATCTTCATAAAGTAAAAATGGAATATAACCAATGCAAATAAAGAGAAAACCTGAGCAATCTACAAAATTGTCACACAGATTTTCTCCAGAGACTAGTCCAGTATGCAAATCACTCCTCCACAATGACTTTCTTTCAAAATAGTCTCTTGGTCATGAAACCACTAGGTGACTTTGAGCCAGTCACAGAATCTAAGTCTAGCCTACCTCACAAGTTTGTTGTTGTAAGGATAAAAATGAAGCTGTGTAAGTGATATGTAACAATACATACATATACCACACACAAGCATCAAGATAGGAAATAATCACAAATGACAAACACACCATAATGAGCTTATGTTACAACTGAAAGCAAGTTGTATGATATGTTAGTGGAATTCCAAACTTGCCTGGGGAAAATATGGTTGCTGCCTTTTCTGGACACAAATAATGTTTACATTATTTTATTGAGTCATTTTAACTACTACTGTCTGACTCATAACATGTGAAAAACATGCATCCAAAAAACGAGTCAACAGAAGTTCTCAGTGGGGAAAATGCGCCCAATCATCACGGGCAACCAGAAAGCAAGAAGGCCTAAAGACCAAGGAGGACCCAAGCCAAGCCTATCCAAACCCCACTCGGCTTAGTGCTGTAAATCGCCCTGGGTGGTTCTTTTCAATTTCCAGACTGCTGTCATAAAAAATGTTTGAAATAATATCCTTAAAATCATTAACAGAGGATAGCCCTCTTTTAATGGAGACACCCATTAACCCCGAGCGAACAGAATGCCCATCAGCCCCCTAAGCCTTCGCGTCTCCCACGCAGGGACTCCCGCCACCCGACGCCGGTACAGCTGCCATTAAAAGGCCTATTTCGGGGACAAGCTCTGTCTCCCGCTCGAATCCGCAGCAAGGTCAGCGGGGCAGGATTCGGACAGCGCCAAGTCCGGTTCCGGGGAGGCCTCCCGCTCACCTGGACTCCCGACCCATGGCGGCACCGACCAGCGGCCTTCTTGTTCTGCGTTTTGTCTCTCAAGGCGAGGCTGCCACAGTTGCCATCTCCGACGGACCAAGCGAGGCGGAAATGAACCGACCTACGCAGTAATAGAGAAGACGGGCTCCCCCTCCTTTCCGGAAGCCGCTCCACAGCGGCCTCTGGCGTGCGGGAGAATGAGGTGCAAGTCGAGCCCCGGCTGTGCCGCCGATGGGGCCGTCCTTTGCCAAGGGGGAGGAGGGGCGTCGCGGAAGGGCTGACTAGCCGCGGGGGCGCTAGTCTACCCGTGCAGCGCTGGCCTGAAAATCCGCGTCCGGTTCGTCTCTCCTTTATAATGTGTTCAGATTGCTCCCACTGGTTGCTGCCTGACTTTTGTATGGGTTTTGGTTCGGCTTGCAAGCCGCTTTGAAATAATTTTGATCCGTCAGGCTTGAAAGGATATTACAATAAAAATGACAAAGGTAATGCTCCTCTGAAACAAAGGATATTTTGATGCCAGAAGTAGAAAAGGGATGTAGCACCCTTACTGGAGTAAAATGTGTAAAAGGCATTATCTGATGCCTTTTAATGCACTGGCCTTGTGTACAAAGTGAGTTTATTTTATTTTGATGGACAATGTACGATCCTGTAATGAAAAGAACTTTGGAGTGAGGAATTCAAATTTCAGTTTACCCATGAAGCTCACTAAGGCCTTGCTTAAATCCCTCTGTTTCGGTTTAACTTGTTGGCCAGAGGTATTGCAAGGATACATGTGAATGCCCTGTAACAGCCTTCCCTAACACGAGGCCCTCCAGATGGGCTAGACTACATGCTACTATGCATATTAGTAAACAACTTCTGCAATTATACTGCACAAGCCTTTGGAAAATATGCCTAGCAGTGCAGGTCATCATACTAGTAAATTTCTATTTGATTGCTATATATACTGAAGAACTAAAAGCAATTCTTAAAAGTGCCTCAGAGAAACTTGCTGCTAGAAAGATCGTAACAGGGACCAAATGATGCCACCACTGAAAAGTTCTTCTCTTGTGCAGCTACCTGCCTTTCATTTGGCACGGCACCTGGTGGAGGGCCTATTGATCTTAATGCTTGGATAGGTTTAATGTTCTCCAAATGCTCCATGAAGCCATCTGCACAACAACATGACCTACCATTTATTAATCCAATATAATTTAGTTGTGATGAGTTGGCAGCTAACAAAGGTGCTAACAAATTTGTGCAATTTCCAAATGTATTAGAGTTCCAATTATGCCCAGCCAGCACAACCACGCAACAACTTACCTTTTCCAAAATGTGTTTTTATCGCCACATCTATATTGCATTTGTTTACATATTCAAGTATATGTATGGCTTTCCTATATGTAAGTTATATCTGTAGTTCAGACACTTACTGCAATTATCTTGCCCCCTTTCTTTATGCTCAGGATAGGCAACTGTATGAGAAAGAAATCCAGTTCAAGTCTCCTTCTGCTTTCTTACCTCAACCCTTACAAACCAATCCAAACAGATTCTACTCTGCTCAGATTTTAACAAACCTTTGGGGAAACAAATTAACTGTATTTAATCTGTTTTTCCTCGTAACTTCATATTGTTTTCAGTGTGCCTGTATGAAGAGGAAAATTCTAATATTCTTGTATTCCTTCTTTGTTTTCTAAAGTATAATAATTGTCAGTACCTTTTATGATCTACACACTGCTGTCAAAATGATGACAATTAACTGTCCACTTCTATGTTGCTGAGCATTTCAGAGAGTTGCTGCAATATTTACAAAGTATATCCTTAACTCTCATTTTCTTCACAGCAGCCCTCTGGCAAAAGATCAAGGACAGCACCATGTGGACACCTTTCTCCACAAACTATCAAGGAAATTTTCTGACAGAGTATAAATCAGAACCGATTGGCAGGAGATTCCAGGCAAAGGTGCTGCCTCATTCAATGCATCAATAAAGTATGGATTTGCTGCCATAAAGTGCAGTTTGTCACTAGTGTGGATGGCTTTATAGGGGATCTATGAGCTGCTATTAGCCATGAAGACTCTATGGGACCTTCAGGTTCATAGTCAGAATGCCACTGAATAGCCATTGCTGGGAGGCAACCGTAGGAGTTACCATTTGCACCCTTGCCCTGCTGACGGGCTTTCCAGAAAGATCTGGTTGAACAGTGCAGGAAACATCATGCTGAACTTGATGGACCTTTGCTCAGATTGGTGAGGCATTCTATATAACCCTGGTAAATTTTGCAATGCTGGTGCTCATCTTGCCAGTCCTTGTAACTTTGTCCACAGGAGGAAATCCAATAATCCAGGCCGATGTATTGATCCATTTCAACAAACCTTTTCTAACAAACCTCCCCAGGAGAAAGTCTTTAGGGTCTTAATTGCCCATTCAGGATCAAGGCAGTCCATTATATTTGGAACGACAAGAGGGATAGCTCACAATAAATATTGCAGGGAAACCTCATCCTTTGCTGCCCTAAGCACTGTGAGAATTGCAGCTCAGCTCAGCAGGAATCCTGAAGGCTATAGACACCATCATCCCTGCTAATCGTCCTTCTGCTTACAGAGCCTTTGGCTAATACAGCGGAATATAAGTTTAATAATAAATAAATAAATAAAACCCCAGTGCTATGACAGGGCTCCAACTGCATTACTGCTTCCATGACTAAGTTCATTTTCCAGGTATCTCTCTCCCGAAATACTGGATGTCATTCATATGCTGTTTGCCGTCTTCATAACAACCAGTGTGTTCTATCTCACAGACCTAGAAAAGGTTTTATCAGGCGAGCCACTTGGCCCAAACCCAGAGATTGAGTTTATTGCCTCAATTTTATGATAACCAATTGCAGGCATCACAATTCACTTCCAAACCCTTCTAAATGCTGAGATACTATAAAATCAGAAAGGTTAGTAAAGTGTTTGACAAGCTGTGCAGTCGTTTTTTATTTTAATGAATATTCAAGTACTGCCAAAGCATAAAAGAATGGCAACAAACATAACTTTAATGGATTTAATAGGATAAATGTAGAAATAATTCCTTTGATGGGCATACATAATCACAGGTTTATTGAATAGAGAAGCCCCAATTTTTGCAAGAAGAAACATATACAGAACACTTTCTGACTATTCACCTGTTGTTTCATCCTATACATAACTTCCCATACCAAGGAAAGTTTTGTTTTAAAAATGTTGCCTTTTGAAATCAAAAAGATTCAATTACCTTAGATACATACTGTTTTGTCACCATTTAAAACCTTCAGTACAGCAAATCTGAATTACAGAAATTCAGAAGTACTGATTGAAAGGTCTTGATTTCAATGGCTAATAAGAGTACCTTTAACTGTAGAAGCTGAAATACGAAAAGAATTCCTCAGGGCATTTTAGGGGTTTCTGTGATGAATCTGCAAAACCCAGTCATTGCACAAAGAACTCAAAAGCAAAACAAATGCGGAATCTTTTCATGTTCATTCATAGTTTCAAATAATGAGCTTTCAGTATGTCAGAGATAGTCAGACCTGGTAGAAGCTACTTTACTTTAGATAACAGAAAATGTAATGCTTAAATTAGGAGATTTTAGTGAAGCGTAAAAATGACTGTACACAGTAGAACAGATCAAACCTAGTATCCCAAGAGGAAGAAAATGTGTGCAGAAAGAATACAGAAACTCATGAAATGTTTGTTTGCTGTTTATGCTGCACCCATAAAGTGGCATTTTAAACTGAACAGAAAGGCAAAAGCCTTTGAGCAGGGGGAAATGGTGTGAGTAAATCCACAAGCAATTCTATTCACCCTTGTCTCCTATGTATCTGTGCCCCTTCATTATAACAGCAAGATTCAGTTTAATAAATACATTGTTAAAATTACAAGGCAGAAAAGTTAAATGCTAATAAAGAAACAAGGTCATAGCTGCTATTAGAAAAAAAACTGATTTTGTTTCCCAACAAAAGCCACAAGCACCTCTAAAAATAGAAATGACTTAGCCTGTGTAATCAACAAAAGTTTAACAGGTGAGATGCAGGAATTCCCAAAGAATACAGCTGCAAGGTAACAGGTTTACAAACTGTTTGAACAGCTTATTTGGACATTAGATCCCCATACATCTAAAGAGCCAAAGTAAAATCCTTCAGAATAATGAGAACTCTTTCATAGTAGTATAATTTCTTGCTGAATCCTTAAGGCAAGTAAAGTCACATGTAAGAATTGTGAATGGGCCACAGGTTCTGTACTGCCACTTCGGGACACCCTTTAACTGGTGACAGCAACAGCCGCACATAGCACTGAATCAAGAGCAGATGAAGAAAGGAAAACAGAGCAGGATGAAAAAGGGAGAAAAGAAAGCCTGAGGAGGCATTCTCTCCGTCTGGACTCCACATTCTATCTACAACGGCGCTTTCACTAGTTATACAATTTTATTCAAATAAAGATCAAGTAATAGCTCCTGCCATCTTTTATGATGTAGCAATTGTGGATTGCTGAATTGCTGAAGGAACCTGAAAAGACAAATTTTCAAATTTATTTTAACAAAAAATAAATAAAGGACCATCCATGAAAGCCAAGCAGAGACTTGACTGACCAATGGACAGGAGCCTTCGACAATGAACATAAATATTAACTTCTCAGAAATCATTTCTATTATGTCTTCTAATATCAGCATTTCCATGAGAAATGAACATTCCGTGCCATCCAAACCAGAATGCACACTAAGCAGCAAATTAAAACTAGAAGTGAAGACTAGTTTGTCTACTCTATCAAACCACAGTACTCCCCTATTACTTGTAAATATAATGATCTCTCGAATGTTCAGGCAAAAGAGGCTGAACTTTACATGTGCGTATTCTTGGGAAGGAACATACAGGAAATATTACAGAGGCCTGCCTTGGTATGTAGTACAAAGATCAAAACAGCACCATAGGGATGAACAGAAACGGTGACACTTCTAGAGTTAAATTACTCAAGACAGCGGGGGGAGGGGGGTTAACCGGCAATGTTTACTTTTAATGCAGCGTATTATATTAGATCATGTAAACACAAATATTAGGATTCCAGCTAAGACAAAAGAATGTTCATGAATGCTCACTGGGGATTTCACAGTTCAGTGTTTTAGCTCTGCCATTCACATTTCATATCAAACCTGCCTAATTATACAAAATACATAATATGCCCATCATTAGGCAGAGAGTAAGATGAGCTAAACCAAGCCTAATTCTGTTGCAGAAACAGAAGCCTTGGGGGTTGGCAGTATTTTGTCAGAATATTCCAACATCTAATTGAGAGTTTTAAGGTAATAATATATTGAAATAGCAGTCCCTAGGAAGTTCCTCTGGGTGGATCCAGAGCATCCCATCTTCAATCAGTCTCAGAAGAGGTTAAGCTCTACAGGAGGTTCCACTAGAAGAAGAACGGAAAGAAGCTATTTCCATCCATTTTCCCTTTCCCCTTGCAGCTCCCCAATCCAACCTCCCATACTGTTCAAAAGGGATCCCCAATCCTGTGGAGCAGCTTTACAGAGGGCACAGGGAGGAAGAACTATTGTAAAACATTGCCTCCACTCCTTTCATTCAGCAGTAGCATCCTGTGGGCGAGTTCCATTCATGGGAATTTGGATTCTAGCCATTCTAATGTTTGGTAATGAAATTCTGCCAAACACATCTCAGATTACAATTTCAAGTGAAGTATGCAACAGGAAGGTCATATGCTAACAGAACAGCCCTGTCCTTGGAATGATATTCTGTGTTCGACATTTGGGATTGCCATGTACCTTTCCCTTCAGAAATGCATTTAAGCAGCACTGAAACAAATAAGAACTGGGTAACGGGTTAACCCTGTTTATATATCCAAAGGCGTATATGAAATCAAGACCAACACAGTCCTGCTAAAGTTATACGGAGTTCCATGACTATCATGGCATTTCTGCACCAAAAAACACAAACAGTTCATGGCAAAAGATGAAGGTAAAGAAATAGACACAGAGGTCTGTAAAGACATCCCCCATTTTGCTGTAAGTGTCCATGGAACGACTAATGACTTCCGCAGGGATCCCAGACAGTAGAAGAGCAGCAGTTAATACTGTAGTCTTCGTCTTCTTTTCACTCTGTTTGAGAAAGAAAGGGTTAACTTCATCTTTCACAGTTTAAGTTCATTATCAGAGTTTTAATATATTACGGGCAGACTGCCTGTACAGGATACCTGCACCCTTATGTTTATGAAATGTGTGTAGCCCCAAACTCTCCAAAAATGTAAAGCAACAAAGCTAATATCCCCCACCGAAATTATTCTAAGTTGTAAAAAGCATAAGAACCCCTCCAAAAAAAAAAAAAAAAAAGCAGAATTGTAAAATAGATATGAGAATGGTCTGCAAACAAACCATGGACTGCATGGGTGGCAAGGTAATGACCAAGACATAATTGTAAAGTCCTAAAACTCCCAACATGCCATGGCTAACTGGGGCATGCTGGGGTTGTAGGACTACTTTCTGTCTAAACATTTTTCGCATTGCATTTTAGGTTACTGAAAGTATTTTATGTTTCATATCCAAGCCAGCAGCATTGCAATGCAATGCAATGCAGAGGCTGCACAGCCTCTTCTTTATGATTTATCAGTGGATAAACTAATGTCGATTCTTCATGAGCAGATTGTTACATGTTTCTAGTCTTCCACTTCTTTAGTCTTCAATGTTTAAGGTCGTAAGAATAAGTAACAACCCAATCTATTATTTCACCATCCTCCTTATGAACACCATATATAGATCAGCCTTCTCCAACCTTGAGCCTTCCAGATATATTGGACTACAACTCCCAACATTCCACACTCAGAATTTTGAAGAAGACTGATAGCTGAATTGCATTCAGCGTTGCAGACAGCAGTATGCATACACATTTCTCTCCACAAGAAGTCCACACTTGTTTCTTCTGTATCAGAGCAGGCACAAAGTAGATGTTTGGACTTCAGTTCCCAGAAGACCCTGCAACCATGTCCATTGATCAGGAATGCTGGAAATTCCAGACATCTGGATTACCAGATGAAATCCCAAACATCTGGAAATCTATCTACTGCCCACCCATATCTAGTGAATAATTATTTCATTTTGCAATGGCTCAGTGCCCACCAGACCTGGGGGTAAATTGTGTTTGGATGGTCATGATACTGTCTTGACATTATCTTGCAATGAAATAAAACGGCTTATGAAGGGTAACTTCTAAGTAAGGGCAAGCATAGCAAGTTGGCTCATTTTTTAATATCAATCCTATATGTATCTACCCAGAAGTAAGGCCAATGTAAATGTGCAAATAGTTTTATATAAAATATAATGCTATCATCTATTACACAGTATACAATATAGGAATATTCTATAACAACAGATTTTTCCTGCAATAGTTTTTTAAAATTAGAAATATTGAAAATGCATTTGTCCTAACACCTTACCTTTGGAAAATATTTGGACAACCCCATGTATGCAAGCTGTAAGGTAAGAAATGGTGCAAATATAGACTGTGGAGGGAAAAAATGCAAAAAAGTTATATGAATTAGAAAGCAGTTATGAGGAACTACCTTGATAAACATATTCAAGAAAAGGTCTATTTTTTGTGATCTGCATCAGGCAACACACTGAAAAATGTATTCAGAAGTTGAACCAAATTTCAAAATGGACAAAACTGTCCAAGGAAAATGTGCTGCTACGGAGGTCATTAACAAGTATGTCATCTACTCCTGCAGAGGTTACAAGGTATTTGTGTGCTATCTATCCTACAAGAACCTTTACATGAAAGCTTCAGTCAAAAGTAATTATTTCACATCATATAAGAAGGCTCAGTGTATTGTAATATTCCAGGATATTTTATATATATTTATTATTGTATTTATTTGTGATTCTTATTTATGGCTGTTATCTTATTGAATGGTATATAAATGTCACACATAAATATTAAAGTCATATTTAACATGAAATATTAAAACAATTACAATAATATAGAGTGGTAAAATGGAGCAGCATAGAAGCATAGAAACGGAGCAAGTCAGAAGGGGTCCCTTGGGCTATCTAGTCTGACCCCTGGCTCCGCTCACAACATGCCCACCATGTGCATGCCTAGCCTATCTTTGAACCCCTCACCGACGGGGCCTCAACCACCTCCAGTCAAGAAATCCTAAATGCAGAAATGTGTTTTCAGAAGGCATTTGAAATGTACCACACTTTCTGCCACCCAAACTTCACATACAATGTGCAGGAACTTGATAATAATGAAGCTAATTACAAATTGCATTTTATATTGTTGGAAAATGATTGTGTATAATTATCCAGGTTCCTTTTAAAAACCTGTGTGTGTCTCAAAATGGACTGGATAATTTTAGATTTTTGACAGTATGGTTCAACCCTCTCCATTTTTGCTTTTCTAGAATTTGGCACCTGTACCTTGTTAATCTGACCTCAATTCTGGAATCAGGTGAGTACAAATTCCCTAATGGTTTTTGAAAATGCTACGGCTTTCTCTGAATTACTTGGAAGAGGCTGCTTTATGTGATCGGCTCACAACTACATTAAGGCAAGGCAGCATAACAAATGCTACCACTGACTGTAATGATCAAGAAAACCAGCTTCTCAAATAACTATCTGCTTCAGAACGAATTGGCAATAGCACTGGATAGACACTTACACAAAGACATGCATAAAGAAGTAGTACCTGAACTGAAATGAAAAAAGAATCCTTATTATAAACTGCTTATACTCAGATTGCAGGCAAGTTTTCTTTTTAAACACATTAACTGCTCAGAAAATAATTTTTCTATCTGCCCAATATGCAGTACAAGAATATGAACCTGGCAATGTGTTTCACCCAGCTATAAATACATGAAGCAGCTTGAATCTCAAGCATCTGTTACTTCACCCTCCACCTGCAGTACAGGGCTAATGGTACTGGGCAACAGTATAGAGTAGTTATAAAAATTACTGAGGCTATATGTGCAAAGAACACACATTACTTCAGTAACATGGGGTTCTCTGAACAGCTGAAATGCACTATATTTTATTTGAAGTGGAGCAGGGCACGGAGTCACAGATTTGGAACTGAATCAATAACCATGTACCTGCTGGGTGGCCCTGAGAAAGTCACCTTTTCTCAGTGTAAGTACTCCATCTGTGAAATGGGATTTTCAAACTTCTTATCCTACAGAGTTGTCAGCAAGGCAACTAAGCAGAAAGAAACAGTACAAGAAATGCAACAGGATTTTTTTTAACTCACCAAGTATCTGCACACAAAAGCTCTAACTCCAATGGCAAGAAGGGCACACCCAACTAATCGAAAAATACGGAATGAATCAAATTCTTCCACAGCATTTCCATTCTCCTGGTTTGGCTTCTCACTCATCAGCTGGTTTCTTAGTTTCATGGCTTCATCAAATCTTGATAAATACTGGTCTAATCCATGGCGAGGTGCCCGTTGTGCAACTTCCATCAGGTCCCCTCTACTGCGCTGCCGGAGTTCACTGGTGCCATCACTACCAACCTCAGGAGTTTTGCTGAACAAGTCTTTTTTCTCTCCCTTGTGCTCTGCCACACTGCTTGCATGGTCGGCTGTCCCTGCCAAACTGCAGACAGTATCACCCAGCACAACCCGCTTGGAAACAGGAGTAGGAAGCGGACCTGGTTTATCTTGCTCCAGCTGAAGCTTAGATTCTGAATGGCCATCATCATCTAAAGAAGGAACCAAAGCAAAAGAATCACAGATGCTAAATATCTTAGGGTAGTCTTCAGGTTCTATGAGACCTCGGTCATGGAGTTAAGCAATTAAGAGTTTATAGAAGGAGATCAAAACATAAGATCGTACACTTAGTACATTGAGCCAACATAGCTCCCTCTACCTATTGTGGCTCTTACCTCCCTTTCAAAAAGATACAAAGAATCATTGGATTGGATCCAGCAAAAGCTACCCACAGATGGAAGGATCCCTTCCACTAGGCCTTAACAACTAAAGGAAGACTTTTGATTTAGTGGAGAATTTCCACTGACTAGATAGTGGAGGAGGAAATCCATTCCCTACAGTGCCCTGAAAATTTGTTGGACAGTGTGCAGGTGACTGTGGAGACTGCAAAAGGATGCCAGCAAAATTCGTTTCCTTGTCTTTTTGCCAGTGGTAGCATTCTCAGAAAAGCTCCATTTGAGGATGCTCCCACTCCTGGAATACCAGCTTTGCAACAAACCCAATGGTTTTTCCTTTCAAAAATGCTTCCTAGAAAAGGACATGAAAGCACTTCCTGCTGACTTTTGGGAGAGACAGAAAGACTTCCAGCTGAGTGATCTTTTCAACAACTGTGATCACACTGCTTGTGTTTTATTGCTGTTTTAATTTTCTTTGTATATAGTTTAGATCAGTTGTTTTAATTGAAGTGTTTATTTTTGTGAACAGCCTAGAGCACAGCAAATTAAACAGGACAATTTGGCAAGCGGTAATTAATGCTGATTACTCTGTTTGGAGGTAAAGATATAAATATCAGTTCCCTCTATCACAGAGTGCTAAGAAAAAAGAATTGTCCTTGATTAACTGAGGAAGCCTGCATTTAGGGCTATTTAGGACTTGTGTTCTGCTTGGAGAATGTAAAAGGTATTACCTGCCATTTTGCTTCAATATTCATTTAAAACAATGGACAATCTATACGAGTTCTACTTTATTTCCAACAGAGTAAGCACTTGCATCTAAATGAATCAAACCAGGGACACCCGTGCCATTTTCTTTTTTCTTGTTCAGAGCTGGGTGCATTCAAGGTATATATTGATATATTGGAATAGACTGATGGGACTGCCCGATGGATTAGGGCATGGTTGACGGACTGCAAGCAGAGGGTCACTATCAGTGGGGAATCATCAGGATGGCAGCCAGTGACGAGCAGAGTCCCCCAGGGCTCAGTTCTAGGGCAGATTTTGTTCAACCTTTTTAATCAATGACCCCAGAGTAGGGGATAACCAGTCTGCTGACTCAGTTCACAGATGATACCAAAGTGGGGGCAGTGGCCACAATTGAGGAGAAGGTGATTCAGATCCAGAAGGATCTGGACAGGCTGTGGAAGTGGGCAGGAGACAACAGGATGGCATTCCATGTGGATAAGTGCTGGAGTACAGCACTTGTGAAAGGGATTTCAGGGTACTTGTCGATAGCAGGCTGGATGTGAACTAGCAATGTGATGCAGTGGTTAAGAAGGAAAACACCACCCTTGGATGTATAGCCAGAAGCATGGCTTCTAGACCTAAGGAGGTGTTGATACTGCTCTACATGACTCTGGTGTGCACACAACTAGTACCATGTCCTATAGGAGAGAGATAGCTAGGTTAGAATCGGTTCAGCGCAGGGTCACAAGGCTGGTAGCCGGGTTAGGAGGGATGACATATGAGAGATTGAGAGAACTGGGTCTTTTCCACCTGGAGAAGAGGAAACTCCGAGGGGATCTTTTAGCAACTTTTCAGGGGATGCCATGTGGAGAAGGGCCATGACCTGTTCTTTCCTGCAGTGGAGGGCAGGACACATTCCAGTGGGGCAAAATTCAAGAATCCATGCTTCAGGTTGGATGTCAGGAAGTACTTCCTGACAGTTAGGACCCCTAGGATATGGAATGGGCTTCCAAGGGAGGTGGCTGAGGCCCTATCAGTAAGGGTGTTCAAGGAAAGACTGGACAACCACATGTTGGGGATTACATGAGCGGAGCTGGCTGGAGCCGGGAATCAGACTAGATGGCCCAGGAGGCCCCTTCTGACTCACTCTGTTTCTAAGTTTCGGTGTTTACATTTTAAAAGGGCAGTTGCATTTCTCATTTGTTGGGTTTGCTGCATAAGGCCATCAATGACTACTAGTGATGGTAGAACCAGAATCAGAAACAAGATGTCTATGTCCTCCAGTTATTGGGGAACAAGAGCAGGAAATGGCTATACCTTGCCTTTGGGCTCCCCATGGGCATCTGGTTGGCCACTGTGAGATATAGCTGATGTCTAATGAGGGCTTCTGTTATCATGGACAGTCCCATTTTCTTACCACTCTGTGATATCAGGCAGTATAATTAATATTAATACTGATTCATTAAGGAAAAGAAGAACATAGGCAGGTAGCATGGAATTGCAGGGATGGCATCAGCTAGGAATAAAATAAGGCTAGTGAGTGATCATAAACCAGCAAAAAGTCTTCTTCAGACATGTCCAAAAGTAAAAGACAGAGGAAAGAAATTGGGGTTCAACTACTCAATGTGGATGGCAAAATTATAAATGATGCCAAAGAAAAGGCAAAAGTGCTCAATTCCTACTTTGGCCCAATCTTCTCTCAAAGCTATGACCTTCCTGATGAAACAGGATGGTAGCTCAAAATTGACAGACAAGGTTCATCTAATTGAGTTGATTGAATTCAAATCCAGGGCCTGGTCAACTCTACCCCAGAGTCATAAAGGAACTCTTTGAGAGGGCAAGGGAAGTGCCAGATGACTAGAAAAGGGCTAATGTTGCCCCTATCTTCAGGAAAGGAAAAAAAGAACCTTAGACCTACAAGACTAGTCAGTCTGAACCCTAGGAAAATTCTGGAGCAGATTATAAAGCAGTCAGTCTGCAAACACCTTGAAAACAATGCAGTAATTAATAGAAGCCAATGTGAATTCCTCAAGAACAAATCCTGCCAAACCAATCTGATTTCATTTTTTGACTGGGTAACCTCTCTAATGGACCATGGGAATGTTGTGGACATATTCTATCTTGACTTCAGCAAAGTTTTTGAGAAAGTGTCCCATGATATCCTGACTAGCAAATTAGTTAAAAGTGGGCTAGATGGAACAACCAACAGGTGGATCCAGTTGGCTACAGAATCAGACTCAAAGTCATCAGTGGCATCTTCTCAAACTAGGGAGAGGTAATGTGTGGTACCACAGGGTTCAGTCCTAGGCCTAGTGCTCTTCAACATTTTTGTCAATGATTTGGATGAGGAAATACATGATTGTCATTGTAGATGACATAACAATGGATGGGACAGCTAATACCCTGGAAGACAGAAACAGCATTCAAAGTGTTCTTCATAGGTGGGAGCGCTGGGGTGAAAACAACAGAATGAAAAGTAACAGGGACACATGCCTAGTTCTGCACCTAGGGAAAAGAAACTTTTTTTTTTACAACATGGGAGATACTTTGCTCAACAATAATGAAAGTGAGAAGGATCTTAGAACTATTCTACATCACAAGCTGAATATGAATATGTGATGTGGTTACAAAAAGGGCAAATGCTATTTTAAGCTTTACTAATACAAGAATCGCTACCAAATCATGTGAAGTACTAATTCCCCTTTACTCAGCACTGGTCAGACCTCATCTGGAGTACTGTGTCCAATTCTGGTTACTGCAGTTCAAGAAAGATGCAGGCAAGCTGGAAAGGATTCAGAGAAGGACAATGCGAATGATCAAGGGAGTGAAAGCAAAGCCCTATAAGGGGGTATTGAAAGAACTGGGCATGTTTAGCCTTGAGAAGAGAGGACTGAGAGCAGGGCCACCTTAACAGCATTATGGGCCCCGGGCAAAGCAGTGTACTGGGGCCCCTATGACAACTACAACTACTATTAATTTTGGAAGTTTTCCAATTTTCCAAGGGTTAACATACACAGATTAGTAAGGGGCCCTGACTGAGAGGAGATGTGATAGTACTGTACAAGCCCTTAAAAGGTTGTCACAAAGAGAAAGGACAGGACCTCTTTTTGGTTATCCTGGAATGCAGGGCATGGACTAAAAGTCTCAAGTTACAGGAAGCCAGGTTCCTGCTAGATAGCAGGAAACATTTCCTGAATGTTAGAGTAATATGACAATGGAACCAATTGCCTAGGGCAGCTGTGGGCTCTAGCACACTTGGAGGCATTCAAGATGCAGCTGAACAGCCATCCGAGAGGGATGTCCTGCAGGGGGTTGGACCTGATGGCACTCTGGCCCCTTCCAACTCTATGGTTCTATGATTAATTATTGTTTACAAAATTGTCCTGCTTAATTAGGTACACTCTAGACTGCCCACAAAAATAAAACCCTCAACACTGGCAACTAATTTAAAATGTGTGCAAAGAAAATTAAACAAGCAGTAATATGCTAGCAACATGATCAGTTTTTGATAATTTCAACTTTTCTTGAAGCCTAAAGACAATGTTATGCCAGAGGCTTCAATAAATTAAACACATCTAAGTGTTAAATAAATGGATTCCATGCTGCACACTGGGGCTAAGATGAGTCTCGGGTATATAAAAGCTGACAACTGTTGGAAAAGATGACTGGGTAAAAATCTAAACACAAAAATCATCACATTTTAATTATTGCAGCAATTATTCTTGGTCAAGTGCCTGTAAATCCAAGGGCAACTGCTCCACTGTGGAGCATTTAGACAGAATTTGACAGAGCATTTAAAAAATGCAATCCATGTTCTTCACTACAAAATGGGAACTGTAGCAGTATGCAGTAATAAAAACAATCTATAACTTTGAATTCTGAATAGAATGGATTTGTTGCAAGTTTTAAGCTAATAATCTCTGACTTGTACATTTAAAAACAGTAATTCACTTCACACAATTACTGCCATGACAGTTACACAATTGAAAATGGTTTGTAATAGTGTAACAGCAAAAAGCTGGAGTTGGACTTGAAGCAGCAAGAATCAGGTTACAAATCCAACCCCTTTACAATGCTCATTGGGCATTCATAGGCAATCACTACTTTCTCATCCTAATCCACTTCACTGGGCTGCTGTGAGCATGAAATACAAAAGATACTTAGGCTGTCTCCGAATTCCTTAGTTTAAGATTGGGATAACAAATTATGTTGATGATTTTGTTTCTGATATAAGATTTATATTTGAGTCACAGATACATTTTGCAATTGTTAGGAAATCCTAGAAAGCAGGATTTGCAGTGGTAACATAAAAAGCGCCGTTTCTTTCTTTCGGCTTTAAAAGAATACGGAGTGTATAGCTTGCCATACACATACATACAAATGGAAGTACACAACCTGAGTCAAACACCCTTCAATTTACAAGCTGTAGTTTCAAAAACCTGTTCTCAAGCATCGTAAGCAAGAATGTTGATATGACCAAAGGATCTCTCTTTTTCTTTTATTATTTACAGAATCCACAGGATTCTGGGAAGTAAGTGCCTAAACCTACATCCAAGTCTCTAAAGCGGCAAATCTACACATAGCTACTTAAGGCAGCCATTTGCAACAGTGTGGACTAAAAATGCGTAGCGCAAATAGAGCAACACTTGAACCCACGGCCCGTGACGGATCAAATCAAGTAGCTTATTGCCGCCCACCATTATACATAACATTGCTGGAACGGGAAAGAGCACGCTAAGGCATGCTATCTTTTTGCACCTACTTCGTGCACTAAAACAATGCACTCTCCATGCAGACTTTTGACCCGGCCCAGGTTTAACTAGGAATGGGACGAGTAGGGAATGCGCCCCCCCCCCCCCCCCCGCCCAAGCCATGCCTTGCTCCGAGTTCACATCGGATCGGAGGCAGGACCGCAGCACCCTGGGGCTGGCTCTCGGCACGGCGGCTGCCAAAGGCGAGCCCAAGCCACGCCCCGTCCTCACCCGCCTTCGGCCGGTGGAAACCCATGATCCGGTTGATCCGCTCTTCAGAGTTCATCAGCAGCTTCCTCCGGCGAATCTCAGCTCGACGTTGGGAGGCCGTGAGGCCGGCAGGCGCTGCTGGAGAGCTGACAGCCCCCTCAGGGCCGCCGCTGCTGCAACCGCCGTCTCCTTCTAGCGGATCCGGCTCCATCCCTGTCTCGAAAGCAGCAATAGCTCAACCTTCTCCGCACGCAGGCAGGCAGGCACACAAACACACAATGGAAGAAGTCAGATCCCGCTCTGACAACTGTCCGCTAAGACGCAGGCGCCGCCGCCATTTTAGGCACCGCCTCCAGACGCTGAAACGGCCGGCGCCATCTTGGATAAGGGTTGGAGCTACCTGCTTAGCACGGAAGCGTCGGCCACAGCCACAGTTTGACGCCGGTGCCCTTAACACAGATGGCGGCAAGGGAAAGGGCGGGAGTTGCCGCAACAGATGACTCGGGAGCAGGCAATGACCTCATACTTTCAGCGGCGTGTGGTTATAATCGTTGCCAGGGTGAGGGTAGGCGCTGGTCTCTTTTTCCTACGCTAATTGAAGGAGAAAGCAGCTTCCTCGTACAATAACAGAATTCGGTTTTGGTATTTCTCATCCTTTGACGATCTTACTCCAAGACATACTTGGGGAAGTGGAGGTAACACCACCCTTGAGATAATAAGCCTGGGCTCCTACGCATGCTCACACATTGGGCAGCTTATTCAAAATTTTCAGAATTCTTGGACAAACTCTGGCCAAAATTCATAGATTTACATTTTATTTCTGGGGCTTTTTACTAAACAAACCTCGCAGTTTTTTTCTTTCTCAAATGCTTTAAAAATGTTCTTGGATCTCTTAAATTCCGTTGTCGTGCTTAGGTACCCCACATGATCCTCTTAAAATTAAATATCGCTTCTAAGAAAAATGATAATTTTTTTAGGTTGTTGCTCAAGCTAACTTGGGCATACCTCTAAAACTTGTCAACAACGAATAGTCCCTGACTTCACGCCAGACTTTGAGACAACCCTGCTATGCTCTCCTCTTAATAAGGTACATTTCCTCCCCAAAATTTCAGCTGCTTCATGGGTTCTGTTATATCAAATATGGCACTTTGTATGCTACTCAGTAGTGGATGACATGTGGCCTAATTTTCCAGGATGAAAATGGCAAGATTTGCAATTCTACTAATTTAGTGACCACCAAGATAGGATGTAAAACAATATGCATATTGTACCCACTATGACCTAATGAATATTTTGCCTACAAAAAGCAGACCATATACTGTATATACCATACACCATCATTGACTCATTTCTTAGAAACCAGACATAATCCCAACCTGACTTGCCAGAAACTGAGACGTGAAATCATGGACATTACAGTGCTTTTAATTATTTAATCATTCTCTGTTATGGTTATGTTATATTTAAACCCATTCTATCATCTTGCTTAGAAAAGAAAAATAAGGCTAGTTTCATAATGTATAAGGGCTTTAAATTTGTCTATATTTTATCAGACCATCAGTTTTTCTAGAGTTGGAATACAAAAAGATGTGTTAGGGACCATAGGATGATTTGGATTTCCTCTTATGATTCTTTTCTCCCTGCCTGCATCCAGAGCGGAAAGAACTGTGTTGCCTGTTTTTCATGGTCAGAAAAGCAACCTCAGAGGAGGAGGAAAGGAGGCATTACAATGGACAGGGAAGTATATCCCAATGTATTATCCTGAGCTGCTTCCAGCCTTCCTATCCTCCCCCTCCAAAGAACCGTCACAAAATGAAATTCACTGGTCAGAAAGGTGATTATTTTTGCTGCTGCTTCCATTCTGCATTGTATGGTTGGTCATCTTCAAGTTTGAGAGCTTCCATTCACCAAAGGTGCAATCAAGGATTATGCCCTAGTAGGAGAATTTAGAATGGTTGTCTTGGCAGCTGTATTAAATTTCTATTGCTAATTTCATTTCTATATCACCCGACAGCCAAAACTCTCTGGACAGTTCAGAAAAATGCCTTCATCTTTATGTGGAACCCTTAATCTCCTTTTCTTTCAGTTACTTACATGTTGACAGATACACAATTTTTTTACAGGAACACCTAATTACAGGACATCCAATTAATGAAGCTGTTTACTAAGAGCATATCACATAGATACAGAATGATTAGCTGTTTCCTGTAGTTCATCTATGAAAAAAATGAGTGAATTTGAATGTGAAATGTCAGTATATGCTTTAAAACCCTAATCTGAGGTGGGGAAATAGTGGTCATCCAGATGATGTTGTACTACAGTTATTACATTATTCCTGACTCTTGGCCATTCTGATTGGAACTGATGGGAATTAATGTAGAGAAGGGGCCCAGCTCTCACACATTACTGTTTGCCCAAATCGATTCACCTAGTTCTGAGGAGGTTGTGGAGGGGCAGAATTGGGCAGATGACTTTGCCATTTCAAGGTTACCTTGTAAAGGTTATCAAACCAAGTGTGAGAGCCAACCCACCTGGAAAAAGGAGGCATTTCAGAACCAGTTGTAGGAGGGAGATTGAGAGATGAAAGAAGCAGCAGGAGAAACCCTGAGGGCAGTCAGAAACTTTTCTGAAAGGGGCCAGAGGAGGGAAAATTTCCATTTGGATTTAATTCTTTGCATGGACAGATGCTTTCCTCACATCTCAAAGAGAATACCACTTTCAGATTTCCTTTTTAAAAAACTTGTTAAACCTTAATAAAAGGACTGTGCCTCTAAAGTTTCATCTGAGTCTTCTGGAGAGGAAAAGAGGGTGGGAAAGACCTGCTTATGACAACTAATACCTTTTGAAACAACGACTTGTGATACCATGTTGCATTATTTACTGGTGCAGTTTATGAAGTCACAGTTACTTTTATTTCTCTTAAATCTTCCATCATTCAACTTCATGGGATAACCCTAGGTTTATTTATTTTTAAATTTATAGGGCACTACATAACCCAACAGGGCTCTCCAAGTGGCAAACAACAATAAAATGCAGACTAATATTACAATTCCTCATTACAGGGGCAGGGGGAAACAACTGCTGGTATTGGAATGAGCTCTTACGGACCATCAGTTGGTAAAAATTGGGTCTCAAAATATCTGCAAAAGAGGACAGTTTTCACCTGGCACTGAAATGAAAGTAGTAGTGGTGCCTGGCAGAGCACTCTAGGAAGCCCATTCTAAAAGTGGAGGACAGGTACCCAGAAGCTGCTTCTTCTAATCACCTTCCCTTTCACTTCCTTTTGGAATGACTCTTTCAAAGGGTTTTGGTGTTACTGTCCATTTTCTCCACACCTTTGAATAATTTTATACACCTTTGAATAAAATTGAATAATTTTATTGTGCTTTAACTCATTTATCTAAGCTAACCAGCCCCAACCTTGTTCTGTTAATTCATAAGGGAATTGCCCCAGACCCTTTATTATTTGTCTATCTTTGTACTTTTTCCAGCTGCCTTACTAAAACTAACCACTCTTTTTCCTCTTTGTTTTTTTAACCATTAATCACTTACCAATCCATAAATGGACCTTTTCTTTTATCCCTTTGGTGAGAGGCTTGACTTGAGTACAGTATCTACAGAGACCAAGGTCATCTCCACCTGTAACAGTGCAAGATGTCACTAGCTATAGCTTAAGTTCTTTAACTCATGTTAGTCATAACTTTCTCTGTTGTTATATGCCATCAAGTAATCTCCAGTTTATGGCAACCCTATGAATGAATCCTTCCAAAACATCCTGGGCTTTACTCAACTCTTGTAAACTCAAGGCTGCGGCTTCCTTTATGGAATTGATCCATCTCATATTTGGTCTTCCTCAGTATTTGTTGTAATTTGATTCAGAAATAGAGCACCATTTTAGAACATAAAAGCATCATACCATTCATAGTGAAATTCATGAGCCAATTTTAGATTCTAAAGCTACATCATGTAATTTGTGAAAGAAGCTATGTCTTTCAGACACAGATACCACCAAGAGATAGGCACAGCAGTTATTCTCAAGTATATACCTGCTAGTCCTTAACATGATCTTTAGATCCCCCCTTTTCTGGGTTCACACCCAAGGATAAGGTAGGCAGGCACTAAGAGGGCAATTTTGCTGATTGTACTATTATGGAATACTGTGCCCCTGAGAGAAATTGCCCAGTGCCTACACCATAATCTTTTTGACATCAGGTAAAGACCTTTTATTTTTCCAGGGCCTTGTTACTTGTTGCTAAAGCATTTCAACACTTTGGTGTTAATGTTATAGTTATTTTCTTTTATACTAATTTTCTATTGTTTTTGCTTTTATGTTTTGCTGGGTTTTAGTTTTACACTGGCTGTATTGCTTTGGTTTTACATCTATTTTGATATTGATTTGATTCTATCCTTTATTGATTTAAGTTTTATAAACCATTCAAAGAACTGATTTGATAGGTGGCATGAAAATGTAATAAAATAGATGTGAATATCAGCAGGATGGATAGAACACCGACATTTTAATGAAAGACATTGCTTGAAATATGATGTTAGTGATTGTGGTGGCAACACCAACCACAACCTGCTTATTAATCGGTCCCACCCCTTTACACTGTGATGCACCTGTTCCTCTCCTGTAGAAATCTTCAGCAACATATTTGTAAAGTGATTTAGCTACCTTAATCTTTCATTTTGTACAGCTCCTTTGTTCAAGCTATGGGTCTGCACATTCAGGCCTGCACCCAGGTCACTATATCCCCCACAAGTATCCTGCTTGTCTTAAGCCCCTGTTTCACACAGATGTTCCTTTTCTCAGGCTCCCTTCCTAAGACCACAGATACATCAGCAGTTGCCAGGGTAGTTCCTTTTCACTGCCGGCCTCCTGTTCAGACAGCCTTGGGCTAAGTAGGGGTAATGATCTGAATTCAATTCCTCAATTCAGGTCAGGGTGTTCACTCCCTTAGTCACTCATTCATGCACTAAGGCTACACAGTGAAAAAACAAGTTTAGTTTAATAGAAAGAAGTGTAAGGTACACTTATTTCTTGGCTGAACTTAGAAGCAGTTATAATAATTACCACCCAAGTAACTGAGGTAACTAATCTGGCTTCCTCTGTTTCTGAGTGGCACTCTAGATGCTTTGCCCTTTCTTCCCCAACCCAGAATGGCTGTTTCACAGCCTGGCCCAGCTCTCCATCCCTTGTCCACACTCTGAGCACTGTGCTTGGCTCTGTCCTTTTGGGGAGCAAAAGACAGAACTTCACCTGTCCATCACTGTCATGCTTGCTTCTGCAGCAGCACATTTAGTAAATTTTTGTGCCTTCTCACAACTCCTGAGGACTTCACATTAAATCCCATGTTTTTTGCATTCTACTTCATCTCTGCTCTAGTTTACCAAGCCTGATTTCTGGCCTTTTTGCTGTCCTCAGTCCTGCCCAGCGATGTCTTTAGGTTACCTGAAGGAGCGCTTATGTCCATATATGCCCAGCCGGCCCTTGAGATCAGCGGGAGAGGCCCTCCTCCGGGAGCCCTCAGTGAAGGAAATTAGGAGGGTGGCTACTCGGAGGAGGGCTTTCTCAGCGGTGGCGCCTAAGTTATGGAATGCGCTCCCCAGAGAGGTCCGCCTGGCGCCGTCGTTATTTGTTTTTCGGCGCCAGGAGAAGACCTTTTTATTTAAGCAGCATTTTAAATGTTAATATTATTGAATTTTATTCGGCCAGGGCGGCTTATTTTATTTTACTGTATATATTTTAATTGTTACTGTTTTAATGTATTTTGTATTTTATTTGATGTTGTAAGCCACCCCGAGGCCTCGGCAAGGGGCGGCATAGAAATGTTTTAATAAATAAATAAATAAATAAATAAAATAAGCTTGCAACTTTGGTAGACTCATCCATAGCTATACAAGTAAGGAATGTTGCATATCCAGCTGCACTACTGTATGTCCTCTGTTGCGTAGATGTAGAAACTTTTATGACCAGAGAAAAAGATCTATGCATCGTATGCTTTAGGTATAAGGCATTCGCAGGTAGCAATTATATTTCTACTACACTTGATCACCCATGGTTTTTTTTTAAATTAACAAGACATGCAGTTATGGGACTGCATCCAACACCTGCCAGCAAACTGGACACCATAGCAGAATATCCCCCTGCCTACATGTGCCTCCGAAATCTACTCCAGAGAGTGCAAGCATCCCCCTATGGCTATTTACTATGGTTTGAAGTCAGAAGTGTTTTACAGCAGATGAAATGCCCTTTCCAGTTATGCAAGGTTACCTGCCTGAACTCTGGCAATTCCCCCACCTTTCCCCATGCTGTTTGAAAAGGTCCTTTGACCTTCATGCCAGGCTTTTGGGAGGGGAGCTAAGGAGGCTGTTACAGGAAGAAGCAAGGAAAGCCCTGTTTTCTACTTGCTCTTCTCCGGATCCTGCCACTGTGTTCCTTACTCTAAAGTGCATATCAGATCATAGGTGTAGCAACACAGCAGCTACAAAATGCTGCACAAACATATACTTGCTCATTTTTCTCCTCTGTTCCTCCCCCTTTAAATAAGGGCTTTGTGTCAAAGCCTATACCATTCCTTGGGTTGCATTCCCTCTTTGTACCTGGTGTAGGCATTTGCTTATTAAGTGCCTTTCTGTGTGCACTTATGCTGCACTAGTAACATTATGTTGGCTATACAATGGAAGTTAACTTTATACAGAGTCAGATGCTTGGTCCATTTGGCCCACTATTGTTAGCACTGACTGTCCGCACTGGCTGTACACTGACTTGGTGGGTTGAATGGGGTGGTAAGCAACAGCTAAGTCCTAATAAATTTGAGAAACTAAAGGACCCCCAAATATATGTGTGATACTGCCATCTCTAGTGCAAAACTGACAGTGCTGGCTGTTGCAATGGGTTTCCTGGAAAATGGGTTTTCTGGAAAACACCAGTTAAGTTACTGGTGTTGCACTAGCACAACTGTCCTAGGAGCTTTTAACCAATCTATCCTGTAGAATCATACCTAGCCTGTGGGAGTTTTCATTCAGCTGCCTTCACTTCCTAGGGAGGGAAAATGCTATCAACAACTGAGTAGAGGCAATGAGCATTTTCAGTCCTCAGTAGAGATTTTCATCCCTCTCACTTTTTATCCTGGAAGGACACACTGGCTATGGAATTCCTCTCCACCCCCACCCCCAAATGAGCAGTATGGATCAGCTCAGGAGGGGGACTGGAAATCTTCCCCAGTCAGGAAATGCTGGAAAAGGTGTGTATGTATGAAAATAAAGCACTGCTTAAGCGTGAACATGGCAGGCACACCTACTTTTGACTCTGGCCTTAACCTCTCTGGGATTGCCAGGAGCAATCCAGCCCTTGTGCTGAAAAAGCTTTCCCACTCCTGCAGTAAGAGATATATTGATAGCAGATAAAGTGCAGTTAACCAGAGCAATGTGCAATACGTAACTGATTCCAGAGGCATGCAACACCTATAGTAATTCCCCTCTAATAATCAGTTATGCATGTTGGACAAACCAGGAGGAAGGGGTTCAAGTTACTGTAATTTATGTGCCTGCAATCTGAAGAGAAATTAAATACTAAAGTTAATGGAGAAGTACAAAGAAAAAAATGCACTGTTACTCAAAGGCTATTCTGTTGACCTTTTACACAGAGTATTCAGGAGATTCCACAAAATACCTGGCATGATTTCATACAATGCTACTCCGTATAGTTCTTGAAGTTTTGCCATTTGAAAAAAAAATGTATTCACCTTATACTGGTTAGAATTCAATACCCATCCAGACATTCTTAGGCAAGTTAATAGACCTTTTAGCTTCATTGTACTGTCCCTCCCAGCAGAGCATGGAAGCGTGATTATTTAACCAGATAATGTCAGCACTTAAATCAAGTACTATAATTTGATTGAACTTCTAGAGTTGTGTAGACCAACAAGCCTTGATGTTTAATTCTCTAAACTTAAATGTCCTTCTGTTTATTTACTCAGGAGTCTTGCTTAATTCTGTGATGTTTTCTCCAAAATATGCATACCACTTGCAGCACTATTCTTAATAGTGCAAGAATAGTTCTTCTTGCACTATTAGAAGAATCAATAGCTGTTAAAGAGTTTGTCCAAGATAAGAATGCAATGTGTTTATCTTTCAGTCCATACAATAGTGGCACAGTATAAAGGTAGCAACAAAGACTTATCATTAGGCCGTGTTTGGTTAAGCATAGAAACACCTCTTAACCTAAGATTATTTCATCCACCAAGTGTCTAGATACTCTCTGCTTTTTTTTTTATAAAAAGGACTGATGAAGTTCTATGTAAGCTCTTTCAATTAATTTTATTGAGTAGCCAAATTTGATAAATTAGCACAGCTAAAATAAGCATTTGCATGTGTTACAAATGACTTTTTACAGGAATAAAACAGTGAAAATTACAAACTGTAAAAAGGGGAACAAGTAAAACCTTGCCTCCAATTCAGAAGAGCATGGTTTACAATTTCACACTGAAGATCAATGTCTGAGTTCAGAAAACAAGGATTAATATTACAATATTTTACACTACTTTACAAAATCAAATTTACTATAGGATTTAATCTGTAACTGGTGAACAGAGCTTTGTCACATTTGATGGTCCCTTAACATTCTGATTATATTCTCTGTTAAATTAACTTTTAATAAAAGAAAATGTCATCCTTATTATTGCAAAACAGTCAAAATTGATTCAAATATGAATTACAGGAAAGTAAATGCTAATTAAAATTCTGATGCATGACTAAATTTAACATACTGATCATACCAAATTGTTTAAGGTCTCAAACTAGAAAGAGAGAGATCATTTGCCGTGGACTGCCATGCTAATATGGAAGCTTCAGGGACACTCTTGCCTGGTTAAATTGTTATGGATCTTAAAAACAGCTGTAACTTAAAGTATAGCACAGGCAGTTTTACATGTGGGTCTGCCTTGCCATTCCTATTATTAAAATCTTGCATAATACAAGTTGAAACAAATACCAGTTTTTCCCATGACAAGGAATAAAATTAGAAAATTCAATATTGCAAAACAGAATATGCACATTCCTAAAACAATTCTATCCAGATGGCATAATGTGCTAACTTTAAATATTTTAAAGGGATGGAGGTTAGGGATGTATTCTTGAAATAAGTATTTCTCGGGCTAATTTAAAGGCTGCTATTATAGCTTACATAAGTTAAGCCATGTCTGCCGCACCCCCATTCCAAATCAAAGATCTTTGTATACAGGAGCATACTTGGCATGGTGCCACACAAAGGAGACCTCTCAAGCTTCATACCAATCAGCTGTTCAGAATTAGGGGCATGCAGCAAGGAGAAACATGTATCCAGTAAAGGCACTGGATGTTTTCCCCATGCACAGTATTTGTTTACACAGCTGCACAAATACCTGGTCCAGAAGGCTTAACTACCCACAGAAGACTGTTTCTGTGTGTGAATCGCTGTTGCGACTGAGAATATTTGTTTATAAGAACCGTATTCAAATATAAATATTTAGGCTTAGGATGCATTGTGAGGCACTCAGTGGATGGTTACCATTACTCCTGAGTGTACATCTCATTATAATCATATGCTTCTCTGTGGATTACTATTGCAACAAATTATCATTAAAAAGCTAAATTAAAACTTTAAAAAGAATCACACCAGCAATAAGGTACTTCAATTTTGCAGATTTCAACAGGCATTTTAATCCCTTTTCAAGAGAGAGTTCATCCCTCTCTCACATGAAAGTAACAATTCTATAAGCAACTTTTCACAAATCACTCTGACAGGTGAATAGATTAGCAGGCAATGAATAAGGTTAGAAGGATATATGAGTTGGTATTCCAGTTCAAAAGGTTAGTTTCTAAACACCACAGTTCCTTACAAAACTTCGTGCTTTTTCAACTGTAGGGGGTTGGATCCAGATTCTGTGTTCACCAGTGGAAGGACACCATTTGCAAAATGGGATTTCTGCCTCCTTCCTTCCCCCTGCAGCCCGCACATGACCTTCAAATCTGATATGATGTCCTTTCACTAATAGAACCAAGGCTCTGGATCTAACCTGCAATGTCTATCCATGCCTGCCAACAAAGAAATTTTAATCACTTACAGCTGAACAAAAGTAATAGAATATGATTGCAAAGGATAATTCTGCACAAGGAATAATGCCAATCTAGAAGTGTACAAGAAAAATATTTCCAATTCACTCTTAGAGGAGCAGAATAAGGTAGGGAAAGTAGAAATCCATGGCAGCCACAAGTTTCAATGCTAAATCATGTTATTAATTCAGGTCATTTTTGTGGTAACTTATACAGACATATCTGTATATAGACATACATACACTAATACTATTTTTGTCATGATTAGATTCACAGTAGTTTCCAGTAATTAATTTTTATTCTAAGTGGCAATAACTATGCAGTATTTGGGCTTCTTGCCTATTAGGGTAGGATATCTGAAAACATTTCCCATTAAAGCCACAAAATATTTGCCTCCACTTTTCTATCTCCCTCTGCCCCCAAAACTTTTAAATAGCAACACTAGTACTATTTAATTAGATGTTCCTCTGGACTTCAAATAGGCTACTCAACACTGCTTCTAACAAGATGAGAATTCTGGTAATGAGTGGGCCATTTCCATAGGCCAGAAATTCATAGGAGTCCCGAGACGCCACTGGGAGGCTGCCCTCTTCACCTTGCTGAAATTGCTGCAGACTCACAGGAGTGTGATTCTGCTTGTAAATCAGGCACAGTCCCTGCACACCTTGGTTCCTTGCAAAATTGCTGTGATATTTGCCACAGTAAGAAACTGCAAAAAGCCACCCTTGGTTTAATTTCACAAGTACACATTTTTATAAAACCATGATCCATTTAAAAAAGTGACTTTAAGCAAACAATCCATAAAAAGATCATGACATTTGGTTGAACTGTCTGTTCCCCTATTTACTTTGAATGAATTAAGACTAAACACATCATATTAACATCAAAAACTGGGATCCATGTTCACCATTTTTGCAGCTGAAATTTTTGCAGGCCATTGATTATAATTCTCATTGGACATAATGCAATTCATTGTTCTTTCAGATACTAGAATACTGAAGCATCCTAATGTTTTTAAAATGAATTATTTCTTACTCATTTTCAATTCAGATAGACCATTTCCAAGTTTACTCTGTCCTGCTCATCATCATCCATTTTAAAAAGCACTGGAAGCTATGTTCACTTAAAAATGCAAATATTTTGTTCACTTCACAATGAATTGTTTCATTGCTCCTTTAAAAAACTATTTTAATTAGTAATATATTGTATAATCAAGACAAAATAGTTTCCCTGCAACTCAGTCTTGGGAGATTTTAATTCTAGCAGCAAAACAAAGCCAAAAAAAAAAAAAAACCCAAAACAAAAACAAACAAAAATAAAATTAAACATATTTTGAACAAAATTCTAGTTTATAAAGATTCATCTCTTCAGTATCACCTTATAATTCATGCCGCAACTACTTACAGTGAAACATTTTGCAGCAAATTAAAGGCATCCAACATGTTCAAATTGATTTTAATTGTTTAATGTACAACTACACAATAGTGTACTTGTGATTCTGTGGTCCTTTATTTGCTTTTTTTTCTTGGAAAATCACAGTGAGATTCTTGTCAACTGCATCAGGCCAAAAAATTAATAGGAGCATTACAAGCACAAGTGTTTTCTCTGCAGGAACGTTCCTTTGAGTAGATAAACCTTCTACCAGAAGGGCTCATTTATTCACTTGCTGCTGAATATGTAAAAGAAACTCATAGTATGATAATGCAGATTCTGTTCTGTCTTCTATCATGTTTTGTAGAAAACTTGGTTTCCATGGACTTTCATCCCTTCAAGATAAAAACAAACAGAATTTTGAGTAAAGGAAATGTTTATATTTAATGCTTTATTCTGAAGCAAAACTACTTGCAATAGGTTGGTCTGTACAATAATGACAGCCCACAATGGTTTAGTTTTCCTGCAAGAACTCCCACGACATGCCAAGCACCGCTTCTGCATGGCATTTCCGGGACCCCAACTTGCCATAGGTTGTTGTCATTCAAACCTAAATGGCAGGAGTTGTTTGGGGATTAGAAAATATGCAACAACCTGGCTGGCTATGTGCTACCTCTACTATTGGAGGTGGCATACCAGCATACAGTACTTACTGAGGAGCTTGGGCAGGTGCAATTTTTGTGCCCATTCTGCCTCAGGGATTTTGGAGACATCTGGTTTGCCCCTACATGAACAGTACTGGACTGGATGGACCATTGGTCTGATCCAGAATGGTTTTTATGTTTTCATAGAAATAAACTATTGCTTGTTTTAGACTTATTTTAGGGTTGTGTGAGGTTTGTCTAACTCTCAAACAACCCCTGTTGCTGAGGTTCACCTGACAACCACTGACAGGCACCCAGCGTAATGCAGTAATTCTTGCAGGTAAACTAACCCATGCTGAACTGTCATGCAGACCAGGTCAGTGTGAAAAATGAAAAAAAAAAGTATGATGCAGCTGCAGGATTTCTAACATGGGCTTCCTTCTGGCAGCATATTTCACTTTTGAAAGAACAGCACTGGTTGCCAAAGCATCACCCAAACGTAAGGTTTTCTGGCTGATGTATAAGGCTCTAAAATACTTGAGACTAGATTACTTTATGCATAACTTCTCCCCTTATTGTTCTTTGAAATCCTTGGAATGTTTGATGGTGCTGCACATTTCTGAGGTTCACCTTAGCAATACCAGAGCATTTAGTGTTGCAGCATCTGCCTTTCAAACATGCTCCCAATTGCCAGACTAGCACATACAGTTTTGACTTCTAGACATCTCCTTAAGACTTCCCTTTATATGCAATTTTTCCCTGTAACCCATCCAATCAGTACTTGTTTTATTGTTTATTGTTCTATCTTACTGTTATATTTTAGTGTTGATGTTCATAGTAATTTTGTTGAGGAATGTGAAATCTGAGACAGTCTAGCTCTTCAGCAGGACAGCATGCAGCAAAGAGTTGAAACAGAATGTGTTGCTTGTGTGGAAATTTCATTGATGCTAAAATAAGCAGTCTTGAAAATCAGTACTGGGCTTGATTACCCCTCACTGTTCACATCTCCTTCCCTCTCTTTTTCTCTCTTGCCATATGAAACCCAGAACTGGTTCACAAACAGCAGCAATACATAGTCATTTAAACTTTGGGTTGCCAGGCATAAGTAGGAATGAATGAGCTGCCTCTAGCACACTCCTCACTTCTGCTCCTAATTCTAAGCCCATGGTTGCCTACTTTTTAAGTTGTTAGTGTGACAACTGAATCCAGTTTAGGGATTAAACAACTCAGAATCAACCTACAATTTGTTGTTTTGTCCCTACACGATACAGAGTGTGCAGGTTCAGATGTCTGCTAACCACCTATGAATACTATGATTGTTAAGCTGTTAGTTAAAGTGAGAGCACACTGAAGGCAGTATGCTTTTTCATTTCCCCTGAGCACCAACAATTTCAATCACAAATTGGTGCTATGTGCTAATCAGGTCCTAATGTCTGGTATTAGTATTTTTCTTTCATCAGGCTTCTGTAGACATAACACTGGCTCAAACTTTCAGCTGCAATTTGTGGGGTAATTATTCAAGACAAATTGTTAACCCACTAATTAGCACATCCTGTGGGGATGTGTGTTGCACATTCTTGCTGGTTTTCAGCAAGAATCTACAAATGTCATATTCATTTGTTGTTTCTTTAACATCTGAACCCAGGAATATATGATTGTTCTTGAGTTAACTTGGGCTTGTTTAATCCACGAATAAAGATAAGTTAATTTAGGGTGGTTTAAGCCAGGGATAACCCCAAATTTCTAACTTTGGGCATCAAATAAACAACCTACAAATAAGGCATTTATCAGCTTTACTGGAAACCAAAAGCAGCTCACAGAGCATGCATTTCTGTAATTTGTTAATTGACCCACAAATTGCCACCAAAAGCCACCATTATATCAGAACAGGGTCAGTGAATGTACCTTGTTCATTCTAGCTCTCTGTGCCAGAAGCAAGCAAAACTTTAATTGGTTGGGACATGAGGTTGGGGTAATCTGCTATTCAAATAGAGACAATTGCTCTTTTTCCAGGTAAGTAGTACCACAACCTTTGGCTTAATCTGCATGCTGAAGTACTTTACTATAAAACACTTCTTACCTTAGTATATACAGTATAGGAAAGAACGGTCTTTGCTCCCTCAGCCAAGAGATAAAAGCACGCAGTCTAGTAGATTCTGCAGTGTCAAGTTCTGGAAGATGTGTCTGTCAAAAAACCATGATTTCTACATTCAAAACCCAGTGCAAAAAACCCTATGGGTTGATTTGGTACACCCCAACTCATTTCAGGGTAAAGGAAAATAATTCTTTTCCCACAACATTACTTCAGAGAATGCACTGCTGCTATCAATAACAACAACTGAGAGGTGTTCTTTTGCATGCCCTTCGAACTCCTTCAACCTCTCTACTCTATTTACTATGAAGGAAAACCAGTCATCCAGGGTCTCAAAAGATCCATCAGGCTGTTGGAGCATTCATATAGTGAGAACATCCAAAAAGATGCACTTTCTGAACTGTCCCTTCTTTTGAATCAATTGCTAGCTCAGTAGTAGTAAGTAATTCACATATCTAAATACAAATACAGTGTGGAAAACCTGCTGGCCTCTGCCTGGTGCCGTCGTTATTTGTTTTTCGGCACCAGGCAAAGACCTTTTTATTCAAATGTCAATTTAACTGTTAATACTATTTATTTTATTCTTCGGCCAGGGCGACTTATTTTATATTGTTAACTTGTTTTATATTTTTATTGTATAATATTTTAATTGATATATTTATGAGCCGCCCCGAGGCTTCGGCGATTGGGGCGGCATAGAAATTTTCTAAATAAATAAAATAAATAAATAAATTAAAAATACAATAAACATTTATTGGAGGCTACAATTTAGCTCCCCTAAATGTGGATATATAAATTCAGGCAATCTCAAGTAAGGTTCCCTAATCTCAAATGCTATCTAAAGGCCCAAAGAAGTGAATGAAGTGAATTCTCTGTAAGACAATCCTGAAAACCACTGTTATTTACACAGCTGATACTGTAACGAAGATGTCTTCATTTTCTGTTTATTTCTGAGAAATCACAGTTCCTTTTAATTGTGTTCTTACCATATTGTGTGGTATTGATACGTAGTTTGGAACTCCAAGGACATGGCTGATAAAGTTTGGTCCACAATTCCTCCCAACCCATAAAAACATGACCTGTAAAGCCAGACAAAAAGCATTAACCTCTGAATTGTGCATCAATTTCTGAAAAATGACAACTATTAAGGTTCAAGGAAAAAATGCTACATTTAACAGATGGTATGAGTTCACAAAAGATAACTTACAGAACCAGCATCCATAAGGTAAGCACCATCCCTGTTTATCCTCTCCATAGACAGCTGGAGAATGGGTGGCTGAGGTATTGTTCTGTCATTGACGTTGAGTCCTCCCTAAAAGAATATACAGATTATGCACAACAGGCAACTGACCAGCAGATTGTCTGACAATGGGAAAAAACGCTTTAAGGAGCGCAAAATCACTCATGCGCATATCCAAAAAGCTGAGGAAAATACCCCCCCCCCCAATAAATGTCAGAGGAAAACTCTATTGATGGGATTAACAATCTACAAGGCTTTGTTGGAGAATGTGTACATCTTTACCACGTTGCCCATTTAATAAATGTTTATTTAAAGCTACCCAGAAAATTGTAAGCTGACAGTGTGGATTTTCCAAGAACTAGTTTGCATGCAGTTTCAGGAATACATATATACAAGTTAATTTACAAATTACTATACAATGCAAAACTCCTGTTCCTTCCAGCTGGCACATGCAGAATTTTGCAGTGGCCCCCATGTAACAAAGCACTGAAAATCCTAGATGCAATCATTTGTATATTGGAAACTATTTTAAGTGCCAAATGCATGACTATCCACAACACAGGCCACACCTGCTTGTTAATGATATTATTGAGGAATTGTATATAAGGATTCCCATCCAGGGTCTTCTAATCCTAAAATCTGTTGCAGTTTGTTCAGCAATCCAAAACTTAATATATATACCCTCCCACTTAATCAATGCAATAGATTATTTAATGTTTAAACTTGACAGTTTTATGAACACAAGCTGAAGTAGTTCATAAAACTTAATATCCAGATCACATGATATAGGCATTACAAATACCTGAGCCCATACATGGAAGGGACCACAGAAACGAACTGAAACCAACATTAGCATCAACATCTTTTTCTCAAGAACTGAGGTACATGAAGCCTCTACGTATCAAGCCAGAGTGCAGTGTAACAACAAATAGTTTCCAGGAATCATATAAACAAGGCCCTGGACAGTCACTGCACACACGGATCATTCCAGATTAGTGTGTCCGGAGCATACAAACCAAACTGGACAGGAGTAGAAAGGGGAAAAGTCCCCCTGGTGGCCTGGGAAGTATGAAATTGCTAAAGACTCTTGTAGAATGCTGTCCTCTGCAATCTGATGCTTCCCCAATAAAGCACACATCTGCATACCTGAATTATCCAACTAATGGAAAAGCAGCCTTGTGCTTTTTATCATGATTAAGGTTTTTGGCAGAGCTTATTAACTGTTCAGGGCAAAAGACCTAGGGACAGAAGGATACATGCAGGGTTTACAGGAGAAATTTAGAATAAAAGCATACCTCATCTGTGAGATTGTCAATTCTATACAGATTGGGATGCATCATAAGCATGAGGTACGCTAAAGGTTGGTTTTTCACTTGACACATGGTAAAAATGCGATCATCTAAACGTGCATTAGTCCCAGTTTGGAATGCTTTCTGTGAATAAAAGTAGTAATATTAAAATTTATTACTCAGAATGTGGAGGGCAGAGGAAGATGAAACATCTCATATGGCATACACATTTCAAGAATCATGAGTGGCAAACAAATATTTTATGACTAAGTCTACAAGATGTATTGGAAGGATGGAATTGTTGCTGTGTCTAACATTTAAATTATACTATATTCTCTATATTGTAGACCAGGGGTCCTCAAACTTTTCTACCAGGGGGCCAGTTGAAAGGTGCTGGAGCTGGGCAAAGGCCGGAAAGGTGGTGCCGGCGGTGTGCGCGGGCTGGCGAGGGGGTAGGGGTGGTGTGCGCAGGCGCTGAGACGGGGCACACGGTGAGGGGAGGCAAGTGCACGAAGCAGCGGCTTGCTCGCTTGGAGGTCATTTTCTCTGAGTGAACAAACCGCTGCCTCCCCATGCATGGGGCGAGGTGGCTGGCGGCAGGTGCATGCGCAGGCGTGGCGGGTCCAAATGGGCATGACGGGCTGGATAAATGGGCATGACAGGCTGGATCTGGCCCCTGGGCCGTAGTTTGAGGACCCATGTTGTAGACACATCTGGCTAGCTAAACTGATACAATTAAAAATGTGACAACAAATGCCAGTTACATCAATGACTAGGATGCAAGGGACTACGAGCTGCACAATTTCTGCTCACACTTTAGAGCTTCCTAACAAAACTTGCCAGAAAGCTTTACCAGAGCGTGAAAATTTGTAGGAAAGGTAAATGAAGAGACACCCAAGGCAGTGCACGGATCTACTGTGAACAGAGAAAGCTGCAGAAGCTGGCTTACACTTAAACATATTTGGATGCACACAAATTATGTTTGTATTCTAGCCATTAAGCTGTCAACTTAATTTCAAACATGGTAATCCAGAGGTAGACATAAGTTGCTTGTTTCATTTATTTTCATAGTAAGAATAGCCTTGTGCCTTATTTTAACTCTAATGCAGTATCTGCCATGACTATGAAGATACTGGAGGAGCAACTGAAAAAACTCTATTAATATTTTAAATACCAATCTAAAAGTGTTTATGGTATGGTTACCTTCCTCTTTAAAGACTGCAATGATAAATATGTACCAGCAGGTTTTACTGGAAGATAAACTGGAAAAGAACTGGACCAACCCTGTCTACTTCATCAGATTTCTTCAGATTATACCTACCCAAAATGTTAACAATATGAAATTTAACATGATCACAAATTTTATGAGTTTGTCTACATAATCTCTTTAGCCTAATTTTTAAGTAAGTTTCACTTTGTTCTTACCTGTTTTAAGAGAGCCAATACGTATAATGGGAAAAGACGTAAAGAGACAGGAGCCATGAGACCCGGCTGCTGAATGGTTAAGACAGAGGACCGGTATGCAGACAGGGAATCTATTACGGCATTCACTAATGCATCTCGAGCATCACTCAGACTAGCAGAAATTGACCGGTCAACAGCTGGGGGAAAAAACAGTATGTCCTAATCATAATTATCAAGAAAACTGATCCTGATTTTTAAAAAATCACTCTACAGCTGCTTAAGTTTTCTTTCTCCCCTCTCACACATACACTTCTACCTATAATAAGAATGTGCCACATTGATTCATTCTTCTAACCTCTTAAATGTACTGTGCCAGAACAGAGTATTATGCATTCTATGTCAATCTCAATTCACTGTTACTTCCAATCTTTCAAGTATAATATGATAATAAAATATTAACTGTTCACAGATACTTTGTAACCCAAGCCAACAAATCTTAAGCACCTACCCATATTGGCCAAAAGTCCTGTAATAGCTTGCACATCAGCTCCCAGATATACATCACTTAACTGGCTCACAACAGGTAAACATAATGTGTGGACACGAATCCTCCTTTCACCTGTATAAAGAACAAAGGAACCCATAGTTTCTGAACAGGATTTCATGGAATATATCTGGCTTATAGGTCAAGTACTATCACAAATGTAACAAGTTATATTTATATTTTTTGCTTCAAAATATCTTTTCACATTGTAAGTGAAATACAGGCTGTAGCTTTCCCAACAAACTCGGGAAGATGGCACTCTATTGCCTATATTCTTTTCAAAGCAGTTATCCTGTTTTAAAGTGTGGATACTGAACTGGAGCTCATGAACTACTGATTAAACTACTGCCAACAACATGCATGCTAGCTGGTTAGAGCTGTGCACCTGTGAAGAGTTAAGACCAACTCATTTTTGTCACCAGACAACACAGATCAGACATGTTGACTTGAAGTGTTCGATGTTCTGACACATTTATATTTACCTTTACTAGATGTGTACAAGAGAGCAGACTGAAAACAGACCACCTGCATGTCTGTCAGGCTTTCCTCCACTGACATTTGTACAGCATATCCTGCATCAGGATTCACATTGGGTAAAGACAGCAGATCTGTTGACCGTACAAAGAAGTTGCCATGGAAGGTGTGAATAGAAAGGCCTACGAGAGAAGAAAATACTATTTTAGTAATGCTGTTGCAAAACTACTGATCACATAGCTGCAATGCATTTTGGACTGCAGTCACATTTTTATTCTGATGAAGTTCTTTCGTATTAAGTATCTGCAGCAATATTACCTTGATCTTGGACACACACAGTGATTTTAGACCCTGCTAGCATTCATTTACTTATCCAGAGCTCCAAAATGCATTGTGCACTCCCACAGAACAGCTTACGTTGGGTGACAACTTTGATTCCCAGAACCAGTGCAATTTAATTGTTGGGATGTAAAGAGCCATTATGCAGTATTCTCTGGACATTCTTGGCTTTGTCAGGCATCCCATTGCTGCTGCAATTCCTTGCATTCCAGAAAAGCTTTTGAAGCAATACTGAATGTGCTATAGTGACAACCATCCTTCTGTGCACATTCAAAAGCACTTTTGACATACCTAAAGTAATGGCTTTAGACAATGTCTCTCAAAATGTCTAAATGGATAAAATATAATGACACACAGGAAATAATTGCACAGTTATGCCACTGGCAGTATCACTTGAGTGTCAGATAAGCAGCACAGGCAACAACTGAAATGAACGAGGCTCAGTAATCTTGTATAATGAACACAGAAGCAGCCCCTTTATTATGACACCTGATGTCTTCCTTTGGCAAACTGAACTCTCCAAAGGCTAATTAGTGCTATTTAACCTCAAAAGACCATACAACATCATCCACTGTGAAGCACTTATACTGAACCATTCTTTGCCTTTCTTAGAATTAGCAGGCTGTTTCATCATTTACTTTAAGAAATAACATTAATACAGTGTACAGGTTCATGTTCACTTGATAACAATAATGCCAAGTGATGACTTGTACATGTGCAATAGCCACCACAGATCACACACTTTCATCCTACATCATAGAACCTGAGACATAATGTTCTTTCATGAAAGCAGTTCATATATTCAGCTGCATATCAAGTGATAAAAATGTGTGGATCTATGAGCACATTACATCTATGTGTAACATCTAGCTTTCAAATCTGGACAGACACACATGCTCAGTAAGGCATTTATAGAAACACTTTCTTTGATGCTGGCATGTTAAATTTTCTCTGACCTTTGGTACATCTTATCCGCATGACAGCCTCAAAACCAATCTTTCTAGTCAGGTATCGTTTAAGCTCCTTCTGCAGTTTCTCCACCAGAAGAGGATTGTGTTGATGATGATAAGATTGGTAGTAATAAACGCTGCCTGCTGAATACCTTGATATACATCCTAGAAGAGAGGGGGGGAAAACAACCATTTTTAACTTGCTGGAATTAGACCAATTTAACATGTAGATGTTAACAATTTGTCAATAAGAAAAACATTTTATGAGTAAAAAAGATGGCTAAGGGAGCAATCGTATGGTTCTTGAGAAAGTGTCTTAGAGACTATAGGCCATTTCAGACTTTTCCCCTTGGAGGCTGTAGACACTGCTATAAATTTGGAAGGGGAAATCTGAATGGGAGTTTTCCCCTTTGTAGTGCCATGGAAAGGTCTAAAGAAAAGAGGGAGGCAGCAGGGATCTACAAGCCTCTCAGCTCTTGTCCCTGTCCTCACAACTCCACTAGTAGCACTACTGGAGCATCAAGAAGCATAGGGTTGGTGTCCTCAGTGTTCAAGTGTCTCCCTAAAAGTGCAGTTAAGTAATAACATGGAGCATTCTACAGAGTGATATGAAAAAATGATCCATCAGTGGAAGATGGCAATGTATTATAAACAAACTAAGATTATCTTTATACAATAATCAATCAGGAGTACTCTGTTAACTCAATATATTAGAATTTTGTTCTAGGCTGGTTACAGCATTGGCCCTACTCCTTTTTAAATAAAATTTCAAAAACAAGTTAGGAGAGAGAAGATGGATAGTCATCACACTAACTCAATACTGATGGTACCAAGACTACAAAGAAACATATCCCAGTGGTACTGGCAGAAAGTACATACTAGAATATTTAAGTGTTGAGAAAACATATTTAGCAATGTTCCCCCACCCCTGGAATTATCCCCAGCACAACCGCCACATTTATGCCCCACATTTCTTCTTGCAAGAAAGCTAAAACAGCTTACAAGGCTCTGTTCCTCCCACATGTTGTTATAACAATAATAACTTGTGATAACAAACTTGTTAGGATAGGTTAGGCTGAGATGCCATGACTGGTCCAAAGTTACCCAGCCTCACAGCCAAGTGGGAACTAGAGCCTGGATCTCCTGAGTTCCACTCTAGCACTCTTAACTACTGTACAACACTGTTTCCCAACATCTGTTGAGCTTACGTTTTTAGCATTTACACTTAATACTGTAAGAACAATATGATGTTTCTCTCTTTACCAAAAGACATCAGAAAACACATACAATATGAGAATAGCTTACCTAATGAAGCCAAGTCAGAGTACTGCCCACTAAGAAGAAACAAGTCAACTGCAACCTGTTGTCCTGAGCAATCTAAGGCCAACTTTTTATAGAAGTCAGTAGATGGTGTAAGATGTATATCCTAAGTAAAAAATTCAAAGTGAGAAACTCCAAAATATATACACCGAAGGCCAGCATTCCTGAAATGCAGGTCACTGTCACTCTCATGAACAGAAGCAGTAATGCTGTTTATTCTTAAGACTCTGCACTTCCTAATAGCCAAAATAGTTTTTAGAAGAAAATTACTGAAACCAATAAAGCACATTTTATTGTAAGGGTAACAGATGATATATGTAGGGTGATTCTTGTGCTAACCTTTGCAGATGCTTTTTGGTTAGGCTCTTCACGGGGCTTAAGTGCACCCACTCCAACAGATGGAAGCTGTGTCTGGAAGACAGAAATCCGCCCACCCGTGGGAGACATCAGCTTAAAGGCAGCCTGTAGCGCAGGTCCCAGAGCACTCTGAGTTTCGAGGGAGTTGGTAAACATCTGAGGCAAGGCCCTCAATAAATCTTGAATTAGCTGAAGGAAAATAGAAGGGTTTTTGTTGTTCAAAACGTTAGAACATTCAAAAGACATATCTTCCATATTGAATATATGAGGCAAAATCCCAAGTGTGCTATTGTTAAGTTAAACAACTTGCTATTGTTTAACACCCAACTATCAAAACTCTGAGTGGTTCACAAAATAGAATTAAAGCCAAAACTAAGAATGTGGTTAAAAAAAACTTTAAAAAGTTAAAACAGCAACAAAATAAAACCAAATAAAGTAGAATCTAGAGATGGTCTCAAAAGTCTTAGTCATGTATCTAACACTTTTTTCTTAAAAGTATAGACACTGAGTAATCAACAGAAAAACTAGTTTTACCTTTACATTGGAAACAATTGCAAAACAAATCAGTGGAGTGGGAAAGATTTGTAAGTTATGTTACGAAGTTAATAAAATGTAAATCATATTTTAGCAAAGATTTGTACTGCATAATATCACTCTTACCTCTTTGCTTTCATTTAAGCTCACTAGTAGGTTCTCTGGCATTGGTATAAATACATCTGCAAGATAGATAATGCTGCTATGAAAGTTGTCTGAATCAGTTTGGGTATTATAGAAACAGTAGTTTCTAACTACTGAATAGCCCTAATAAATGAACACTCATACAGTATTCTATGCATACTGCTGGGATTCAAAGGAGTATATTGAAAGCATGCATGGAAATCAATGTTTTATTGAGAATGCCTTTTTGTCAGAGGAGAAGGAAATGTAGACACTTTTACAACCATAGTCACAGGCTAAATAAAATGTTCTAGCTTAGCATGTAGTCTGGAACTTGGCACTCTCAGATGTATCTATTAAGGAAACAAACACCAGAAAATCCTGATGGCTTAGAAATGCTCCTATATTAAGTTCCAGAAAGGAGATGGTTAATGTATCTTTCAGGGCAGGAGCCACAGAGTCTGACATACCCCGAGGAAACCAGACATGGCTTTTAGAACTTGTATTTAAAAAAGACCCACAGACACAGGGATTCCTAAGAGTCCTCAGCTAAGCTGCATTAGGAGGAGGAAGGGCTGTTTTGAAACCAAATACCATGTTTTGCCCAACCTATCTTTGTGATCCAAACAGTGGTTTGTCTGCCTGTACTCCTACTCGCATCAGAAAATGAAACCTCACATTAAGTCCAACTTCTCATTCTCAGTCAAAGGGCAGGAAAAAGCAGAATCCATCTCCCATGGGGTGGCAGGATGAGAATAAAGGATAGCAGCATCCTTAAATGACCTACTCAAGTATCCTCCCAACTGTGGCACTGTCTATCAAGGCAAAAACACTAATATAATGCTTAGAGGCAGAAGGCATGGACCAGGTAGCAGGCCTAAATAGTCTGCTCAGGGAGCATTAGAAAATCAAGGGCAGGGTGCCATATACCCACCATGAGAGCCCAGTGTGGTGTAGTGGTTAAGAGCATGGGACTGGGACTCAGGTGATCTGGGTTCTAGTCCCCGCTCAGCCATGGAGCCAACTGGGTGACTTTGAGCCAGTCACAGACTCTCAGTCCAGCCTACCTCACAGGGTTGTTGTTGGGATAAGATGGAGATGTAAGCTGCCTTGAGCTCTTTGTAGGAACAGGGCAGGGTATCAATCAATCAATCAATCAATCAAAACCTCTCAGGAAGAATGGGAACACCAATCTGGTCCAACACTGGCCAGAATGTATTTGTTGTCTTCCTCTAGCCTCCCAATCCCTTCTTCTGTGCACTGTGCCTTTTAGACTGTACGCCAAGGGCAGTAACTGCAAAAATCATTCCCTCCACTTGGGTACTTTGCAGGTCAGCCAGCCTTTCTGTACTTGGAGGGAGCTTTGAATCTACTCTACAGTGTGTGACAAGGGGAAAGTCTTTCGCCCAGGAGGATAACAGTGTTGTTTCTGCATGCTGCCAACTCAATCCAGTCCTCTCTTGCTGGCTGATGTTGATTTGTATAGTTCAAAGTACCACATGTTCGATATTCAGGTTGTAGGCGACATTTGTGGGGGGGGGGGGAGAGTGCTGATTCCAGCAGGGCCTTCAATTCACCAAGTAAAAAGCTGCTGCAAAAAATGGGTCAGACTGGATAGTACATGGATAAAGGGAAGTATCCTATATTGTCAGCCAGCATAAAAGGTGGTTCTATCCTGATCCAGCATTACAGAATTGAAGCAGCGTGAGAGTAGAGGTCCCTGGGAGGTGCTACAGTTGTGAGAGGCTTAGGCACCTACAGTCTGCATTGAGAGAGTATGCCCAGGAGGATACAGGAGATATCCATCGTATTATCCATGTTTGTGTTTATGTTCACTCTTGCACCAGGTACAAGGATCTGAATGAAATGTTAAGGCAGGGGCAAGAAACATGTAGGCCAGGATGATCCAACACTCAGTGCCCAAGGCCTTGTTCTGCAGCCCTCCTGCTGCTAGGTCCCCCCCAACCCCATTCCTCTCCCAGTCCAGACCCCAGTGATGGCACAAGCAGGATTCCAGCAAGCTCTCCCGAGGCTGCTGACCCTCCAGTTCTCTTCTGAGCACCTTTGCACCTGTCAGCAAGAGTGGGTGGGCCATGCTGGGGAGAGTTCATCAGTTCAAGTACAAGAGGGTCAGTGTGCCAATACTAGGAAGGAAGGAGGGGCTGGAGGGGCTCATATGGAGGGGTTTCTGGGTGGGGCAAACAGGGAAGAAAGGGATGGACCACCTCAGAGGAGTGGTCACTGTGCTTGGGCTGTGTTTGAAGAAGGAGCTGCCGGTGATCTCTAACTATGTACATTAAATTAATATATTGCACACACTTAATTTGCAATATGGAAATGTAATTCATTGTGCAGCCTCTGGGTTATGTGTCATAACTTTCATACAGCCCTTGAGGTATGGAAAATTGGACCACCCTGTTGGAGACCAAAACACTGGGAGGGCAACAGCTCCCATTAGTCTCAGCCAATATGGCCGATGGTCAGGAATGTTACAAATTGTCCAAAGCAGGTTGGGGAATGCTGATCTAAGGAGGTAGAAGTTGCCCACCCTTAAGCTAGACGGTCTCCAAGACACCCTCCATTATTTGCCAGATCAACAGTCAAAACCTTCTCCACCTCTCAAACATGTTCCTAATTTGCCAGACAAGCATGTACAGTTCTGACTTCTTGGTTAATCATTCAAACTCAAGCTTAATCTTGTCTCCCTCTGAACAGAAATAGGCAATAAAAGAGTGAGAGTGAAGTCCCCATGAACCATCTCTAAAGGTTGGCATGACAGAGAACTCCTTTCCTATCCTAAAAGGTGGGAAAGGCTCCAGAGCCTCTCACATGCAGATTTTTAATCACTACAACAGCTTGATCTCCTCTCTTTCATGGGCTTCTACCAGACAAGTGCAGAGAAACATGAATCAATTATGTCAGAAGGCTTTAGAGATCTTCTGGAAGCCACAGTGTCTTAACACTGGGGCTGCGGTCAGAAAGGTGCAGGAAGAGATGAAATGAAGCTGCAGAATCCTTGGGAGCACTGTGTGATGTGCTTCATTCCTTCCTGGCCCTTTTTGCTGAATATGGGAGCAGAAAGTCTGGGAGACATCTAAGCAAGTGGGCCTTGCTGAACCTCTGCAATTATGAGCCCATTAGTCTAGGTCCCAGCACAAAAATCTCCCTTCCAGTTAGGTAGGAGCGTAGAAAAGAATGGGGAGAGGAAAGGAAACATCCTATGAGCACAAACCCCCCTTAAATTGCTGGCTTTATCCCTGAGCACAGCTCCAGCGTGACCAAAGGGCCCTATTCTTCTTCAAAAGGCAGAGACAGAAAAACTGTCTTTTTTTCAGAAAGACATCAAATTTGCTACCTTGCTTTCAATTGGAGGATATCAGCTCTCCTGCACTGTGACCAAGAAATAATTTTGCACAGCCATCCAATGCTATATACACATATTCTTCTTTGAAGCAGTAGAATTCAGTCACTGATGGATTAACATTCTAATCTTGAACTATGTGTGCTTCCTTCATAAATCTAATAGTGCAATTTCTACTCACCTTCAATATCTGAAACTATTAACATCTGAGGCTGTGAGAGACCTTCCTGAAGGCTATAAAAATGGATTGTGCTGTCAAAAGTTATGAAGCCTATTTTCGTTCTCGTGTTTCCTGGCAATCTGAAAGTTAAATACAGAAACCATGTTTAATAAGGCTCTAAGACCACATTCATGTCAAATAGATATATTTTATATGGGATCAAACTTTTGTAAAATGTTACATTCCAGATAAAGATGTAATTTTTCAGCACACAGCTATTAAACTGACATTCAGATTTGTTAATGTCAGTGCCTTTGGAGCGACAAGATATGTTGATATTATAGTAACAAAGCAGACAACCTGACAATATTCCAGTTTATAAAAACAAAAAATCAGCAAGGTGATAAATTCTGGGATAGAGGCTACATTAGCTACATCACAAGCATACCTGGGATGCAAAAAAGGGGCTACAGATTTTTCAATTTGTTCCTTACACTAACAATACAAAAATAAAGTGTTTGTTAATGGGACTGTATCCCCAAAGTACTTGCATTGATTCCCCAAATTCATAGCCATCCTGAATTTATGTTTTGGAATTCAGTACAAAAGCACAAGATGTCAAGGTTCTTCAGTTTTAAAAATAAATATTTGAAACAAATTGGTATTATTAGAAGATCTAAAGTAGCACAATTTTCAGAGATAGCTGTGTTAGTCCATTGCAGCAAAAATGAGTCTTGTGGCACCTTGCTGTCTCACAAATATAGTCTGACGTATGCTTACATAGACACTATCCTGATGAAACAGACCCTGTCCAAAAAAGCTTATACCACAATAAACTTGCTAGCCTTTAAGGTGTCACAGGACTCTTGATCATTCAAGAAGTAGAATGTCCATTTGAGAATTTATCCAAATTTTGTACCTATGCCTTCATGGTAAGTGTGTAAAAAATACATTAATGCACTTCTGAACATTCAGCACATGAAAAGAGATGGTAGTAAATAGCCCAAACACAGCTTAACTATAAGAAGCATGTTTAAAATATAGACAGACTGAAAAGATGCACAGAACTTACAAATCTAGATTTTCCAACAGAGTCTGACATACAGTTTTCAAGTATCCTGTTTCTAATGCATTATGAGACACGTCAAACACAAAGAGGTACACAGGCGGCTGAGGTGGACGTAACTGAAAAAAGAAACAATGATTTTCAGGTTTCAGTTTCTAAATCTGGTCAAACACTGCTCCTAAGCTAACCCAAAACTGCTAAACAAAATGGAATGTTTGCCAGAGCTGGTGCAGAGAGAAACTGACTGATAATGAACAGTCATCATACAATCTCTTTCATCCTTGATTATAACATGCCAGAAACCTTCATTTCTGATAGGACTGCTGAACTCATTTCTTAAGGGTCTAAACCAGGGGTCTCAAACTCGCGGCCTGCGGGCCAATTGCCGGGCCAGGAGGGGCACGGGGAAGGGGCCCTGCGGCCTTCAAAGCGCCGGTGGCACCCGGGCCGGCCACTGGATGAGCGGCCCACCCCCACCGTGGGGGTGGAATACTTGATGCGGCCCAGCTTCACCCAGACTCTACTTCCAGTGGCCCCCAGCTAAGTTGAGTTTGAGACCCCTGGTCTAAACTATGATGTAGTAGAAACTTAAGATGCACTGCTTAAAACAAAAAACAGCATCATAATGAGATATGGGAGCTTGGAGAGCTAGAGGGACCACATAGGAGAGAGAGGCAAATTTCACACTGAGCTGGAATAACCAGTTGTAACCAGTGGTAACTTTGGATATTGGTGTACAATATTTCCTCAAGTTCCAAATATGTCTAAGGTTTTTTTAAAGCATTTGGAGACTTGACACTAAGGGTTAAGAAGAAGCAGGGTCTAAACAGGGTCTAAACTAAGAACAGATACTTCCAATTCTGCAAATTATCTTTGCCTTAACAAGCAAGACATATATTGGCACTTTAGGAAGTTTGGACAAAGTAAGCAGTACTATGAGACACCTCCAAGATCATGCTGTCACCCATAAATGTAACTGATTGAGAAAGGACAGTAGCTCAGTGGCTGAGTGCAGGATTACACGCCAAAAGACCCAGGTTCAAACTATAGCAACTCCAGGTAGGGGTAGAAAAATACTTGCCATCTCACCATGTATTCAGAAGGAGCCATAAATTCAATTGTGGCATTTTGAACTTCAGGTCTTTTATGAGGTTCTCCATAAACTCTTGTCACAGGATTGTACATAAATTCTTCAGGAACTGCAAGAGGGGAAAAACTCTTTACTCTAAGAAACAAGCCTCAGGGAATGACAATATTCTTGATATACTGTCTATACCTAGAATTCCCTAAAGAAATTCTAGTCTCATTACAAAACATTTATCTCAATAGTATGTTGTATTTGCTAATGCTTGAACCTAGAAAACAACTGGTAATAGATGTCACAGTTAATAAAAAGCAGATCTTTGAATACTAATTCAATTGATTTTCTTCTCAGCGGGGTCACATTCATTTTATAAAACAAAAACTCACCATCATTCACTCTGTAACATAAGTTGCATTTCCATCTCCTTTGATCAAGAAAACTGACAAAAGGATTTATATATGTCCTACAGCTACGACATCTCACAATTGTACTGGAAGTTACCACAGGCAATTGCTGAAAAAGAGGAATGCCTTTGTAAGTCATTTATGGAAATACATTACCTACCGTGGGTAACCTGGGTGCCTGTCTTTCGCTCAGGTCTAAATATATAGTGGCTGGGTTAAGACAACATGGTAGTCCACACTAAAAGTCCAAATATGGATTGAATGTGGGCAGGTTCACCCAAAATAGTAAGTACCCTAACTGCAATGCACCCCACAGATGACTGAGCACATGTTGCGCAGGGCACCCCCATACACTATTTGGCAGTGTGAAAAGGAACTCTGTAACCCCATCTGAATCTACTTTTAAAATGGAGATTAGAATATGGGGTGGACACTTGCTGATGAGTTAGAGGATCTGTCAAAATTTTGGGAACCTTCAAAAATGGGAGTGGGTGTGGGATTTTGACTGGAACATAGTCAAAGGTACACCCTAGTCTAAAATCTACCCATTTCCCTCCAAAATATCCTTTTTTAAAGGGCCAGGAGGTCTGATACCTGCCTGTCATCTTGGGTCACTTTAAAAAGGTGATGGTTGGGAGCTGTTTCTTCCTTCCTCAAGTTGATAGGGGCTTTGGAGAAAGGGCCTTCTCAGGGAAAAAGCCCTTGCTTCAACCCATCCTGAGAGCTTGCTTCAATGGAAATGTGGGATGGGGGTGTGGATTCCTTTAACAGCAGGCACCCACCTGGACATTGTCCAGCAGAGGCTGGGAACCTGATGCAGCCACGCTATTGCTCATGACTGCAATAGAAGAACTGGAGGGAAATATAATTTGGGGAGAGAATAATTTCAGCATGCACACAAAAACTCAGGAAAAAGTATTTTTCTTTTGCACATTCTGCATGCATGCGTTTTTAAGAAGGCTGGCAGCCATGGACAAGTTGCCCCAAATTCCAGTGAAGCACTTTTCCGGGACAGTTCTTGACAGCCTAAGCAGGGATTGCTGAAGTTGGCTGGATGGCCAGTTTTCACAATCTCAAAGTGGAGAAAAAAGGAAAAGGAAGCCATGCAAGTCCAAGGGGACTGATAGCAAAGGGAGACTTGGGCAACCTTCCCCCAAGCCACACCAAACCTGAAAGGGCTCACAGAAGCATGAAAGCTCAGACAAGCTTTTCCTAAGTGCCACTCAGGCACTTATAAGGGACAGTTCTTGGCTTCCCATGCAGGGATCACTGAAGCTGGCTTCACAACCAACTTCAATTACCTAAAGGAAAACTTTTTAAAGGGTCAGTCAAGTTTCAAGGAGAGTGACAGGGCTCACAATGGCAGTACAGAAGGGGAGACAAGTTGGCTCTCCCCAAGGTGTCCCATGAGATACCTGGCGGGGAAAGGGGTCCATTACCCATGATGTGCTGAATCATCTGTCAGGCAGTTTGTAAGGCTTCAAGCAACTGGCCCACATTGCTTGGCTTTTGCCATAATGTGGATTATCATGCTCATCCATGCTCTTGGGTAGCTCTGAAAGTCTGGCTACCTTCCAAGCAATGTATATGAATCAGCTCATTCTCTGCGATGAATAATGCATTCAGCTCTTACTCTTAGAAGCATAATGGGAACATGGTATATTCATATCAACAGACCCAAAGAACTTTAGCAGATAGTGCTAATTAGACATGGAGGCTAACCCATTTGGCAACTTACCCAATAGATAAAGACAAGTCACATTCAAGTACACATTTATGTAAAAAGGGAATTTTATATAGGAAGATAGGCAAGAGTAGCTGTCTTCATTTATAACAACTGATGCCACAAGTGCTTCCCCACAAGGATCAGTTATTCCCAAGCCTAGAAACCCTCTATTTGCAAACAGCAACCACCATAGCAGATTAAAATCAGAGCATGGCAGATTTTGAAAGCAAGCTTAGCCACTCAAATTCCTAATGAGATAAACCTAGTATCATACAGGTTTTGAAGGCTCCAGTACACCTTGACCAATGCATGAAGTTTATAAAGATATAGACAAAATGTTGAGGGGGGGGGGGAATCCCTCCATTAATAAAGGTCTTAATTAATGCAAGTGGACCTCTGAAATGTTATCTCATAGTAAATTGTATGTCTCCAGGGTGATGCTAACAAAAACATCCAGTATAACTACATTCCCTAAATAATGGTTTGAAGAATAATGAGGGGATGAGTTCCTCCCCTTGTGCACAGGGTTCGATTTCTTACTCACCATTTGAATCAAACTAGAATTTATCATAACATCCATACTGGCAAACTGTAAATTAAGTGTTTGCTCCCAAAAAGAATCAAACCTGACATGCAATTTGGACAAATTGCTCAAACTACTATTTGCCATTTGAGCAATACAGCAACCTATGGTTTGATTCAAACAGCAAGTTCTGTGAGGGAGGATCTGTGCACAGTGTTTCTTCATAATCTTCTAGACACAGTTTTAACAATCATATGAATGCAGCTACTTACAGAGCTGTTCCAATTCAAAAAGCAATGTGCTAGCAATGAGTACTACATAAAGTAACATACCGATAGGTCTTTGAAAGGATGAAGCAGAAGACCCAAAGGAAGTTTGGCTTTGTTGAGTAAGGCCTGAGTTTGAGGAATGTTAGTCAATGTACATCGGAACAACCTGCACAATGGACAAAGGGTTAAAGTCACTATTGAATTGTGCAGCATCCATCCTTGACCTAGAACGGTAAAGCAGCTACAGAGCACTTTATGGCTCAGGCTTGCTTTTCTCTGGACATATTATACACACTACCAGTTGAAGAGCATCGGTTAGGACCCTCCATTCAGAGGGGGCGGTATCCTCAGGATAAATCTCTGGATCGGTCCTCTGTTAAGTCAAACAAGGACTATGTAATTGGGCTGTTTCTGTTCATTGATGCTTTGCTGGTCCTGGAAACTGAGAGCATTCTGTCTTGCTACCTCTTATTGTAGCCTGCTTGACCTTACATTTGGGTGGAAAATGTCAAAAAGGCAGCTGTTCACTCCTTTTCTTCCTATTAACCATCTATAAACCACACATTCCACCCCATATACAGTCCAAGTTAGACTATGATAATGGTTTAGGAGAAAGATTTGAACAAATGACAGAAGAAATCTTACTTTGATCCTCCCCTCTAAAATACTCATACCAACAATTGCTACAGATGTCATGGTATTGACATGATACAAACATGATCCAAAAGAGTTCATGCAAAGTTCGTTCAATGATCCAGGATTATTTGTACAATCCAATGCTTTAAGCCAGGACTTTTTCACCATATTTGCTTTACTTACAGAGACCAGAAACCCAGAGCAATGCAAGGTTTTACATGCAGCCATTGTATCTTCAAGACACATGAAACTAAGGAAATCTATTTTTCAATAAATCTTAGTTAACCTTACTCTGGATTACAGTTGAGCTTCAGTATATCTTCATGCAAGTTTGGAACAGGTGCCTGCAAGGGGGTTGCAGGAAGAATATTTCTCTCTTGAAGAAGGTTGATAGGTCTTAATCCTTCTGGCTGAAGACTTAGTCCACCCATTGATGCAGATAAGGTGTTTGTTCCTAAGCCAGGCTAACAGAAAACAAATTATAAAGTCAGGTCATTTGAATGACATCCAAAATCCATTCACAGATGCAGAGAGTGCTGGTTTCACACTTACTAATGATATAAATGGAACCATTTATGCTTCACAGTCCACTTATACTACAGAAGATGGATCACTATGAAAGTGGAATGTGAGTGAGTCCGGCATAATGTTCACATCAAACATTATGATTCTGTCATAAAAAGATCATAAAACTTCTACTCATAAAACTAGAAGCAACTTTTTAAAGTACGTGTCAATCAAAACATTCCTTGTACTGATTGTTAGATTATTAACATGGACTAATAGTTTTTAGAAAAGAACTTGGAAAAGAAATGTGCAAGTACAGTGTATAGATGAATTAGGGGTTTTTTCCAATATGATAAATATTTTAATTATACAACAAGAAAGAAATTGCAAGTGGGTAGAGGATCATTTTGAAAGCTCTTTTAAAAAGCCTAGTTAACAAAGGAATCTGATAGGCTATACATACACCTGAACATTTGTTCCATAATGATTAGTTAAGGTAAATGTCACCCTATGTTTCATGTCCTGCCACCCTTTAATTGGCTGGGGTAGAACTAGCCCATAGTATATGTTGCTGAATTCTGGGTTGTCATGCTGTGAAAACCAGTCACAGTAACGAACCATGTTTTTTAAACACAAACCAACACAGACAGTTACCTCATTATGTCTGGTTTGAGAACTCTAGGTTGCTTAAACTATGGGCAATTGTTATGTGTGGACTCAGAAGTATATGGGTTGTTTTGGTAGGTTACAGATCAGAGGACAAGAATGATTTTTTAAAAGCTGTTCTGCATGCCAGTAATGCAGTGCAAAAGTGTTTTGCTATTGGGATACAGGGCAGAAAGAAGGAACAGGATGGGACACATACAATCAAGTAACTTAGACTACAATGTATGGTTGTTTGATAATTTGGGGAGGAAACCCTGGCTAAGGCGACAAACGATGGATTAACAGCTATCATTTTGCCAATATGCTCTTGAAACTAATCTGATATTTAAATCAGCTTGTGCCATCATGGACAGCTTTGTGTTACAACAGCAACTTCCACCAAGGTGTACATAATGTAAGGAGAGAACTTGTGCCCTGCAAGTTGAATGCAGCTACCTGCTCCCTCCAAGCCCTGCCCATCCTCCTTCACCCCTTTTTCCATGCTTATCAGTTATTCCTTGGGGATCTACTGATGAGGAAGGAGAGGAGACACATCCAATTTCTGACACCTGCTGAGCTGATCCTTGAGAAACAGCCGAAAACAGGGTTTTAGAACATCAGAGGAAGATTCATTTGAAAATAGTTTTGAGGGGGACTGAAACAAAGCAGAGACTTGAAATAAGAGATGCAAGAAGGATCTAGGGGAAAAACCTAAAAAGCCCTCTGCAAAAACTGATAAGACGCACTTTGCTCTTCATTTAAGTTAGCACTGTAGAACTTACTTTCTGACCTATAAACAAGGCTGCTATAACCACACTTTTACTATGGCCACAAGGAAAAGGATTCAAAGATCTCAGACTTCTCATAATTTCAGCACATGACAGCAGGCAAACTGAACTGGTCACCCATCAACAACCCACAGGAGAAATTCTGAAGGGGATGCGCATATGGATATGTGGCTGAGTGTAAATGGGGTGGGAAGGCGTTAAGCAATGGGACGGCCTATAAAAACTCAAAATAAATAAATAAAGGGTTCAGAGGGGTCTTTGACTCTACTACTTCTTAGCATACAAGGCCCAGAAAATGAAGGAATGCAGCCCTGCTGCTGAAGAATGTTCCCCACTTTTAGTATTTAGTAAGTCAAAAGCTAAATCAAGATCAACAGGGTTCAAATACAGCTAAAAATGGGGAGGGGGGAATATGACAAGAAAAAATATCTTATTGTGAGGGACAGAATTCCAGAGAAACCAGAATTTTAGCAACAGACAGGCACAAATAATTTCACTTTTCTTTTTTCATTCGTGCTGTTCTGATGTAATCTTGTCCCTTCATGCTGTGTTTCAGTTGTCAGAGTGATCTTTCGTTCAAATGGGCAAACATACCAGTGGTAAGATATCCCCAGCTGCCTTGAAGAGTTTGTACTTCAAAGTTTATGACAGTTTGGAAAAAGCACCAAAGGCTTCAGAAAGTTATAATGTACGCATGTAAAATCTAATTTGCCAAATCACTCAGTAAAAAACTTGCCCAAGGTGACTTTGAAAGTTTCATAACTCAGCTGCGCTGAGCAGCAATTTGAACTCTGCCTTCCACAGCCAAAACCAACTCTCTTCATCACGCTCAGAAGTTTCATAGAGCAAATAAGGCACTAGTCATCCTCACCGAAGTATCACCTTCCCCATTTCACAACCTTGGCAACATCCAGTTCCTTAAGCATCCAAGCAACTATCAACAGTCACTGTCAACGGCTTCAGTTTCAGTTTCAGTGCTAACAGTTTCCATTGCTAATATCTTTTTTCTTCAGTCTATCATTTAGGCAGACTACTATAACCTTGTCCTTGTTGTGTTTCCCCTTTTGCACCTAACCAGAAGGCCTTGGCTTAGGTCCTCTGTCACTATGGCCACAATCCTCTCCCTCCTGACCTCCTGTCATTCTTTGCCTGATGCTAATCTCCCCATTCCATTGCATTTCTTGCTGTACTTATTTATACTGCTCACTAAAATCAGGTACCAAATAAATTATATTTAGACTATAGCCTATACTGTGCTACAGCCAACTCTGTGTCCTTCTGCTTTTGTGGCTTATACCATGCTGTCCATCTGAAGTCTAACACAGCCTCCTATCCTTCTCCTCTAGATCCCCCCAATAGCCACTTACTAAAGGTTTTTTCCTAGAGTTCTCTACCCTCCTCATGTGTACTTCTGCTGTCATCTGATATGCTCCCACTCCATGCCCACTTTGTCCACTCCCCTACCATCTCATCAGATTCCAACTGCAAGCCCACTAAGCAAGAAATTTTATAGTGGCTAACACATTACTGATATCTATGCTGAAGTAGCACCAGCAGCCCAAATGGTAGTTCTTAAGCGGAGCAGAGAGCAGAGAGCAAAGCAAGAACGGAGGTTTGCCACCTCAACTACTAAAGGCCTTTGAAAGTTAGTAAAAATTCTGAAGCCTTTTGGACCATGAAGCCTGTATGGAAATTTATGGACTCACATTTCAAATTGGATTACATGGTCAAGACAAAGTATTTGTAACAGTAAAGAGAGTTTTACCTGTGGGAACTGTTGTGGTGCAACTGGGTACTGCATTCTTGGTAGTCCAGGTGGAGCTGCATTTTGGTAGCCAGGTGGCAGGCTGGGATATGCGCTCCCAACATGTCTATTCGTTTTAAGATTCTGAGGGGGAGAAGAGGTATGTGCAGTTGCTAAAAGAAGAATGGAAGAATGCATTCATTAAAAGACAAGGAAGAATGCTAGCACTCCAGTATTAAGAAATTTCTAATTAGCAATTTCAATGTAGTTCATGTCTTTTCTCATTATTTACTATCAGTACGTGTGTTTTACACATAATTAGAAATTCTACCTATTACCAATATAATCTATACATTGAAATTCAAGTCACTTTTTTAAAACAAACAACTCTAAGACATTTAGTTTCACAGTTCGATGTATGCTATCACAGTACGGTACACTTAGCATAGTCATGCAGCAGTTTTATTACAAAAGAACACTATGCAGAATTTTAATTATTTCCATATATAGTCTGACAATGTTTGATTAGGCAGTCAATTTAAAAAAAGACTTTTCAGTTCCTACAACCTTGATAGAACTGTTTTATTGACAGCAGACTAGTGGTTGCTAGTTGCATTTGTGTTTTAAGAAATGGCTAACAGTGTCCCTAACCATTAATCCCTAGCCATAATCAAGCATTATGTGATTTTTACTATAGTATTTTAACTTGTGTAACAAAAATGAAGACCTTATAGCCCTGTTCCATTTAAGCATAGTCCTGGCCTAAACTTTCAGGAATATTGCTAAGTATCCACTAAATGATAATGATTAAAAATCATACAACTTCTGAAGTGTCTAGAATTATATAACATATATGGTAAATCTACATTCTAGTCCTGGAAAATAAAATTTCCAACTTCCACTAAGGCAGTATCTTCTTTTTTTAACCTAAAGGCCATTTGTCCCAAAGACACTGCAGGGCTGCTGAACAAGTGCAGTGGTACCTTGGCTCACGAACTTAATCCATTCCAGGACTCTGGTTGTGACCCAAATTGGTCATGAGCCAAGTTAAATTTCCCCATAAGGTTCAATGAAAATAAGGTTAATCTGTTCTGTAACTATTTTTTTTAATCAGCAAAATGTGAAGCAAAGTGACAAAGAACAACAAAGATTGCAGCCATCTCACCCCCCGCATGACCACGAGCATGCCTGTCATCCCTGCACATGCCTGTCGCCCCTGTGTGTGGGAGGGGGGGAGAGAGACGGGCGCGAATGCAGACACGCTGGGGGCGGGGAGACAGGCGTGATCATGCTTGCGGGGGATATGGCTGAGATTGCAGTTGAGACAGGCACGATCTTGGCCATCTCACCCCCCCCCCCGCATGATTGCAGCCATCTCCCCTCTCCCAATGTGGGGTTCACGACCTGAGTCAACATTTTAATGAAATTTTTGTTTGCAACCCGATTTGGTCATGAACTGAGGCATTCATGAGCCAAGGTACCACTGTATATGGGTTCAGGATATCTGAAACAGTTAATTTTATTTTACTGGAACAGGGAATTTGCAAAAGCCATCATAAAGAGGCAGTAAGATAATAAGTTAAAGAAAATGTCTTACCCAGGAAACCACCTCCTTCTATTGTATCATAGTTGTTCTGGACCAATGATCCATCACTGGCAGTGGATGCAGTATCACCTGCTAAGAAAGTCATATGTTAGAAGCAAACACTTAAATCCATTCAATTAGTAGTTATTGGATGGTTTTCTATTAAAAGTCAAGTTTGTCTGACAGTAGCAACATTTTACAAACTTACATTTGTAGAATATAAAACACCACAGAAATAATCTCCACTGTAGATTTTCTTAGACCGGAAATAATTCTTCAATAACCTTACGTGACAATTTTTCCAACACAAGTATTACCAATAATTTATCATACTTGTTTTCTGTAGCATCCTTGAATGTGTGATAAGATATGTGGTGGGGAAAGTTGCCTTTAACAGAAACTAGTCAAAAACCTTATCTATACTGAAAATTGTGGCTTAGTAAAATTTGTGGTTACCTCTTGGCCTCCGTCTGAAAAAGAGGGAAGAAGTAACTCTGATCTATTAATAATAATTGTATAAATAAAATGCATTATTTTGGTGCTTTTAAATAAGCTGAACAGTATTTTCACTGACATGAGATGCACTTTCTGTGCAGTACTAGATGCAGATTCACTCTCTCACACACACTATTCTGCAAAGTGCCCAAATCCCCAAGAGTAGATGTTCAGGGAGTGCAAGGAAGGGGCACAGGTAGAAAACAGAAGACCCTTTGTACATATGGAACTCCACATTCACATCTCTGGATTCAACCCATGTCGGTCTCTCCTTTACCTGCTGAGTAATTCTCTTCTATCTAAGCAGTAAACAAATAGCACAAATAAAATATTCTTCCTTTGTTGCAAGCTATAACACTTTGTTTCAGAGTCACAGATACTGCTAATTAGAAAGCAATTGATGTTTAATCCTGCAATACACATAAGATCACTGTTCCACTAAAAATGAAACATGTGAAATGCTTCTATATGAAGAACTGTTTGGCAAGCTACAATACTGACACAATCACTTTTATGACCATAAGGAAAATGCTCAAATGAAATTATCAACAAGTTCAATGGCTTGTGTTAGGCAGAATGTGGTATGTATAGAAAGGACAAAACTGCAATTTTCTAAATCCATATGAACACCAAGGGTGTGTAAAAAGTCTCATACAAGACACATAAAGTTACTTGTGTAAAAAACAGTCCAAGGAGAAGCAATTTAGTCTTGAAGCTTCAGAACTACTTTGAAAATCAGAATGCCTTGGTCCATTCTCCTTCAGTTTTTGATTGGACTTTTTCTTATCAGTTTGATATATTTAAATCCATAACCATCTCTAGGCAATATGCAACACTAGCAGACAGCTGGGGATAGCTCTGTACATGCCTACTGTACCTTCCAACCATGGAATAACTCTAGCAGAGCTCTCCTTTTACTACCAATTACACTGCTGTGGAAACAAATGTAGGAAAGTCATCAGGAGCTGTTCCGGTGCATTTCAAGTTCACTCACACTGTATGCATCTCCCACTGCTCTTAAAGTAAACTGCAGTGATGAGCTGGGGTGCTCTGCTCTCCAAGAATATGTTGCTGGTGCTTTGGGGACTTCAAAAGCACCAACCACTATTCTTAATACCATGCATGTGTGTGCGCACAAATGTGCATACACTCCGGAAACCATAACGTGGGAGAAGACTTTTTTTTTTAATCGTGCAAATTTTTAGGACTCTCCTTCCACAAAATACCCTGCACCTATTGTTCTGAGGTGTTGCAATATTGTAGGGGCACCTCTAACCTGTATGTCATCCTAATAACAATTGCCCGCAAGACTATAGACAAGAATCTGCAGGCAACACTCTCTGCAGACTGTAAGCTTAACTTATAGGAAAAACAAAAAACCCACCCTCAAACTTTAGAGGCATCTACTACAAAATCTCCAAAACTAGAGAGGGAGGGGGAGAGGGAGAACCCACCAAAAACACAAGCAGAAAAGTATAAGCATTCGATGCTAACGAAAGCAGTGGGGATAGGTAAGGCTCTGCTTTGGATCCAAAGTAAAGCATGATGCAGTATGGATGCCCGTCTAAGCCAATGATGCAAGAGTGTGCATTTGTACATGCAAATTATTAGTAAATACTGCTGATATTATAACTGAGTACACTGGGAAACCAAAGAACTTCAGCTATTGGGCAATGCAGAAATGAACTGAAGTGCTTTATTCTTGATGGAGCATTTCAGTTCATAATTCTTCCAAATCCAACACGCACCCCTAATATGTACACCTACCAGTTGAACGTAACACTTCATGGAGCAGTTCTAATCTATAAAAGCTTATGTCTTAACCAAAAGTCTTAAGTTCAAACAACTAACACTGCTATCTCCCTGAATGCTTTTATAAAAACTTTTAAGTCAAACAGTTTCATCATTCCAGTTATTCAGATACCTGTTTCTATGTTTAACTTGTCCCAAATGTATTTTCTTAATAAACCAATTGTTTACCTTCTTGCATACTTGCTGAGTTTTGGGGTGTAGTGCTTGCTGGTGGAGCTGCTGGGCGAACGGGTGGCTGTGTATAGGCAGGACTTCCAACTGTGGGAGGCCCTAAAGGAGGCCGGACTGGAGAGTATGTTAACTGATTGACCAGTTGTGGAACAGGACCTGCAAGAACAGGACATAGCTTAAATTCAATACAGTCACTAAACTGTTTTATTTTGCAACAGCTTCAATGAAAACTAACTGAATTCTGGATGAGGGTTGGCTTTGGTATTTATTTATTTATTTATTTGACTTATTAAGCTATCAGGATTGAAAAATAACCTGTCCTGCCTCCTTTCAATGAATGAATACTATCCAACAGTCCTGGCACCTGTTTGCATGTCATATTGGATAGAAATAAATTTTAAAATGGGTAACTACCCAATCTCAATTATTCTATATCAATATATACATGAGATTAAAAATTGGTGAGATGTTTTTAATGAAATTGCTTAAATTGTTCTAGGAATGTGCAAATGTTAAGGTTCCACAAAAGTCTTCATCAAACAGGACAGAAAGAGTCACAATACAATCACACTATATTAAGTTGCTGGATCAAAGTTGCAAATCCAGCTGACACTCCAGTATGTTACCAAATGTTTGTGCCTCTTTATCACCAGACACAGTTCTGCTCAATTTTGTTACATAAAAGTACACCACATTGTTTTGTAAGCAAAGCAGCAGATGTTTTGACAAAAACATTTTCACCCCTATGCCACAAGACATAAATATACAGCATGCTGTACAGGGATAAGTTATTCTTCTCATCTATACTTTTATTCACACTAGCAACAATTGAGTGTCTCACTACTTATCCACAGCAGGATGCACATGATCCCCAATGCAGTGACATATTATTACCTTAGCAATGAATGGCTAGTAGCCAAATTGTGTTCCTATTTAAGGAAAAGAAGAATTAGTAATATTTTGAAGGCTGAATTGTATTAAGTTTATCCCCTTCTGCACAAAGCAAGTTAACTATAAGAAATATTGACTTCTCTACCAAATATTGGGGCAGTCCTCAATTTTGTTACTTGATTTGATGGAATAAACCAACATGTCTGAGATACGCCATTCTACATGCTACATAGGTGGATTGTATACTGTTGGTGGCTAACCAACTTGGTCAGCCAGTTGAAAATTACTAAACTGCAAGTCAGTCTTCAGCCAGTATATTTGCTAGAGATTAAATCTTTCAGTTTTGCCAGTGAAGATGTATAGGCAGCACTCAACAGGAAACTACTAACTATAATAAAACACTTAACTATGTAGAACACCAAACAGAACATACATTTGAATGTTGCCAAGTGATTAAGACCTTTGGGACATACTAGGCAGGTTGTCCCAAAAAGCTATGCCACAGGTTAGTACTATGTGCATAAGCAGAACAGAGACTGAGGAAAGGTTTGATCTCACACATTCCTCTCCAAACTTCTCCCAAATAATCAGAATAAACCAGTATTCACTGTTACTCACCTATGTTACGTGAGAAACGTGAATCAGTATTTCAAGTTTCTATGTACTTTGCGAGCTCTCTGTACAACTGTATGCAATACACCATTAAACATATTTTTATGATGTTATAGACAATTTTATAGCAGCTTGGCTGCTGAGAGTACTACAAGACACTAAATTGATGTCCCTCTCTTTTTCTTTTGTCAATGTTTTCCATTCTTCTGGTAACATCTCAAGTACGTACAAGAACCTTTACACTTTCAAAATTTTGTTGAGATTTTAAAGGGCTGGATTCAAAACAGTTGAGATGAGTAATATTCAGGATTCCTTGCTGCTCTTCGTACTCTCACATATTAAATATATATTTGCAGAGTTACGTTTCTTACCTGGTTTTGTATAGCTGTTTTGAACTGGGAGACCCCCAGCAGAAGGAACATGATAGCTTGTTGGTAGATTTGTATTCCCTGATGATGACAATGGTTGGGTTGCTGTTGTGTGAGCAAAATGGTTTGCTTGAGGGACCATTGCTGGTTGCTTTAAAGGAGTCTGGTCATACTGCCAGTTTGAATGTGTTGGATTAGCTCCAGAATGAAAGCTACCAGCTGAAGTTGATGTAGCTGCTGAGTTCTGCAATGGAGGATATATTAGGGCCCCAGGTCCCAGTTGTGCTGTTGGCAGAGACGTAGATCCCACAGGTGTTGCATTAAGAGTCTGCCCAGGGCCCTGATTACCAAAAGGTGGGACATTTTGAGATGCACCGTAGTTATATAGTCCAGGGGATGTAAGCAGAGGATTCTTTGTTGCCATTTGCTGCGTATACATGCCTGGGGCCAAAGAACTATACCTCTGTCCATCTTGTAAGTGTGATGAATTCATCAATGCGCTTTGCACAGGACCTAGGAGGTGAAAAAAAAAAACCCTTCTGTGAATAAATACTGAATTGTAACTGAGCAGTCTTAACATTTCAGGAATATAAATGAAACAAAATGTACCTGAAAAGCCAAGATTGGCTAGAAAAAGCAGTAAGTATCTTGAAAGGTCCATAAGATAATACACTGTCAGATATAATTCCATAATAAGAACTGAAGATGTCTTAGCATTTATACGTCCTGATACAGTAAAAAAACTTCACAATAGTCAAACACACAGAGGATGCACCCCATGCTGTGTATGTGCATCCTGCATATAATCTGAAGCCAACTTACTGGCATATCCTCTGCTCCAGGTTGGAGGCTGCCCTTTCATTTTCTCTTTCTCTCTTTCTCTCTACTTGTCCCTTTTTGGAGGGCCCCAAATTTATAAAAGTAATAGCATGTGTACATTTAAACTTCAAGGCAGTATGTTTATTAAGAAATAAACCTCATAATATCTGAGATTTAGGATTGCAATTCTGTCATCTGGTAGGTCAGATTCATAATCCATTTTTGAAAAATTCTTCCTAGTCAGTGCATATGGCTCAGTATTCCTGAGAACTGTAGAGGCAGGAGTCTCTTCTCTTCTTTGCCATAGTCAAAATGAAAATCCCCACCTCACAGCAGCCAGGGTGGGGTGGATTTGATGGGAAAGGGAAGAGTTATACCCCTAAAACTATGCTTCTCATATATTTATTATTCAAGGATAATAGTGAAATTCTGCAACTGCTGCTCTGCTAACATTCTGTAAGAAGATGTCTGCAAGAGAAAGTGCTGTTTCAAAGGAACAAAATATTGCAGATGAGCACCATGTCTTTAATGACAAATGGATTACTGAGTACTTCTTTGTTTTAAACAAGGATAAAGCAGTTTGCCTGATAAGTCTTGAAACTGTCTCAGTGTTAAAGGAGTACAATGCACTTTGAATCCTGCTACAAAACTACTCAATATATCAAGGAAAGATGTGAGTGAACAAGATAAATTCTCTTTTTTAAAAATCAATGTTTTGCAGCAAAATAGTTTTAGAAAGGACATTGAGGAGAACCTGGTAACTATGACGGTAGCTATCAGGTTGTGCACCCTGCAGAGACTGAAAGGCACTAAACTGAAGAAAATGTATTCTTGAAGGTGTGTGAATCAGTAGAAAATCTTGTTCTGAGTTAGGAGAAATTGAAAAGCTTCACAACTGATGGTGCAAGGAATGTGGTGGGAAGTAAAACTGATGTAGTTGCAAGAATCAATGAAGAGATACTGAAATTAAATGGTTCGCTTTCCACACAATTTCAGTGCATCATTCATTAGCAAACATTGTGTAGTAAGATTCTTCAGTGGGAAAGTGTGATGCGTACTGTTGTATCCAGCATTACTTATATCAGGTATCATGACCTTACTCATCGTCAGTTCCAAAATTTTCTCTCAGAGACAGATACAGAGTATGGAGATGTACTGGACTATGTAGAAGTCAGTGGCATAGCAAAGGCAAACTCCTCAAACATTTTTTCAGTCTTCATTCATTAAGTTGATGCCTTTCTCAAGGAGAAAGGAAAAGGTCAAGAAGTAATTTCTAACCCTGGATGGATTTTTGATTTGGTTTTCTTAACTGATATCACAGAGCATTGGAACACACTGAATCTAAGGTTGCAGGGAAAAGAAAAGCTTGTGTGTGACAGGTATTCTGAATTGAAAGCTTTTGAAGCAAAACTAAAGGTTTTTGTGAAGCAAGTTAGTGAAAGTAACTTTTCAAACTTCTCCTGCTGCAATAACTAGAATTTGAGAAGGACAGAAAATTGCAATTCAATGCTGAAAGGCACATCAAACCACTAAACCTATTGCAGGCAGAATTCCAGAACGGATTCACTGATTACCATAAGCATGGAAAGAATGTTTCTGAATCCATTTGAAGCAGCACAAGAAGTTGCAAGTTAACTTTTTTTTTTTCAGATGCAACCAAGTTATTTGCAAACCATTAATCATCTTAGAGACATTTACACAGAACATAGTCTGTTAGATTTCTATTGTGGTCTACCTGGTATATTTATCAATCTAAAGAAATTTGCTGCAGCCATGTTCACAGTCTTTGGCACCACATACATCTGTGAACAAACCTTTTCCAAGATAAATAGTGAAATCCAATGGTAGGGCAAGACTTACAGAGGAACATTTACATGACATCTCACAAACCTTGACTTATACATTAATGCCTTGGCTAGCAGAAAACAGCCACAAAATTCACACTCACTAGTTAGGCATGTGTAGCTAAAGAAAAGGATTCTACAGTAAAATATTGTTCCAAAATGGATTGCATTCAAGTTAACATTTCTTTATTGACCTCTGGATGCCTACTTTTGATCTAAATCAGTGGGGTAATAATTTTGTTACATTTTGATTGAAGATGTGGCTTTCTTTAGGCATTGAGCACTCTAAATGTGGCCCCCATGTCCCAAAAGGCTGGAGTAAAATGCCCTAAGTAAAAGCCCAGGTTGTGGAGCAGTAGGGTATCAGAAAAGGAGAAAATAGTCCAAAATCAGCAAGAAACATCATCTACAAACGTGACTATAAAAGCAGTACAACAAGTTATACAGTATAGATAAGGGATATGTTTTGCCAGCAGGATAACACTACATGCTGTCATTTGAAACTTTCATCAGCAGCAAACTTAGCAGGAAAGGGGGACACTTGTCAATAACAGGGAAGCTTCAAGCTTTTGATAGAGGTGACTGCAGGAGGTTGTTGGTTCACATGATTGCAATTGGTATAAGTCTGCCAGTTACTTGCAATGATCAACAAAAGCAGGATCCAGGAGACAGTTGGAGAGTTTCACAACTTTTTTTGGGAGGGAAGCTATTCTAATGCAGTTTCAGGAGCTCCATACTGTTGATCAAAACAGGAAGAGGGAGAGAGTGTTTAGCCTCCTCCCAATTAAGAGAGATTTCCTTTCCTACGCCCAAGTGGAAAGTGTAAGTGTATCTGCCATCTTTTCTGCTGCAAAACAGATTTTGAAGGGGATAACCAGCCTAGAAAGGATCACGTTAGGGCAGTAAGAGAGGTGTAGTAGGTAATTTCATGTCAGCTGTAATTTAATTTATTTTCACATGCAAAATTAACTTTATGGGGAAACCCAGACTCAAAGAGTGGCAAGAAAGTATTGGTTTGGTAGAATTTGATTGACTGAGTGATTTTTATTTTGTATCAGCTTGCAGAACCCAATGATGACTCTTTGCCATTTTTATTTTACATGCTAAATATGTTCTGCCATTCATAGTTGAATGGTAATTCATGCAACTGAAATACCTGCTGGAATCTAGGTTTGGCCTTGCTGTTTTCACAACCCACTCTGTTATTGAAAATATTGATTGAGGTAGAACAGCTACATTCACCCACAATCCATGTTTGTAAATATCTATTATTGGTGAACAAATGAGATGCACAGGATCTTAAGCAGAAATGGTATAATGAATTGAAGCACCCTATTTTGCCCTATCAATGGACTGTGTAATTGGCATTAATTGCAGAAAGAGTAACAGATATTAGGTTATGTTTAATCCAGCAAAAATGTAGTATGTTGGATGCCATGTCTTTTCCAATAAGGGTTTAAATAAATCAGCTAAATGTTAGAGATGCAATACTGCTAATGCTTCCCTTGCACATATTTTTGTAATACCAATGGCAGTTTGCCTTGGAAAGGAGGTAAAATATTTACATATTTGCATATTCTTCTTAACTAGCCACCCATCCTTTGTAACTTATCACAATGGATACTCTACACCCATTTGACAGTTAAAAGCCTAATAATAGAAGCTGGCAAGAAAACGCCACACCAGCCACCACTGGGATGAGGCCTCCAGGGCTGCTCCACGTTCCCCCCACCCATGCTTCCATCTGTGCACTTGCCTGTCCCTCCCCCAGTGAGAGTGGGATTTGGGGGCCGTGGAGGAGGGCTGTGCTCGCAGAGGCGGAGAGCAGGACTGCTACCTGCACACCTTCTTCCCCTGCTGCGGCGAGGACCCCAAAGGCTGCCCAACACCTGGCCTGCCTCAACACTGATGAGGAGCTCCACCAGCTGTCACCGGGACGAGGACTCCAGAGCTCCATGCCACCCTGCACTTCCATCTGCACACTTGCCTGCCCCCCCAAGTGATAGGGGACAGGGGGCTGCTCTCAGAGGTGGGCCAGGACTGGGCCAGGACTGCACCTTCTTCTCTGGCAGCAGCTTGGGGTGGTATGGGGCCTAGCAGGATTGGGCTGGGCCAAGGACTTTGGGCTCGCTCCAGGTTTCTGTTGGCTCCTAGGGTTGTGCTGTGCTGAGGGTGCCCAGCAGCAGGAAGGGAATGCAACTGGAATTAAGCTAGGGATTAATTGGGATGCTTGGTTGTTAATGCAGGCACAGAGGTAGTTGTTACATGTGATTTACTTTTAATTGTTGCAGCACTTTTATTTTTTATATATTGTATATTTCAATAGTTATCGGAGATCTTGGGGAGCAGACAGGTGCTCCCATTGAGGTAGTTATGGGCAGGGGAAAGTATGATGCTGGGAGATTAACATGTCATCATAGAATAAGGGCCAGAACCCTTATTTCTGTCCCTTCTTCTGGTTCTTCCCCAACTAGATGATACCAGGCAGTTGTATCAACCTGCCCTTGGGCTTGGTAGTGCTGCTACTGAATGCCAGGTTGGCCCAGAATAAAACATAGCTCATCCACAATCTAATACTGGATGAGGGGGCCAGCCTGGCATGTATTACGGAAACCTGGGTGGGAGAAGCAAGAGGCATGACGCTTACCCAGCTCTGCCCACCTGGGTACCTGGTGCCATGCAACCTTGCCTTGAAGGTCAGGGAAAGGGGCTGTGGCCATCATCTATAAAGATACAAGCTTTCTCATGAGGCTTCCTGTACACTCAAAGAGAGACCTTGAGTGTTTGCACCTTGTGCTGGGTGATCAAGACAGATTAGGGATTCAGTTGGTGTACCATGCACCCTTCTGC